CTTAAAAACGAGAAGAAATCGTTAGATGAAAAATGTAACTTAATAAAACTTATTCAATAAGTTAAGTTTAAAAAAAAACAATTAATAAAGTTTATAGGTGCAATAAACGTTTAATTAAGTTACAAAGTGAAATTGAATTAAACGAGTTAAAAAAAGGTGGATTTTATTGCAACCGTAGATGAGAAGATGAACATTGGAGAAAGCAGACGGAAAATTATTATAAATTACGTCACCAATATTATTAAATGAAAGTTAGCTTATACTTTAGGCGTACAAGTCCTTGATTTAAAGTAACTTAGTTCTTGCATTCTTATAATAATAATAATAATAAAAACTTATCCTTTTATATTTTAAAAAAATATAATTCAATTATAAAACGCACGTTCTTTTGTCTCTTAAAGTAGCTTTGTTATAATTTAAGCAAGCCTTCATATAATAAAACTTTGAATTTTAGGAATATAAAAATGATTTTAAATAACAAATTTTTTTTACAGATTTGCTAAATATTCTTAATAGGTATTGAAAGTTAATGGTATTAATTGTTAATAAGTAAATAAAAAAAATTATTTAGTAAAATTTTTTATAGTAAAAAATTTGGGTTATTTGAGGAATTACTAATAAATTAATAAAATTTTGTTTGAAATTTATTTTTTAAAAAATTAAAATTTTAAAAAAATTACTATTGAAGAAATAACGAATTGTAACTTTTTTCAATTTTTAAAATTAAATTAAAATATACTGTGAATCAAATTAATCTCTAATCTTAAAACTTTAATTATGGTGATTTTCATTATATAAGCGAGTTGCGTTATGCAATTCTCAATAAAAAAAATTTTATAACAATTTTATTCTTTTCTAACGACAATGCATACTTTTCTTTTCGTAACTTTTAAAAGAAAAAGAAATCTTTTTTATACTTCCTGTAATAAAACAAAAAAGCGAGAAGTTTTTACAATTATATAAATCTACTTTCACAAATATCATAAAAAGTTAAGAGGATTCCATAATAATACATAATGGAGTTACGATAATAACGTGGATTATAAAAATTTGAAAAATCTTATAGTCTAAATATATTCATAATAAACAGAAAATACGAACCATCATTATTTAATAGAGAAAAGTTTGTTTTTATGACATAAAAATTATTAAAAGCGTAAAAAAAAAAATTTATATTTATAATTAATAAAACGATAACTTTTATTACACTTCTAACAAGCCTTAATAGTATTGCAGATAAAAGACTAAAAATTGATATAATTTTAATTTTAAAGTAATCTACTATTTTAATAATGCAAACGTAGATATTATTACTGTATTTTCAATAAAATATGAAAGGTTGAATAATATATTGACAAAAAATATATTTTCAACTTATACTGAATCTGCTGTAATTTTATTTATTACTAAGGTCTGTTAACTGGAAAATAACGACTACAACGAAGCCTCTAAAAGTTGAAGTTGGTGAAAAATAATGGCCGATGGTTCGGAGAATTCTGCAGTGTAGTCTTTATCTTGATAAGAGAGGCAACTTAGACCTAAAATATTAATAGAAACTTTATGACATCATAGGACTTGCCACTTAAAGTTTAAAAAAAGGTGAACTTTTGCTTTGTAAAAAGGATAGATAAAGTCTACCTTTTGAAAAACTAGGTGAAAACCGAAAAAACTCGGAAAGCAGTCTTTTTGCTTTTCTCTTTGTGACAAACTTTTTGCTTTTAACCTTAATTTTCATTATAAAAATGCCAGACAAGGGAAACAACTCAGAAAGCTAGGCACCCCCCACTTGACACCCCTCAAAGTATTCTCTCTCTCTACTTGTTTTCTCTTTACCTTAAATTATTCTAACCTTGCTTCCCTTTTTATGCCATGAAGGTTTATTAGACATTTATTTTTTTCATATATATTTTTTAAAAGCAGGGGCGTTAATAAAAGCAATGGGTTAGTGTCAAATTTCGGAATATTGTTAGTTATAATATATTTGCCTTTATGTGATTAGAGCTTTGAAAGTTGCCAGCATTTGTTAATTAAATTAAAGCTTACACTAAAAGATTTAGCAGCGCTTAGGACGATTTTTTTTTTGTTTGAATTACTAAAAGAGCATACAATGTAATTTAGTGCCCGACGCGAAAAGCACTATTAAGGATAACATTCACAATGTAACACTGGTAAACAAAGACAGCAAGGCTGTAAGATTGTTTGTTGTTTTTACATGTTAGGGAATTAAAGGAACATAAACACTATAACTCATGCAAACATTAATAAAGTTTCTTAAAAGTTAAACCTCAAAATAACGTGTTCCCGCGAGAATTTTTATATAATTTAACTGATTGAAACTACAAACTAAAACGTTGACTTTTAAAGAGCGCTAATCTTTTAACATATACAGAATTAAATTAAGTATACACCGAAGAAAGTAAGTTTATAAAGATTATATGTATAAAGTTAAACAAATTTATAACATTTTTCTTTGCTTCCCTATTTCTTTTCCGTAAATAAAGGATTTAACAAACAGAAAAACACATAATTGACTTTTATGGTTTTCTAAAGATATTAATAACTAGTAAAATTAAAAAAATACGGTTAATACTGAACATACTCTAACCTGCCAAAGTTGTTGGTTCTTAGTATAAACGCTAGATATCAAGTAGAATTTTATAGAGAATTTTTAATAAGAGGGCTTTAGAAAGTAAAGTAACCCATCTAAGTACTTTTACATATGATGAAAAGAGAAGCTAAATTAGTGCCATCAAGTTTTCTCCTGCTTAAATAGTATGTATATATAATAGCCTTACTTAAGTACTGTAGCTAAACTTCTGTTCACTAATAAGTTAAAATGAACTATAAATTATTTTAATGTATAATATCAGACCCGAAGTTTATAAGATGGCGTTCAGGTTTTTGTTATATACGCTAATTAGTAAAAGTGGCCTGTATGACCAGCAATTTTTTATCTGTTTCATCATCCTGTACAGTTGCATATCCCATTTTAAATTACTATCTAAATTTTTATCTAAATTTACAACAATTAAAGTTTATTAATATACGAATCATTAAATATGATACATAAAGATCAACAAATTATAAAAATTTATACTGGGAGCAGCTAACTAACATAGTAAAAGGTAAACTTAAGTTGTAGACCACGGAAAAGCAGGTTTATATGTCTACTCTTGAAGAGAAGCTAAAAAGCACGTAAATAATTAAATTTTGTTAAAGCAAAATTTAACGCATTTTTGAAACAAAATAACAAGCCTTTTTTCCTCTGCCACTAAAGTATTTTGATTTATGTTGACTTTGGCTGTTTACCTTGTTGCTGTTAAGTAGAGATTTCTGGGTTGTTTTCAAGTAAATTGTACTTGCCATCATGCCGTTATTGGACATCGCTCCCGTAATTTTCAGCTAGTGTTAGAGAGCCATCTTTTTTCGCTCGCCCACTTTTTATTTTTAAGCTGTACGCCTGTACGCCGGCAATTATCATGAGATCAGTGTTTGGAGTTTAGTAAAATGCAGGCCATCATTAAGACGTGTACACTGATCAGCTTTCGTACAGATGCACCAATAAAGGCTCTTTCCCTTTTGCTCCTGTAAGGGTGGACATTACTTTTTATAGGGACAGTGGTCCATTCACTGCTGTACTGATGTAGAAGCATACCGCTGACTTGTTAGTAGACCCGCCCCTGGCGTTTGTGGTCAAGAACTCTTAATCCCAGCAAAGTTTATACTTGTTATGGGCCTCCCCTTTGGTGGTCTCTGCCCTCTACCCTTTTATTTCTGCAGGCTTCAATTCATACGAAAATCATTTTGATGTTTATTTCCTTTCTGCCGGTGTTGCATAAAGCTTTTGTATATTAACATGTTCGGCTAAGTGCGAGAATTAACTCGCAGAAGACATTAGAGGATGTAACATAGAACGTTCTGCTCGAATTTTTCGAGTTTAAGGTAAGAACTTTAATTATGTGGTAGTCAGCTTTTCTTATAAGGTTTCTTATAAGGCGGCTCCCAATTTAATTAAATAAGCAAATTCGTTAGTCACTCTTTAACTAGTGCTATCCAATAATGGTATGGTGGCGTCCTGAAACAACTCTTCTATTGCCAGTCCCCACTTCCACCACGAGGAAAACGTTGTCACATGAGAAAGCAACTACAAGAAGTGCAGTAGAATCCAGTTACCTACGCCTACGTCGTTTTAGATTCTAAATTATTGCTCAGCTCTCTGGTAATTATGAAGCGACATCTCGCGATATTGCTTTTTGCAGAACGGTGACGTTTATCCGAGCCAGACCACGCTGTTGCCCATCATAAACACCGACTCTAAAACCACAACCGCTCGACGGAATGCTTCATATTACTGGCACTTCCGAACAAACTCGATTTCAAGGCCCAATGATATCAAGTGGCTGCAGTTTCCTATGCGCCTCATGCAGCCTTTTATACCTGCTGGATACTGTATTATGCTGGCTCCAGGATCAAGGCTCGAGGCCGATAGAGTGCTCCAGCTGTATACCTTAACTACCAGCCTACTATTTTAGGTATCAAACACACGGAAAGTCATACTTTCAGCGAAGACAGCGATAAGAACAACGAGGCGAGGACTATACAAGCAACAATTCTCAAGGAGTGGATGTTAATAGCAATAATACAGTTCTAAGTTTTCTTATAACGTAATAATTGTCTATTTAAAATATAGAGCCAACTACACAGCAAACCTACAACTGGAGAATTAAAGTGGAAGCCCTCGTTTGCTAATGGTGTTTCGTTTGGAAGTAGTGAAAGAAGAAAGATATTTGCTGATAGATAATTGGCAGTATTGGCTTTATTAGAATTATTGACGCTATAATTAATTCCTTATCTGAAATTAGGTCAAAGTGTGAAGCCTGTTAGTTTTCTACGGGCACCATATTTTATTATTTATTTCGCCTCCACCCTATATATTTTTCTCTTGTCAAATATCCAGGTGGTGTAGTAAGAGAGAAGGGTGCAATCTACGATCTGCTCACCATCGAGCTGGAGTGTCATCGGGTGCTAAACACGTCGAACACAGCCCACATGACCTCGAACTCAGGCTCCTGCACCGCCTCGTTCTCAAAGTTCACGTCAAGAAGCTTACTGATGTGCTTCATGGCTAAGTTGTAGGTCTCGTCCGAAAGCAAGTCCAGAACGGGATCCAGTACCTGGGGACACCACAACATAATAATGGAAAGAAAACGAGGGGAGGGGGCGTATACGTCGGCAGAGTGGGCCAAGTACACTAAAGAAAGCACGCGTTTGTCGAAGCGGCGAAGATCATTCTGCCACTTGGAAAGTAGACTGCTCTGGAGAAGTGACACGAGGGCCTTTTTGCTGCTTCCGTCGGCGACTGGGTGCGTGACCACATCGAACAGCACAAAGCTCTGCTTCTCTGTGCCCAGCACGCCCTTTACAGCGTAGTAGCATATCACTCGCTCGCCACTACTACAAAGTAAAGAAACTCGACTTTTTCGGTCAACTGCTTTAATATTCTTTCTCTGAGGTTTTTGAGTTGGTACTTCAACCTTAGCGGGTTCCACGTCTCTCCTAACAAAATAGAAAAACAGTACCATTATAGTACTATAGTCCGGCCAGCCAAATTAAACAAAAGACTATTAGGGCCAATAAGAACAACCGCTAAGAAGTTCGACCCAGTACTCGGTGTTGTGGAATTCGCCAAGATCGCTTAACTCCTTTATATGTCTCAACGCCTCGTCCAGTAAAACTTCTCCAGTTGACCGGCTGTCCACTAGCTCCACGTGCCGTCGCAGAAGTGATTTCTTGCGAATCCCCATGTTCGGCGCTAAGCGGATCCTTAGTAGATAACGGCAATAATTTAGTAGATGCAAAAAGTTATGGGACGCGCTTTGTTAATATGGCCACTAATGTGAAAGGCGTGCAAAAAGTGTCGAGCGCCTAGTCTTATTGAGCCACTCTTGGAAGTGCAAGTGCAACCCCCGAGGGTTTAAGCGTATGTGTCTGGGGAAAAAATCTCTCCCAAAAGACCACGTGACACTGTTATACCGCTCGCAGGCACCTAATAACTATTATGAACTGCTCAAGACCACCTGCGGGTGGTTTAAAAATATTCCCGTGCAGAGCTAAACCACTAAAACTAAGAAAAAATGATTTTGAAGTAAAAAAAATAACTGAAAAGTATTTAATTATTATTATAAAAAACTAAATAATTTAACTTAATATTTAAAATAAATAACATATGAAAAAGTTATCTGAGGAGAATAGAGGCTGCAAAAGGGACCTTTTTCGAAAGCAGAGCTCTACAAGTATACAGCCGCGCAATGCAGGAGAGATGTAGTCGTTCCAAAAGGAAGTATGACCCTGAACGCGGTATATATTCTTGTATGAGCTATAAGTAAATCCAAATGTTTAACTAATCTTTCTAGAAATTGAAAATTTAAACAGAAAAGTCTACAATTGGTTAAATACTATTGCAAAGTGTAACAAGATTATAAAGACCACAATAATTCTATATGACTAACTTTTATAAAATCTTATGAAGATTTAGTTAACTAAAAGTTAACAATAGTGTATAACAAAAGTTAAGTTAAAATAGTCATATGACCTATCAGTGTAATCAATTTGAAAAATATTAATACCGGAAAAAACCATAATCTTTGACTAAAACTTAAAAAAGAAATGTTAACATTATAAAACTTTAAATAGTATATGCACCGTTAAAAAAATTAACATATATTTAAGTATCGAAAAAGAATTCGTGAAAATTTAGAAGATAATTTTACAGAAATATGAAGAGAACAAGTAAATCTACAGAAAAGTCTTCATAGATTCTAAATAATATCTTAAAAAGCGCAATATAGTATCAATAGTTAACATTCCATAATGAAGTATTCTTCAAATGTTACTAAGTGATAAAGTATTTCTTTATTAACACTCCTAGCAATAATAAGTAAAAAAGCCTTTGATAACAATGTAACAATTTAGTTTACATCATATTAGTATTAAACTATTTCACAAGGGAATATAGTAAATTTTCAATAATAGTTAATAAAATTCAAAAATACTTCAAAATCTTTTAAACCCAAAAGCATAATTTGTTCCATTAAAGTCATAGACCAGCATTTATCAAATTTATCGTTCAAGTTGGTGTGCTCCTTTTTCAATTTTTATAATTTAAAACCTAAAAGTTGAAAGAAACACAAGAAACGAACCTCTGGATTATGAGAGTTTACAGAAAAATCATCGTATTCAGTTGTATTATTTGTCTTTTTCCTTTGTACTAAACCATCAGAAAGTGTCATTTACAAATTAGCTAAAGGTTATATAGTTTAAGAGAGTATACTAAATATATATAATTTTATAAGTACATATTATGTTCCTTTGGTAATTGTTTACGAAGGCACTTCACTGCAGTTGTGTCCTGGGAAACAGGTACTAATTTTTTTTACTAAGTAGAAGTTTATTATACTTTAATAATATTTAGTTTTCTGATTTAAAGAAGAGTACAGCTATCACGAGATAAAGGTTCCAATAAAAAAGTAAAAACCTTTGAAAAAACAAAAGACCAGATATGTTATACTTTTTGCTTATTTACAGGTAAGTCGTTCAGATCAAAAGTCTTAAAACCCTTTATAATAGTAAAAAGATAGCACCTTGAAGGTAGTCGAGAAGTAAATAATATCAAAAACAAATAAGCTGCCGCTGTCGGAAGTTCAAGGATGCCCTCCCATCGCATTCCGCTTTTAGGTTTTTATAGAACGTAATAGGTTGGCAGATTTTTTATATGGGAAGAGAAAACGAGTATATCTCTCGTTGCTTTAAAGAGCGTGATAATGGCCTAAAAGTATATTAATTTTATAAATTTCTTGGATACCGGTCTGTATAACAGTTATTTTATAAAAATAAATGTATTTTGCAACCTAAGAGCTTTAAATTTAACCAACGAAGACATATAATTGTAAAAGAGTATATTACTAAAGTAAAGCTTAAAGTTTAAGGTTAGAAAGAGCTTTTATTCACAAGCAGTAAAGCCATTTTCAACTAACATAAAGCCACATTTTATGTATATATACACAAATTTCTGACATTGGGATACAAAGTACTGAGAAATATTAAATAATTTAAATTCTTGTTTGTAAACATACATGAAAAATGGATGTGTAATAGAACACTTTAACCAGTATTTTGTTTATTCATACTATTTAAATTATAGAAACTCTAACAGCTTTTTATTTAATTATTAGTACGACTAAATATTTTATAAGGCGATGTATTGGCAATAATTAAAAACCTAAGCGTTTTTAAGTTACTTTGCGTTAGACGGGAGGGCTATCGTTTTTCAATCTGGTCTGGCGACGTCCGTCCCGGAATTTAAAATATTTTCAAGCGCCATATTTAAAATATTAAGAAAGTAATAAATCAAAAAAATTATCTAGTTCCAACAGATGTTACTGGTTTGAACCACTTTCTGTTGCCCAAACGCTTATATAATACCCCACTTAATTGCCTTTATTCTGAATGATAGTTCGACATATGGAAATTTAAGGATTTTATATTTATTTACAAGTACTTCGGTCTTATTACTCTAACAAACCGTTCAAAGTGCACTTTGCCTACGGATAAAAGTTGATTATAAGTTAAGACTTTCTATAACAACTATCAAAGTAAAGAGTATAAAAATAGGAATATCTAAAATTAGACCATTTTATTATATGCAGACAGGAATAATGAATTTTTTAAACTACCCGACATAAATTGTATACAGCTTATAAGTTAGGCGGGATACTAAAAGTTCTTACCATTTGGAAAAACGCTTCTTCAAGTGCATTTACTGCAAGGCTTGAGATACCTGTCTATATTCATCTTGAAAAACCATAAAGTATGGATAATAATACTACGAATTTCAAAATAATAAACTTAAATATAAAATTTGATGCTAAAAGCTCGCTTCTGTTTGCTCGAGCAAGCTAAAGGTGTGCTTACTACCAACATAGTAGCTCCATTAGGCAAACGTGGTCTTTGCAATACACAACTTTTTGTTACAAGTCCTTATCGTGAACGAAAATTATTTAATTTCTAACAACTATTTTTTTAGAGGATGTATGAAAGCTTATGAGCCAGGAAGCAGGCTACTAAAAGTTACAATAATTCCTTAGTAATACTATACTAATATAATAATTGTTTCTAACATAATTAACCACGTAAACACGGAAAAAAAGGAGAGCAACTTATTATTTCCTTCCGTGCTATTAACTTAAGTAAAAAAAAAATTCTGTCAGCTACATGGTTTTATTACTTTGAAATAAGAATGTTTTTAAATCTCAACAAGTTTGTTATTTTGGATTATAACTCTCAAACTGGAACATAAGGCGCCCATCTGCGTCTTTACGGGCCCTTTACTATCTCCTTCAAGGGATGATCCCATAACTTTTGGATCCGAGAAATATTTAAAAACATAATCACATCGCTGAAGGGACTTTTCTTTTACATGTCCTTCCAATAAATTCTGAAATTATTAAAAAAAATTAAGTTATAATACAATTTTAAAAATTCAGTTGTATCGAACGTAATAAAGATAGAGCTTTAAAGATAACATATACTTCAATTACCTTAATAACTTTGTTCATATCCTGAAAAAGTTGAGAGCACAGCTCTGGATCATATGAATAAGGAACTTCATAAAAACTTATTAAGGTTAACATCAAAGTTTTAAGTTTCTTTCTCAAGTTTACAAGTATTTCAAGCTCTTGAGAGTTAAAACGTTTTTCATCAACCTCGAGGCCAATCTTGATACTTATTTTTATAACGTTCTATTAAATAAGATGAGTTAAATATATAAAGTCCCAGTAAGCAATAATATTATGACTTTCATAATCTTATCGGCAGTTTTCGTGTCGCTTTGTGCTTCTATGAGAGCGTGTATATTGTCCAAGGTTTCAGACCATTCATCGTCAATGAAAAGTTTGGCCCCTTTATAGTAAATTAATGGTTTGGTACAAAAAGATACCAAGTGTTGCTATTTCCAATCTAACTTGCCTTTGGAACTTATTTTACCGGCAAGATTTTTCTTTAATTTCAGAAAAACCGAAGCCTTCTTGACTTTTTTGGGAGTGCTGTCTGTAGCCATTACTTCCTTGAAAGTGTGACGGGTAGTAGTTTATATTCCAGATCCCTTAAATGCTCCAAAAAGCTTCAATAAGCCACCTTCCCCCTCCGAAGCATATACGCAATAAGCAAAGCAAAGCTTGGTGTTGGCGAACTTTATAAATACGCTTTAAGATCGGTCTATAGTTAAGTCGCGGGCTATGATTTTTAAATTCGTGATTTTTTAACGTTTAGACCAATTTGTTCCCAAGTATGCGACTGTTAAATACGCAAATAAATTTTTATTGGGGCAGTAAACAGTAAAGCTCCCAATTTCAATACCTATTAAGTTTTCATTAAAACAAATGTTAATTTAGACCGCTGGCTGCTTTAAGTTAGTTTAGTAAAACTGTTTCTCAGTGTTTCACACCTTAGTAAATGATTTCCTCCCTCCTTGAAGTCCGCACCCACTTCTAAGCGGGTGGAAAATCTGATAACAAATCAAGCATTTTTTTCCACCGCATACCAAAGTGTTAGCAATAAAGGGGAGGGGGACAAAAATATTAAAATTAAAGAATGCGCCAAACCTAACTTGTAAATAAATATAAAATTTTTACTATTGCACCAGGTTGTTTTTTGATGCATATACCGAAAACCAGAGTATTGACCATGCTTATATTTAGATTTTTAAAATGTTTTTCATAATTCCATAATTAGTTATTTGACAACAGACTTCTTATTATTTTAAGGTAATGCGTTTATTTTATTGAAGACTAGAAAAATTTAAAGGTTTTCCAACTTAGCTGTTGAAGTGAAAAAGTTGTAATCCTTTATTTTTAGAAAATTCAAACAGAAGTTAAAAAGGAAAAGAGATCGCTACACTAAAATTTTTCTATTCACTTTTAAGCAGAGTATTGTTAGAAGGAGGCCGGTCTAAGCGTGGTTACCTTGAGATAATATGCACACAGTATATAGTTTAATTACCACGGCTACTTTAAAAAGTTTTATTCCTACTAATTATAAGTGGTAACGCGAAACCTGGAGCTAACCTAGCAATAACTTAAAATCCTCGTTCTTAAATCCACCCTAACCATAAATAGAATACATCTTAAAAGGGTTAAGGGGTTTGTTTATATTATTTTTAACTGTCTAGGACAACTTAATTTAGAACACTTTGTTATACTAATAGAGCAGAGTAATTACTCATAAGAAAAAAAGAATAGAGTGAAAACCGGACTTTTTTGGTTGAATAGGGAGCGCCTAAGCAAGTATGAAACCTAATGGCTTGTTTTTAATCTCTAGCAGCACTAATTTTAAGCCAAAAAATAATAAAGGGCCCGACACCTGAAATTAATTCATTTACTAATTTATTAATTCATCAATATTGGGTAAACATTTTTATTTTCACTGGTTACTTATTTTTTCTAAAGGAAAGGAGGGGGCGGACACGAATTTCCTTACAGCTGTTTATTATGCTAATCAGTTAAACTGTATGCTGCCCAATGCATGGATAAACGGTATTATTTATCTAATTATAGAAAAATTGGGATTCGTTAGACTTGTATGTTCACACGGTAATAACTGTGAAGTTTCTTGAAAGGGCGATGGGAAGCCTAAAAGATAACATGAATGCAATAAAATATACAAACGGAGTGAGAGGTTGGGCATCTACGGTCAGGTCTTGCTAATTTGTTATTAACAAAAGCAACCGCTTTGACTAGTTGGACTAAAACATTTTATGGTAACACCTTCACTCTTCCATACTTTTTAAAAGCTAATACTTGAGAGTGGAAATGAACCCCTTTGATGGCTGTAAAAAGTAGTACTATTAGTAACCGAGTTTGTAGATCACAAGGAAATTAACCCTATGCAGAGTCTACCTGAACGACACTTATTTTTCAAAGAAGGTCCCGTTTTTTTTCGCCTATTATTAACTGCTCAGTAACAATATATAAAAATATTGCAACTACTTTGTTACCATCTTTACTATTATTAAGGAAATTTGCAGATGGTCGCTACCTTTTAGAGGGTAGAACAGTGTCCTTACCCAAAGTTGGTAAAAGTGTCCACCAGTGTTGCCCTCTCGAGGGAGTATAGTGACCACCCTTCCAGAATTGGAACTTTTTCATTATTTATAACAAAATTTCGTATACTATTATAAACTCAAGCCCAAACAGAATTGTCATACTAATCAAATTATAGTGAAAGGGTTGCTAAATTAGATATTGTAAAGTTTATTTTCAGTATCGTTGATTTACTGCAAACAGCATAATTTACTCATACATAACACTTCCGAGTTCATAAGAGATCATTTTTATAATTTATATTAATTGCAGGACGCTATCCAACAGTTCAAATTCGTAAGCCTCCGACTCCTCATCGAATGACTCGCAAACTTTTTTTTTGAAATCAACAAGTAATGTATGCCAAACTGAAGCGCGGTTGAGCAGTTTCTCTTTTCCCGCAGGAGATTTTGCTAGATCAGAAAGTAGCCGCAAGGCTGCAGTAGATAACGCGTTTAAGCGCTAAAGACGTAAGTAGGGCATCAGTATTGCAGACCTTGAAAAGCGAGGGGCCAGTTGGACGCACGGAAAGACCACGAAAGAATAGACGGGAGAAGCTCAATGACATCCTGTTCGACTAGAAACTCACAGTTGAGAAGATCCGCAAGATATGTATATTCGAGAAGTCCCAGCGCCTTTTGAAGAAAGGGCATATTCTCTGGCGAAATGGTGATAATAATAAATCAAAAACTCCAAAAGTAAAGCAGTAGCAGCACCAGAAGTAGAAGAGGCTATAAGAGCCAACAAGTGAGAGAAACATGCACGCTGGCAAAGGAGTTGACCCGCCTCTTTATTGCCCTTCACAAGTGCTGCAGAAATTACGGATTGCCCAGATCAGCACGAGAGCAGACAGCATGCAGGCAACTACCAGACAGACAAAAAATGGCCTTGGTTTGAACACGTGGTGAGTCACAGTCCAGTAGTGCCAGGATGCGCTGGAAGAAGCCGTGGGCCACTGCATAATCCTGACAGGCTAGAGAAAAAGCAAAGATGGTTCGGTACGCAAATGAAAAACAAGATAAGTGCTTTACTGGAATTGTTCTGGAGTGAAACTGCTATAACATCTGCTGCGCGCCATTGAATGGAAGGATACTTGGAGTCCAACAAATCTAGAAGAAGAAGGAGACCTCCTAAAACAGTCGTCAAGAAACACATTCTAGTAACTCGAGCATCTTAAAAGAATAATGCAACCCATTTTCATCAAGTCAATTGCATTATTAAGATCGTACACATATTCGCATAAACTTTCCAAAGCATCTTCTCTCATTTGCAGTTCCTCTTCAGTAAATTCTAATAAAACGTTTTAAAAACGAACCATTGCCTGCTTTACAATATATTTGTTTACAATGGTTATTAGCTTTGCTAATAAATAGATTATTTTCTAAACTAAAAAACTGTAAATTCATAACAGAAAACAGATTTTATAAATAATACATCAAACTTATATTAAGATGCAAGGCTTTTTAAAACACAATCAAAATTATTTATACCTAAAGAGTAAAATTTATCTTTATCCTCAAAAATAATATTCAATAACTCTGCCATTTTCTTGGATTCAGATAAGTTACTCTCAAGAGCCTCCTTTAACCAATTCCTGCGTTCTAAATCCATTTCAGTAAGTTTCCTGTTAGGATCCGTCTCTAAGAGAACTGTATAACTTTACTAGAGAAACAACAAGCAAAGGATCTACCATCGCTATGGCGAAGACTCCAGTTCAACAATCCCCTCCAATTCGATATACTCTGAGAACCAGTATCTGAACCTGAACTGTCCTTTATATTATCAACAGCAGAAATTTGTTTATCTTTAACAGGAAGTAACGCAGAGGCCAAAGAGTTATCTGATTCTTCCTTTCTCAGAAGTCTAACTTCCTGTTTACCAGTATTTAAGCACATTCGCACATGGCAACCTTAAGATTAATACGTTTATCGCTAAATATATTTTAAAATCTAGCAAAGAAGAATATTAAAGTAATTAATTATCAACTAAAACGGCTAGAAATAGTTGTACAGGTTTACCGGGAGGTATACTTTGACCTTCCTCTAAGGTCTGCCATTCATGACTCGGGACTATTAATTTAGGCATCAGAAAACCGGCCGTTCTAAAGCAGCAGCAATGGAGAGCAAGACAAGCAAAGGCCTACGCCCTGCCAGCAAAGTCTTGCAGGAGGCCGCCGTCTTTAAAGCAAATTATATACGTGCACGTTTTGGTATTTTAAAAATAACCTCTAAAATTCCTTTTTAAATATTATTACTCTATGATCAAATCATATATACACAATATGCGTCTTAATCTATAATTTTGGAAAGTGTAAATATGAGTTGCTTTATCTTAACAATAAATGACTGTCTCACAAAGAGATAGACCCTCGATTTTTGTGAGAAAATTCATTAAATTAATACTTGATAAAAGGAAGAAGCCTAACCGACCAATTTTAATTATCAGACATTTATACTCTACCATTTTCTAGTAAGATATGCATATCGTGGGTTTAACTATTACGATTTGTTCACTAATAACAGTGTACGAATTATAAGCTTCTCTCAAAGGTTGCAAATTAATTTTTTTTGTAATTTAATGTATATATACGCACCCCAAATTTTTATTAAACTTGTTTTTCTCAGAAAAATTTTAATTGAAATTTACTACCTACTTATTAAAATTCTCATTTTCTATATAGTTTGGTTATATTTGAATATAATGTCATAGTGTATTTAGTTAATGGATTGGTGTAGTGAAATTCTTTTTTTAAGATGGGGGAAGAAGGACAAAACTGGATTATCTAAACAACTAAACCAAAAAAAGGTGAATGAAGTATACTTAAATTTAAAATATCTTAAAAGTTAAATTAAACGTTCGCTAAAACAGTTAGAACTTCTTACCAGCAAGTCACGTGGAACGCTTTTCACGACCGTGAATGTACTACTCCCAAACTAGTTGCCAGCGGATATTATAACTCTGCTTAACAATTATAATAATATTTAAGAGGTACACCTCAAGCTTAAAAATTCTGTGATACTAGCCACCTCGAAACTAATATCTGCTATATTTACATACAGAAAGGCAGAATGCTATATCTCAAACAGGTTTTTTACCAAGAAACTCAAATAGAGTTAAACTTTTAATAATTATTAATAAAAAAACAAAGGTAAAAGCCTCAGTAAAAGTTGATTACCTTTAAATTTGATAAACAATCTTTATAACAAAAATTATTGTCTAATCGTAGGCAAGGAAGCATATGAGAAGGTGCGGTTACCGAGCGGCGGACAATCGAAGTACGCATGTATATTGTATGTGCTTAAAATTACATGCGCCCAAAAATTCTTCTTTTCGCAGAAGGCGAACTACTTACCTAGCTTAAATTAGCCGGTCTCTTTTGTTCTTGACAGGCTACACCACTACATTTTTGTATTATTCTTTTTACCCAAGACCGGGCGGGTCTAGGATGCCATCTGTGAGTGGTGTGGCTTCAATCTCTTAAGTGTTTTCTAGTAAGTGTGATAATAATGCCCGTGGTAACTGTAGTCTTTTAACTACTTAGTTTTTCCCATGAGTTCAGCAAGGGTCTCCTTTTCTTTTTCTTAAAGAGTTTAAGTTATTCAAACAGTTTTTATTCGATTAAACCGTTGAGTGCGGTTTCATTTTTAGAGTCTTTTGTCCTCATACTTGCTATCAAAGAATTTTTATTAAAAAGAAAGGATTCATCATATTAAAAGAGAGTGAAAGCATACCTTAAGTTTCCGAAACTTTGCAGATGAATATTAAAATTATGGCCTATTTCTTGGATCTATTACTTAAAGTCGGATTATAAATTATAATATTATTTTAATATAACAAAGATTTATGTGGTTTTAGTTAATCTAATTAATAGTCATGCCATACGGTCTTAGAAACTTCAACTTCTGGGTAGTTACCAAAGTAAAGGGGCCTGCCATTAGAATATCGCCTTATCATGTGAGCAATAACTGTAACACGGTCCGTAAAACTCTGAAGTGAGTAGGGAAAACCCTTCTTATAAGTTACAAAAAAATGTTTTTACGGGTACTTCTACGCAAGTTTACTTTTAAGTGATATTAATACAAGCACAGATATCCGACACCAATATCAACTTTTGAAGGCTACACTAGTTTACTGATCTTCCACCGAAGATAGACAATCCAAGCAATATAACCGGGCAGAATATCATCACGTGACTAAATACTAAGGGAAGAGAAAAGCGATTGCTACGTGGTATTTTGAAAATTAACCAATGTATTGACTTTAATAAATTAGTGTTTCTGGGGGTTTCCGGTGTGTATGCTTATATTATTTCCTTTCTTTATCATTAATTTTTTGGTTTTATCACCTTAGAATACATGGTATTAAGTATATATCAAAATTTTTAGCAAACAATTTAAAGTTAAGTTTTGCAGTTCTACTGCATAGTTGAGTATGAGTTATCCTCCCCCACGATGGCTGAATTGTCCTTGCATAGGCAACGCTGTCTCTGGTATACATTAAAATTTATTAATGGTTTTCCTACTCGGTATTTAATGCTTTCTCTTTTTAAGATTGCTTTGTTCCTTTTAAAGTTCCTTTAAAGCCTTTTTATGATGAACATATACCTGTTTCCCGACAGTTTCACGTGGAAGATCTTTTTTCCCTTTGTAAAGCCAACAGTGTAGGTGACTTGGACATCCACTGTCTTAGCTAATTTAAAGTTATATTTTACTGATGGTTATTAACTTATCTATTAATAGATTCGCTTGGGACTTGTTATTGATCTTACTAAAACTTCTCGGTATTATGATTATGAAGAAATACTTAAGAGAAATTGCCAGTACCAGAAGATTTCTTGTGAAGGGTCGGTTTACCATATTTTATCTCTTACTTCTCTTAATTTAATTTTGATAGCCACCAACAGTACCCCACCGCGGAAGAGTTCGCACTGTTTAAAAGCACTTGTGTTAAATTTCTTGAAAAGAATCCTTCCCTGTTTATAGGGGTGCACTGCACGCATGGCTACAATCGAACGGGTCTTCCTTGATTTCTTTTTACTTACTATTGCTTCGTACTATTTGTAAAACTTTCAGCTCGCGGTTAATAAATAACTCTCTTCTTTTTTTTTTTGAAACTTCATATATAACTTTCACTTTTTATATTTGTAAATGATATATTTAAAAGTTTATTACTATTTACAAGTTAACTCTAAGGTTTATTAGTAATACCATACCTACTTTATTAAAATAACTCAAATTTTTTAATTCAAAATTGGGTTATAGAATAAATTGTTCATCGTAATCATTATTTATTTTGTATAGGTTTTATGATTTGTTCATATCTTGCTGAGCAAGAGGGTTGGAGTATTGAAGCAGCCGTAGAAGTAGTTGCAATCTATTTGTAGGATCTTTAAATAATTTTAAAAAATTATTAGTCCTTTAGACGGGCGAGACCGGACGGGATTTACAAGAGGGACTACTTGAAGCGCCTTTACGAGTATTATGGCGGGAATGCGGCGATTGTTTTTCCTGGAAGCCCTACTTGGAAGGACGACGAAGCAGAGTTTGTGGAACAGTCGCCCTCTGCCAGTAACAAACGTTTTTCTGAAGGCACTTCTACTATCGAGTCGTTTTAGATTTCGTTAATTAAGATTCCTATTAATACATCGCAGCTGGAAGTGGCACGACTCCCAAGCGTTTGAACTGCAGCATCCACATGGCCGGGATAGAGGGTGTTCTTCCATAAAAGATTTTTGCATTAATTTGTTTTTACGGCGGCTTCATCCAGGAGAAGTCGGCGAGTCGGTGTGCGAGGAGGAACTTTTTCCATTAAGGCAGCTTGTGCATAGCATGACGCGCTCCACCTGTCCGGCCCACCAGTTTCCTGGGTCGCAGGTCTCTGTCTGTTCTTATGTCCTCCAGTAGAGCACGTAGCTAACGGAGTTACCCCCACAGCCCGTTTCGCTAGACTACGACAACGTACAGTGCCTTCTTCGCGAGCCGTACTTGGTAAAATCTTCGACTTGCTTGGCACGTGGCAGAAGTTGACTTGTTTCGGCAGGTCAGCTGGAAAGCAGACGGCATTCGGTATATGATGCTCATCAGAAAACAGCAGCAGGAGTCAAACGCCCAAGGCAAGAAGCGTCCTGTTTACTTTGTTACGGAAATATTGAGTTTTTTTTCCTTTTTAAAGAAGTGTTTATGATTGATCGCCACTACAACTTCTTTCGTGTGCCCCTGCGGTTTCCACGCTACAACGACTCGCAGCAGCTTGCAAACCACACTCTTCTAGATGGGGAATTGGTATTATTATTACCAATACTATTATTATTATTATCAACATCACAACTTCAAGGTCGAAGACAAGATCCCTGAAGCCGGGGTCCAAGCACGCTATCTGATTTTTGATGTTATTGTTTATGAAGGCAACGCGGTGGGCTTCGAGGTGGACTTTGCAAAGCGACTGCGCATCATTGAAGAGGTTTCCAGTACCACTAGTTTTTCTTTTGAGGTGGATAATAAGAGCCCGGTAGAATGTAATCGGCCCCCGAAACAAAGAAAAAACACTAAATGTACACGCCAGTATGTATAAAAACGAGCCGTTTAGCGTTCGCTTGAAAAACTTTTATTCACTGGAGTACACCCAAAAAGTTGCTACTGCTACTTAATCCCAATTGCGCTTATCTTGATCTCCCACAGCTCTTCGATAAGGTCATCCCTGCGCTTCCCCATCCGAACGATGGCCTCATGTTTGCCCCTGTCTGCTCCGTACGCGCCCTACCAGCCCTTTGCAGCTGCTCGCCGGCTCTTATTGCGCTCTGCCCAACAGTGGTACACCCCCGGAACTTTCGATAAATACTTGAAATGGAAGCCGCCGGAGCTCAACAGCATCGATTTTTATCTTCGCTATGTAAAACCTACGAAGACCAAATATTGCCTGCCAGAATACTGTACTCGATACCTCTAACTCACTGCTTAGAACAGTACTGATTGGTGGTAATAAGACGGCGAGTTGTGTGTCCTGAAGGGCGTGGAAGGCCTCAAGCCGGTATTTAAACTGCAAAAGAAGCGTTCGATTCTTGAGGTGATGCGCGCATTACTATTCCTGTTTAATATATTGAGAAACGAATTTTTTATACAGAATTTGGACCAAAAGATTATCGAATGCGTTTATAATAAGAGCAGCAAAACTTGGGATGTTCTGCGAATCCGAAACGATAAAGGTGACTTTATAAGCTTTATTGTTAACAACTTCCTGCAAAATATCTGCTTCTGTCTGTAGGCACGCCAAATGGGTATAACACAGCTCTGAAGATTTGGAAGAGCATAAGGTGGGCACTCTCTATATACTTAACACACGCGATTTTGACCGTCTGCGTCTGACAGAGAAGGACTGGAAAAGGAACAACTTCTGCACATGATTAACGCGCACTACACACAGAAATAAAGTCAAGGTCACGCGACAGAAGACTATTAATTATTTTTAAGCGGGGAGGAAGCCGCCTTGGGCCCCGTTTATTGCTCTAAACACAAGTAAATTATTCTACGCTGCTACTCTCCAGGCGTTCCAGCTTCTGGCAGTGAGGTAGCGGCCGACCTCTCAGCGTTTCCGCCTCTTTCAACCTCCCGTAGTAGAGGGCGGACGATATGCGGGCCTGAAGCCTTTCGCTAGACCAGTAAAAGTCACGCGTCATAAGTCAACCAAAACACAGCAAAGTACGTTTCAGAGCGGCACATGGATTGTAGGCGAGCGCGGTAGTCCACCTCAATATGCTTTTCGAGCTCTCGAAGGTCGGCCGCTCTGAGTCGGGCGTTGGCGGAAGCGGATACATAGTACGGAATGCTGGCGTGGAATCAAGCAAGAAGCCTTTATGGTGCAACCACAGCTATTGTCTCAAGAGTTACTTGTGGTTGTATGTTTCTTTGTAGACCGAATACGTAGGCGTTCTTTCAAAGGAGTATCCGTTCTGGCGGGAGGAGTAAAATATTCGTATCAGAGTTTAATGCGAAGGGGGAACCTGCTCAGTGGAGTCGAGAAACAGGAAGAAGAAGGCTATTATCAGAGGCAGCAGAAGCTTAAGCACAGCACCTATGGGCAGATGGGGCGCCCGGTAGTGCTCTTCTCCGCCAGAAAAGCGAAAGCTTTGATGCTAGGAAAGTACCACAAGTAAGGGTGTGCGAAGGCGAGTAGAAGTTTGGGCTCTCTATTCTTGCTCTAACAGTGTTCTTTTATTATCTTTTGATTACTGCAACACACCAAAATACTTCTTTAGATGCTCTTTAAATTTAAAAAATATGCGCAAGTACTTTTACTATAACAGTAAATTTAATGTTTTATAGTAAAAAACCAAAGGTTAGTTATATTTTGGATTATATAAATATATTACGTTTTACAAAACATACCGCGTGGAAGTGCTGTGCATTTCTACCAGATGGAAATTCTCCAAAGAAAAACAGATTAAATAACTCCTCACTGGAGAGCTTATCGAACCGCATTGTAGGACCGCCGCTTACCGGCTAGAGAGTTGTCAAGCAAGATTATAATACTCACGAGTGAAGTGAAAATGTTGTTTAAAGCAATAATAGAGGACAAAGTGGTTTAAATGAACTTGTCGGCTGGTAATATACATAAGTAAAGCCCATATTGAAAGGAAATGTAAAAATAGTATGAAGCGCATAAGCCAATTTAACTTTGATAATAGCAAAATGAAACTAACGCTACTCAAAAAATTAAAACAAGGTTTTAAAGCTGAGAAAGTTAATAAATTTTCATTTTTATATGCCAAAAACTATAAAAAGGTTGAATGAAAGAAAAAATGTATATATATATATATTTTAAAAAATCTACTTAAAAAGTAGTAAAAACTAACTTATACTCCGTTATAACCAATAATAATAATTTTTCCACAAAGTTAAAAAAGAAGTAAAAATATATATAATAAATAAAACAATATATACCGCCGTTGTATCTCCATATAAATCATAAGATTGCCTTGAAGAAGGATCGCTTAAAACAGTAAAAGCTCTACCTTTACTCCAAAAAAAAAAGTTTAAATAATTTAATATTAAAGGAAAATAGTTGACGTTCTTATAGCAAATAAATCGATTTTAACAAACTAGAACTACTAAGTCAAACTTGAAACTTTAAAAGAGAGTTAGATAGCACTGCTTTTACTAAAACTAGCGTAGTATAAGTGTAGAGAAAGCAATATGCCTATTTTTTTAAAAGCCTCGTCAGCCCCGGGAGCGCGATTCTTATCAGGATGGAAACGAAGAGCTAGTTTTCTGTAAGCCTAACAAGTAAACTAGATAATTAATAACTTAATAAATATTATATAAAAATGACTTTTTTAATTTCTATATCAGTAGCACTTTTAGAGACCCCTAGAACTTCGTAATGACTTTTGCACCTTCTAATTTGTAGTATAGCTGGAATAATGCAGGGCAAACTAAATAGATTATGGGTGATATACTACAAGAAAAAAGTGGCAAACCGAAACACCTTCTTTGTCTTTAGTAGAAATTGCTTCTTCTTTCCCTGCGGTTGGTAAAGTTGTTTCCTTTTCTGTATTCCCAACTATTAGCTTTGTTTTGCTTAAAAGTTCAACAGCCTCGGCTATATGATAAAGAATCATAATATTAAAAAAACTTATAAAAGTAAGCTAACGAGAGTTAATATAGGCTAGTACCAACAGGATAAAGTTTTACTGACTTAAGCAAACAGCGAAGTGTAGTTTCATAATTCTTTTCTTTAAAATGTTCAAGAGCTTTTTGATAAAGTAAGAAGGCAGCCTCTTTGTTAGCTTCCATTTCGTTCTAGTATTTATTAAGTTATAAAGGACAGAGGCGTTGTCTAGCAGTTCGGTACAAACTGCAAGAAAGTTAAGAGCTCATATATTTGTGTTGTTATGGCGCCTACTTTTTCTAATTGGTGTAGGCTTTAAAAGGTTTGAAGGCGACAACATGAAAACCAAATCATTAAAATTGTCCATAAATAACCACGTGTTGGCAATAAACCCAAATACAGAGGCCCACTATAAAAGCTACTTGCACAAACCCTTATGGGATAACTCTAAAAGGTATATTCGATTCATTATGCCACAAATTACAAATCCGACGTACACGATCTTGCTCTTATGAAGAATATCTATGCCTTAGTTTCCATACTGTTGTTGGTATAACTATTTAAATCATGCTTGAGATAACCCCCACAATATACAAAAAAGGAAGAATGGACTAATGATCAAGCCTTAGAAGATACGTGGAAGACAATCTTTTCATCTTCCTGACAGGGAAGCACTTAAATTTCGTATTTTTTGTTTCTAACAGTGCAGTAATAGAATGCGAAAACTTACCTGTTAAATCTCTTATATTACATAAAAAACTGAAATGTACAATTTGCAAAGGAAGCGTATGAAAAGAAGGTACAAAAATAATGTCTTTAATTGGCAAACGTATTTAAGTCAAGAAAATTACAAGGTTAAAAAAGATTTATTTATTTTTTCTAGACAAAACATTTGAATGTAAGTTTATAAATTTGCCTTTCATAAATTTATATGGAAACTGCAAAAAGGTTCAAACCCTTCTTAGTTTAAGAACAACTTACTATGAAGGCCTTGTTAACTATCCCCATTTAATAAGGCTGGTTTGTTTAAAGCCTTCACACCCATGTCTCTCCCAATAATATTTGCCCTAACTTTTTCATTTAACACAGTTTTCTTTACACTGGTGAAGAACGTACGCTCGATGCCTCGCCAACATATAAATAGACCTTCCACCCTACAAATCGAGGTGCACTGATACCATAACTAATCTAACGCTTTAACATCTATTATTAACTACATACACACATTGTTAAATGCTTTTAACATAATCTTAAAACGATCATCCTGAGTCACTCAATCCAATATTATGCCCTATAAGCCTACTACATTGTTTTGGTTAAGTTGCAGAAGCTTTGCAGAAAGGAGTGCTTTCTCTATTATCGATTCGGTTTCCAAAAGGATCAGTTTAACACTTAAGATACCTTGTATTTTGATCACTTTAATAAAGTCTTAAAAAAATTAAAAAGCTAATTATTATTCGAAAAAGTATTCGATTTGTATGGCACATAGTACTAAGATAGAGGTTTAGGGACCTCTAATTCATACTACACTACCTTCATCTAATGGATCGCTAGGATCCCTTTTATTTCTTATATAATTCTCTAGCCTCACTTGTAACATTCAATCTCTTGTGCAGTATGCTGACGACACCTTAATTTATAATAATTAAGTTAAGTCCGTTATGAATTCATACTTCAACCTTCTTGTAAATGGTCTATATCTAATAAACAAACTTAATCCGAAAAATGCGGCCCAATAAGCGGTTTACAAGTATTTATAGTAAAAGATCTTGGAGTATTTACTGATCACGGGTTTAGGATTTCTACTTAAACTACCTAACTAAAAAATTTGAATTTATTAACTGTCTATAACCTTTACTTACACAAGAAGGGAAAGTTAAATTATGCTGGTTCTGTATAAATACATGTATATGCGTTTTTTACTTAGAACTTTTCTTTAATGACTTAATTCTGGATCTCAATATTAAAAATTATTAAAGAATATTTCGGTGGATACTTTATATAATAAAGTTTATATTTACTCAGTGACTACAGGGTACCAACGGCGCTTACTCTGTGCAACAAAGTTAATGTGAAATTGTTATTTCACTTGAATATTACAAAAGTTCGCGAAATAGTTATAATTACCAAAACACTGTTTTTGGTAAGTAACCAAATAAGAAATCTTCATGTACTGTGTCTTCTATAAAATGAAAAAAATAGACTAGCAAAGCCAAATTCGCAAGTAGAAGAAACTATAATTACTACTAAGATGCTTTACAGTAGCAAATGTTTTCCTTGACAGCTACTATTAAGTTATTGTGGAAACTGACTACAAATTTAAATATATCACCACTAAACCTGCCAGAAGTAAAGAAGAAATTATGTATAAGCTACTACAGCGGATAATATGTGGTAAGTTAATTGTTCTACTTTATTCCTTGTTAGTTGCACCAGTTAAAGCTGGCATTGTTAGTAGGGAAAGAGGTTATAAAGGCTATATGAAAGAATTTATCTCGAACTTTTGGCAAGAAAGTTATCCATTTATTTGTAGTGTTTGTACACATTGTTTTATACTTCTCCATGTCATTCCCATGTTTTCTTCTATTCTTTACAAATTCTTTAGCAATTCTAATAATACTGCAATTATCAACATGAATGTCCACAATTCTGTGAAGATTGCCGACAAGAATAATACATCTATCAAGTTGGCGTTGCTCATGGCCAAACCTAATAAATCGATGAAATAAGTCTAAATCATTATTTGGAAAGTAGTTTTTGTGGGGGTGTGCAATAATGCGGTTGCAAGTAAATGGAAAAGTTTCCTTAGCATAGGTTAGTAAAAGTTAAAAAAAGCTGGCATACTAATTTTCTAAACATTGCCAATATTTTGTTAAAAACAAGGGGGATAAACCATGCTTTCTGGTTTTTAGTGTATTATATATGCGTGTGTAGCCAAGTGAACTACGTTCGACTTTAACACCATTAATAAATCTTTTCGGGACGTCACTTTAGCTTCATTGTATGTAAGAGAGAATGTAGATTTCTTTGTTCGTTTTGCAGTTCTTAAATTGTAATTTTTTATTAGCTTGTTTGACATTCAAACGTTTAAATGTGGCATTAAAATCATGAATGTGGGTATACCGCCCGATAAAATATAATTATTGTCGCGGTTCGTTAAATCATATTTATATTATGGTTAAAGTTTCAGTTCCTGATTGTGCTCCTACTTTATTAAATGCTATTATCTTTAAAGCGTGATCTCTTTTGTTCTTCTTACAGATTTTTTTAAATTTTTATTGTTATACGCACAACGAAAGCTTAGACAAGAAAACCGAGCCTCAATTATTACTGTAATTCTCGTTAAAAGAAAACAGGGTTCGTGTGCTCTTAAATATCTTCCCTTGGTCACATGGTAAAGTGATGACATCAGCGCAAACACCTTATTTTTTTCACTGTGACCTGCTGTTGTTAGTATCAAAAATTCAGATTTCTTGATAACGTATCCTAAAAAGCTATTATAATGATTTATTACTGTTAAACTGAGAAAGTAATGTCTTAAAAGAATAAATTTTATGGGAAGGATCTCAAAAAAGGAAGAAATTTAACGTTTTAGAAGAGTTTAAAATTATTGGGTAAGCAGGAAAGTTTTAGTTTTATAAAATACAGGGTAGCGCTTAACAATAATTTGTTGGCGGATGTAGCTAATTTTTACAACTACGTCCTTGCTCTTGTTCACACCACAAAAAAATTCTCGACATGAATAACTTCTAAAGGGTATCTTATCAGTACCTTTGTAACTAAATTTTTTAATTATGTTCACCTAAAAAGGCCAAATTCTACTAAAGTCCACTCCACAAAAAACTTATGCGTAAATCTACTGTATAATATTATAACCACTCTGAAAAATAGAGTGCTTACAACATTCAAGGCGAAGGAAGGGGTAGGAAGGACGACAAGTCACAACAGCAAATCTGAACTAAAAGCACCACTCAGATAAAATAGTCCGCCCTCACCTTGAATTCACTAAACTAGCAGAGCCATGTGCATAAGTATCCTAATTTAACTCGAATGACGCAACCTTTACTTTTCCTTGGCTTCCTCTTCAGATTTGGTGATCATGTCCAGCAGAAGGGATGGTAGGCATTCCGGTGTGAAGATTTACGTTGGAAATCTACCCAAGGAGGAAAATAGAATAATTTCGGCCGATAAAATAAGCAATCTTTTTTCTCGCTGTGGGACTGTTAACAATATATGGATAGCCAAGAAACCTCCCGGTTTCGCTTTCGTTGAATACGCTGATCAGCGTGATGCCGAGGACGCCGTTAAAAGTTTAAATAAATATGAGATTGAACCCGACTATCCAATAGGTAATTTTCTTTGGCATTTATTATAAGTTCGCTTTCTTTTTACTTATTAAATGAAGTTTAACAGAGCAGATATATTATTGTAAAACTATTTAAGTGAAGTTGTTTCTTTCTTAATATGACAAAGTTAAAAACATGCTGCGTTGTTTACATTATTTAATTCTTCGTTATCTTAACGGAAACAATAGCGTCTTCGGTCCTCAGCCCTTTTTATTGTGTCGGCGTTCGCTTCCAACTATTTACTAGCCTTCTTTTTTTGTTTTGCTCTGGCTGAATTGCGAGTAACATCTACTTTGTTACTTTGCTTCGGCTTCGTTGCGAGACCCCCCATTTCTACTTGTTTAGTGGATTGCTTGCTTGCTTTATTAGTTATTCGTCTTCACTTCACCACTTCATCTTGAAAACGTAAAATTTTAAAGTATATAATATTTGTAAGTAAACTTAGATAAACGTTAAAATCTATTTATGGCAGTCGTTGAATTTTCTCACAGCAATGGAAATTATAGGCGACCTAACCGAAATTATGGTATACTTGTTATGAGATTATACTTTTAAGTGATTGGTACATAGTTTTTATTATTGACGTTTTATTTTTAGTTGGTCAAATTTTTTTTCCGTCTTGAACAGGGCGCTACAATGATCGTCGTTCGCCCTACTATTCAAGGTATCGGTCAAGTTCTAGATCAAGGACTCGCACTCGATCCCGCTCTAGTTCTCGCTCTCGCTCCTATTCGCGGGATAGCAGCCGCAGTTGCCACCGTCGCAGAAGGGACCGCGATAGTTACAGTCCATACTCCCGAGATCGCCGGCACTCTCGTCACTCGAGGTGACCTTCGTTCATCGGTCTTCTTGCTTCCGATATTTAACTTTTTGTTATATATATTAAAGGCGCTGAGTTCTTTTGCTTCCGCCTTGTTATCCAGTAGTTCACCATTAGAACAATAAATATAGAAATTTAGGAAATATTCTTGGTGGCACTTAAGCGATCCTTTACCCTTTTTTAGTTTTAAGAATACCTCCCCACTTTATGCAAGAAGTCGTTCTACCCCTATTTTAGTTAACACACTTTAGTCACCTTAACTTTGATAAATCTTGTTCGCAGTTATTTATAGTTACATCATATGGACAAAAACACTACGGATTTTCTAACTATCATTTATATTCACTCACTAGCTTGTGAAAATAATTTTTTTATTTGGTTAAACTTCACAGTAATAATCAACTATGTGACAACTTAAGAATTTATGCAAAGTGTTCAGGCTTGAAGTAGGATTAATGATAATCTCTTACTATAAAGGGCGTTAAACCTATAGAAATTAAATGTTTGAATGTTTCACCACAGTAAATGAATGGTCAGAGCTTTCCCGTTTAGGAAGAAATTTTATTAGAGGATATCCTCGTTGAGGTCCTCCAGCAGAAGTGGTCACTCCGGAATATATAAAATTCGTTGAAAAAGTGGCACTAGGTGTTCGCCATTAGAAATAACCACGGTTCTTTGAATTCCACACGACCACTTACACTTGACAAAGGTAGCACAAGATGGGTGCCCAAACGTCTCGCCCCACTTTAAAAACAAGGTGTGGATTGCTGTCGTATATATTTGGAGCTTTGCCACGATAGTGAGAAGGAATTGGTTAAGTCCATTCTTATTGGAGACAAAACCATGGTTCCTATTGTTATCCTTAGTCGACAAGAGTACTGTTGGGGTGAACCACCAAGCAAAGCAAGAAGGCCCTTCACATAAAAAATTATGTTAACAATCTTCCTGGATTCCGAGAACATTCCTATGGTCGGTTTTAAAGTGAGAAACTCCACTGTAAATGGGACGCACCACGCAAAGTTATCACAAACTGTGTGACGTCGTTAAAGAAAAACTGCGCAAAGTGCTTTGCCGAAGTATGAGGTTTCTGCACCGCAAGGCTCCGCATTTCGTGAGTGTCTTTATAGAACTGAATCATCTGCCTTACAGTTTAGGCCTGGCCCCTAGCGGCTATTTATTTCCTCTTGAAAACTGTAATCTTATTAAGGGGGTGGAGGTTTAACGAAGATAGAAAAGTAAACACGGTCGTTTGCTTACATTCTAAAGACGAAACTTCGATTTACCGATATAATAAGTTTGTTGAGAAGCGAGTCTATTGAAAAATAGCAAAAACTTTTTTGATTAACGTCTTTTCTAACATCCCTAGGCCGGGAGCTAATGAACAGTACCACATATATTACTATGTCAGTTTAAAAAAAATATCCGATATGTCCTTATGCATAGTGTTATAATTTATTAAGCCTGTTAAGCTAGACAAGCTTCAATATTAATGTTTTACTAAAGTGCAACGGGTAAACGTAAGCAAAGCTTACAAACAAATTTGTAATTGATAAAGTTCAGTTTCGTCTCTAGAGAGATCCTGTAAAAGGGGGCTCATATTATCTTTTTACTTCTTGTATTTTCAATAAAAATTTTACGCAGCTCTCGACAGCGTGATGGCGCTGCTTATCGCGTAATTTATTATTACTCGCGAGAATTTTGACTACACTTATCATATTTGAGAAAAGCAAATGTAGACATCGATGTTTTAAATCACCCACACAAGTTATATTCGCAACCATAAGAGTTTGCACAACGTTGTAGAGTGACAGAGTTTCTTCTGTAGTCTTTCGGCTTCTATAAAGAAATATAAAGACGACTATCTTAGGAAAAATAGAACACCAAAGAAAGCCGCTTTGCAAACTTTACCTTTCGAAGAGAGAACCTTTTTTCCTGCACGTGCGAGACTCAGACTCGATAAACCTTGTTTAAAACATTCTTGTTAGCAGCACTCTACACATAAGCTTTTTTTCTTTTCAAATTTACCTATTAGGAATACTCTTCTGATTTTTGTAATAATATTCAACACACCCTGCAAGAAAAATTGTTTGCTGCAGTTGCTTCTCGCCATCAATTCTACTGCTACCGTTTATCAAAATTAGACAAGCGTGCGTGAACACAAGCTTCATAAATTCGTAGTCATTGTAGTTGGCGTGAGCCAGTCCGGCAATAAAGAGACCCAACATTTCCAAAAAAGTCAAAGCGCTGTTCTTTTGGCGCGGCATAACCCGCTCCACTATAAAGTCGGTATCTTGTCCCTGGCGTTGAGGCGAAAGGTTGAGAGGTTCTGAGTCATAACTGTTACTACCCTTTCTTTCCAAACTAAACTGATCTTCTTTAAAATTTTTCTTGGAGTAGGTTATTAATGACTTCAATCTTCCCAAACCAGCACTGCTGACTTTCCGAAATAAACTTTCTAAGAGTTCATCTAGAAAAGTACACATTATAAAGTTTAACTTTAGGTGGAGCGTCATAATAATACTTTGCCACGGAGCTTTATACGTAAAGATAAAATGAAAAAGGCCATTGTCAAGGAGTTGCCATATAGAATCGCTGGTGACGAGAGTCTTAACAAATTTATAAAACAGATCCTTTCTCAAGGCGACTTTTAAAAAGGTTTATTATTAGAAGCATACCATTTTACAATTTATCAGGTTTTACTTTTATCCAAAGAGTTTGTAAAATATTGCTCACGATAGTCAAGCAGAGAACGCATTTCTTTTAAACAGTCTAGCAAGTCTTTTACAGAATAAAATATTAAAAAAAATTATGACAAGAATAAAAAACTCAAACCATCTCTACTGGTAATAAAAAAAACCACCTCGTCGTCACGCAAGCAAACAGAGTATAAAAGCTGTAAAATACCGATACCTTAGCGAAATATAAGATAAAAATGTTAGCAAAATTAAATAAAGAAAGCTATCTCGCTAAAATTCTAGAAAATCCGCAAAATAACTCCTGCGTGACTAATCAATACTTTGCGTGATACAAAAACAAATGGTCTAGGAATTAAGATCTTATTAGAAAAAAAATCTTTTAAAAAGATTGGCACCTAAAAACAAAAACCCGGTGTTACAAGTAATAATACGATTTGTTGTAACAACTTCGGCGTACCAAAACTTTCACAAAAGGGACTACTATAATTAAAGTAACCCTATTTATGCATAACTTCAAACACGCGAAACTACTAGAAAGATGGTTCTTACGAAGAAAATAGTATTTTTACTTGAGTCAAGGCCATTTTTATAAATCTTAAGGAGCTCCGAAATGCTAATGTTGCTAGACACATAACCGTTGACAGTCCTTTTAAACAGACGATAATAAATAACAGATCAAAAAAAATTAATTACAAACGTAAATTAAAAAAAGTAAAAGAAGAAAAAGAGTAACTAAAAAGGAAGAACGGAACTTAAAGGTTTTCGCACAAACTAGTAAGAAAAGCTATGTTGCGTTAAAATAAAAATGAACAGGTACTCTAATTTTATTTCCTCCTGTTTAATAAACAGCGAACGTGCTACAGCATTATCGCGTGCTAAACAGGAAAGATTATTAAGTAGGGAGCAAACGATATTTCCAAAAAAGCCCTCAATAATATGATGCTCACGTTCGTTGATTTCTCCACCTTAACAATACTTTTATTAAACCTCTTTATAACTTTAAGAGCTTAACCTGTACGAATTTGCCTTTGCAGCTCTGTTACCAAAAATGGCACTCCTTGTGACGTTTTCAAGTTGAATCTACTCCTATAAATAAATTTACTGTCTTTATGAGTAATCATCGAGGGAACCTTCCACCAGAACCTTCACATAGCTTCGACAACAGGCAGCAAAGTAGAGTTGTTAGGAACTCACTGGAACAACGAATTAATAACAACTTGTGCTAATAATAGTAACCACACCTACGTGTGCTTTTCAACACGGACACCACGAAGGGAATAAATTCTATAAAGTTATTGCGGGCAGGAAAAGAAAAGGATACCCAAGAATATAGCGCTAGAAAAAATATATAAATTTTTAATAATCTATTAAAAGTTGACTAATTGACTATAAAAAGAATAAAAAAAACAAAAAACTATATTTAAAGAAATCTACAGAATAAACAGTATTGCAAGCTTTTCTGCTGATCGCTAGATTGTTCAATAAACAGAGTTAACTTCAGCTGAAGAATAGCCTTGTACCTTCAAGTATACTAAATAAAGCTTGCAAGTATCAGAAAAATTATATAAAAACCTTTGATAAAGGGCGTTTTCCACAAAATCCTTTTCTAATTGGGTGGCAAAAAACGAACAATAAACAAGCTTAGCACGCTCGCAACTAGAAGTAAAATTAGAATTTTAAATAACAACATAAATAATGACTTGAAGTTTAATATTTGTTAAAATGGCCTGAAGCTTTACAAAGCAGATAAAAAGGTTAACAGCAAACTCTATCGACCAGCTAACTGGGCCAAGGTCCATACACTTATCTGCGTAATTATTTATTTTACTAGCCTCAAGCTTTTTTAATATACAATAAATAAAAAGGTACGCTTCCTTTATTACGTATACGAATATAAAAAACTGATACCTGCTAATAGCTTTTCGCTGCTCCCGGTTAGCCTCGACTTGTATAAACCGCATCATTAACGTTAAAAGTTTTAGACACTGATATATAGAAAACGGTGAACTTGTCATCATAAAAATTTTGTTTACACTGCTTGTATTTATATTATTACATTCCTAAACCTAACTGCTATGTCGGCGCTATGCATTTTAGTAGGCTTAATTAATTATAAATTACTGAAACTTCCGGCAACTGTAATTCTTTTTCTGAGCAAGTTATAAATACAAGTAAAGTGGTCTTAAGGAGCCCTTCAATATATAAGTCGTTAAGTAAACAATAATATTTACATATTTATTACCTTGTTTCAACATAAAATATAAGAGTTCACGGTCAGGTTTTAATTTAAAGCAGTGTAAAAAGAATTCCAGTGCAATAACTCTATAGTTCACTAAGGGAGAATCCTTATTCTCTTAGATGTTATAAATATATTTATAAAAAAGAAAAAGTTGTAACCAGGATAATCCTTATACCTTCAATATCTTTCTTATGAACGAATGCGTTAGTACACTCTTCTAATTTATCTTGAGCCCCTATTACTTTTGAGTGGCCTGAGGTAATATTCTCATTCTCAAGAAATAAATTTGAAGAGCACATAACGCTTTCTAAGAAACACCTAACAGCAATTTCGAAACAGTCACTTTCCAAAATCATTTTGAGCTCAGAGACATCTGTAAGGTAATAACCGCGAGTTTTATAAGTTCAACATTAAATAATGCTTAAAAAGTTTTACTAGTTAACAAATTAATAAATGCCCAAAGACATCGCTTGCGAAATTTGAAAGATGGGAAGTGGGAAAAAACCTTGCACAGAACACTAACGATGCCCTGGTTAACCAGGGTAGTTCGAAACCTAGCATCTATAGCGAGACAGGCAATAAGAGTTGCAGAACTTAGCAATATATCGCTGTCCTTAAGTACTGAGAAAATCTTCTAAAAGTAAAATACAATTCGAACATCCTCTAAGGCTTATAATAAAAATATTTAAAAATAGTTAACTTACAAGCAAAATTTCAGAAATTTGAAATTTTTGATGGGAAGAAAGCTTAACTCTTTTGTTGACCTGTTTTTTTAAGTCAACCAAAGCACAAAGTATTTTTTCCCTTAAACTTTTCTCGGAAAAATTTACAATAATTTTTTTGTTATTCTTGTTCACTTCATTATCTTCTAAAAACTTAATCAATTGTTCAAGTTTTTTAAAATTAAAACAAAGTTTGTTTTTGGCCCTCACATTATTCATAGTACTAAAAAAAACAAATTAGCTATTAGCACTAACTCTTAATGCAACTCCAAACAGGAAAGCTCCATTCTTGCAATTTGACCGTTTCTTAGTATAGTTTATTACCTAATCAGTGCAATTCCGGTATTCCTGACCCCGGGGTGTTCCTCCTGCCAAATTTGTATTTTTTATATTATTGGGCTATTATACTTAAAAGAAAGTGGTATTAATTTTAATTTTTTTCATGATAGAATATTATTTTCGTAAAGTACGTACCATGCTAATTGTTTCGCCTAAAATTAATACTAATCCTACTATCCATATTTTGGCTGGCTACAGGCATCTTGCAAGCTAGACGTAGCCTTTACTGTCTCTTGGCTCTGAAAGTGGTCATCCCCTTCTTTATTAAAGTATTTAACGGAATTACCTAGTTAATGGCCAATTTGCTCTACATACATCTCGTTTACAGTAATTAAAGTTATTCTGGTAACGAAAATGATGTCATAAAAGGAGTTTCATTTTAGGGTCAGGGTTAGGGCTGAAGTATAATTAATAGCTATAAGAATATAATATTTCGTTATAAATCAGATAATTCTTAGGCACACCAGTAGTTTATCAATTATAGCAGTGTACTTAATCGTATCCTTTAGAGCTTTTAAAAGAATACCTAGTAGGTTACAGTTGAGGTTCTAATGTATTGAGGCCTTTCAAAGGAATGAATATAAATAATTTAGTTTCATCAGTTGCAATATGTCGATGCGAGTCGGTGTAAACACAAAAATTTTGTCTTTTTCAGTTTAAACTATTTGCGAATACCTAAAATTAAGGGTAAATTTGATATTATTATACTGAGCTGGAGTAGACGAAGTATACAGCTTTAAAATTTGTAGACAAAAATTAAACTATAAAAAAAAAGAAGTCCAGTTTCTACAAGGGCAAGCTACATTTTGATATAAACATAGGCAATTCGTTTTTTGCGCGTATCTGTATTTAAAGTAAAGAGACAATGCATAATTAGCCTCTTGTTGAACGTCGAGTAGTTTTTATTTTAAGCCATTCATGACTGACTGTTAATCTTTGTACGTTAAATTAATATGCCATTTTCTATCTGCTAATTTAATATTAGCCATATTAATCATGAATTTTGCGCAGGACGAACTAACAAATAATGAGGCGAACCAAAACATGAATAAGCAAATCGATCCTGCTAGGGGGCCCCTGGTAGAGATTGTCAGGTCAAGGCCTCCTAAAGTCCATTAAACTGATATTTATTTATTTATAAATAACGGTTCCTGGTGCTCGATCGAGTCAAAAAACTTCGAACACGAGCTCTCAGTCAGGAGTGATCGCAGGCTCCTTACTAAGTAGTTTTTAGTCGAAAAGGTGTCATCATTTGCTTGCCATCAATAAACAAAAACTAGCACTCACGCGTGACATGTGGACGGCGATAAGTGTTCCGTCCATGACTCATTAATAAGTTCACTCACCACCAGGCGATTAGTGTGCCTGGCTAGCCCGTCGTAAAGAGCATTAGCATTAGGTTGGAAAATGACATCTAAAGGACCCAGCTGCAGCCCCGGTGAAGTGCTTCATTTCGCACAAATCATGGCAGCACTTTGTTATATCGCACTTGAGGTACCGACGCTATTGCAGTGGAGTCATAGGTTCAAGCAGCAGACGCGTAGCGTATTTTTTTATTGACTGGATATAAGGCATATACATTTGCTGTTTGTTAGGTAGAGAAAGAGTTTGCTCTTGCTTCATAGTAAAGGGTAAAGTCCTTAGTTGCTGCCTTGACCTTCGCCACTAGATAATCCACGTGCGCTGCCAGGAAAGTTTATCGACCATTGAATCTTCACGCCATCAAAGGTTGAGGGCGCCAGTAAGATGGAGTGCATCTTAGTAATTAAAAGCGCTTTGCTTTTCATCACATTTATAGAAATTTTCCAATTACGGCATCAATCAGCAATGGCATTAATATAGCACTGTAGATACTTGCATAGCAAGGCGGAAGACTTCGACGATGAGTAACTGACCGTATCTTCGGCCTAGAGGGCGACTCATGTGTGTGGATTTGATGGCAAGAGCACGTCGCCCATATAAATTGCAAGTAAAAGGGACAAAAGAAGGGGCCCCTTAGGGACATCTGCTGACAGAGATCGCAGCGGCGGCTGGGTATCTCCCACGCACACGCTGAAGACGAGGCCATTTTAGAAATGACTTCAGTACGATGTAAAGGCCATAAAGAACGGGTAACCAGCGCAGTTTGTGCAGCGGATCTTCATGCCAAACTTGATTAAATGCTTTTTCAACGTCAACGAAGATAGCGCCTGTTACCCCCTTAAAGTTAAAAGCGCGAGTGGCCCTTTCAGTTAAGCGGAGGAGCTGCTGGGTCGTTGAGTGCCCTTGCCGAAATTCATACTGAAACACCTGCAAGGCGTCTCCTGAGCGTTAAAAACCTCTTTTAGACAGCGCAATAAAACGTCCTCACCCACTTTACCGACCGCTGAACAGGAAACTGATGGGTCGATACTTATTAGTAGCTGATCCGATTTAAGAGGCTTTGGCAAGGTCACAACGGTCGCTGTTTTCAATCAAATTGAAACGGCGCCAAAGGTCAATGCAGATTTTACTGGAGGTACAGATAAAGCATCCCTGTTAATGGCAAAATCTTAAGCATCTCATTAGTGATGCCATTGGGGCCGGGCGCTTTAAGTTTGGCAGCGCTTCGACAATGCCTTGAACCTCGCCAACATTAACTAGCTCAGGTGGTTCGTGGGCCTCGGGAAGGGGCAAGCTCAGCTGTGGGAACGCATCATTGGCAGTTAGGTGAACAGCAGGCACGTTTTGGGGAGCAAGGAGATTAGCGAAAAGCGTAGCTTTGCCTTCATTACTCTCGGCCACTATATTTCCTTCACGAAGAGGCGGTAGTGGTGCCAAGCCCCCAATTTTTGATCTTTTTAACACATTCGAAAAAGGGGGAAGATCGACTGCTATTGCCTGACACGGATATATGGGGCAGCTTGGCCCCACGTTTATTGTTAAAATGGACCATTAGCTTCTTTCTTATGCACCTGTGCAGTCGAATAAACGGAAGTTTGTCTTCGGCGCTCTGCGACAACACTGCCACCCGGATAAGTCGTCGACGTTGGCAGATAAGTGCCTTTAGTTTGTCAGGCGGGCGATCGGGGCTGTACTTTCCTTCACGAGTTTGTCGTAGCAGTAGTGCCACCCATGTTCAGCGCGCTTCCGAATAAGGCGACAGCGTCATCCAGCAGGGCGGGTGTAGACGGTAGTGACGGAAACAGCGGTAGAGTGGTTTGTATACAAAGTCAGAATGTATGTCACAGTTGGTGAAAAAGCGGAGGATGCCCTTCGGTGTGTCCTTCTCATCGCCTCATTCCAGAATAACTGGAAGTTGATCGGAGGACAGCGCGTGGAGAGCATCAACTACGGTTGTGGGACTTATATTTTATAGAATGGCGAGATCCATCAGGCCCCTTGTACCTGTAGTCGCTAAGTGTGTCGGTTGCTGGCGGTTTAGTATGCACAGCTCGTGCTCATCAGCATAGGCCTCAAGGATGTGGCCGTTTGAATTATCGGCTTGACTGTTCATAAAGGGTGCTTGCAATTGAGGCCCCCGCACAAAACAGCAGAGGAGTTACCCGCAAGAATAGCGTCCAAATCGGATTGCGGTATTAGTTTCCTAGGGGGTTTGTAGACGGCCATCACAGTTACAGATTCCTGGTCGGCCATACCCAGAGAAGTACCACTGTCTCGAGATTTTGTAGAGCTGACAGAGATATAGAAGGACGTTGAATGCTACGTGTTACCAAGACCGCCACGCCCCCACCGTGATACGAAACAAAGTTGTACAGGTTAAATGCGTCCTTAGGAAGAGGTGCCTCGTTGCTAGAGCACACATCAATTCTTCACGTTGTAACAGCTCCTAGATGGTCGAATGGAGCGGCGCATCTTTGGTTTAGAAACTGTTGCAAACAGATTCTAGTCCTCACAGTTTCAAGCAAGCTGGGTAAATTCGTTGTTAAAATTACTAACAGCTGCCGTAATGTCGGCTGTGGTTGTGGCTGTTGCTGACCAATAAAAACTGATATTAGGCGCCCCTAAAGCTTTCGTAATCTTTTCCAGGACATCCTAACCTGTTGAACTAAGGCTGACCCCGCTTCCCGATTTATGGGTGTAAGCTTTTCCACTACGTTTAAAAATAGACGCTTTCTTTAACGTGGTAGGAAATCATCTATGATAAGTGATCATATTAACTCTTACGGTTCTCTTTTAAAAAAAGTTTTTTTAACCTTAATTTTATACATAAGTTTTTATTAACAGCCGTTACTATGATTCGCTTACACGTTATTTTAATTTTTCAATTGATTGCAGAAGCGTACCCAAACCTTTAAGCACACGAGGCCACACGAAGCCGTATAAATTCTGATTACTTCGATTCAGGGCATTCTCTACTGATGATTTCTATTATTATAAAAGTAGATATGCTTTTGCTCGTCTAATTTTCTATAATATGTCAAATTTAGTAGAAAACTATTTTTTAAACTTAAGTCCCAATTTTCGTATTCAGTTATACCAACATCCCTTAACTGCATTGGCTCTTTTTAGGTCCCCCTTACTTTTTACTCTAATATTATTATTATATAAAAGATCTTCTGCTATTATGGAGCATTGTATATTTGTTTGAATAAGTTTTTAACTATTATCGTTTTACTTTTTTTAAATAGGATTTTACCTTTCTTGGCAAGAGTCTATGTCCTTCGTCTTTTATTTATAAATAAACGGGTGGGATTGACACATATAGCTACTTGGTCTACTACCGAGTATAACCTTCTATAACAATAACTTTACCTTTGACGAAATTTATCAACTGCTTCCTGTAGTTTCTTAAAAGTCTTAGAACCATTACAAAGACTTGGTATATTCGAAATTGGGGAAAAATTAGTAAATCTGAATGCTAACTTTAAGCGTGCCCTTACGGTAGCTCTCTGCGGGGAAAAGTATTTTAAATGTCTTACCAATTAGCCTTATTATTTAATATTCTTTATCAACGGATCTTCTACTCCATTTTAAATAAAACATTTTCGCACTATTATTACTAAAATAGAGGTTTTTCTCCCTATAGAACTTTAATAAGTTCAGATTTAGAGACACGAATGGATTGTTTTAATCAAGAGGATGACGCTATTACCCGGTGGGAGGTGGTTATTTTTATTCCTTTTCTTTTTTTACAATTTTTTTAAATAAACGAATATTACAACTTTAACTAGTTTAATTTATAGTTATAATTGTGATTTCTTTATTAAAAAAACCACAATACATTATTGATAAATTATATTAATTTTAGTTTTTATAATGATTTTTTGTTTTGTAAGAAAGTCTTGTGGTACTTGCTGTTTCAAGGAGGAAGTCAGCACTGGTGGATCAGCATTCTTGTGAGCTTGGGGTTACTGGACCACCAGCGTACTTTACCACTCTGCTGTTTATTTCTGACTCCTGCTGCCAGTACTTGCCGGCAGATTTGGGAGCGACGTTAACTCAAAAAGGCTTCCAGTTTCTACTACAAGAAAGCCACTTGCAGTTGTGGGAGTTTCTGCTGTCGTATTTAGATTATAGAAAAGCCGGCAAGGTTAAGATAATATTATATTATTTGCTTCTCGGTCTTTACGGGTTTTGCAGGAAAATCTTGAAGAAATGGTCACGCTTTTATTCCAAATTACACTTTCGAAAACAGGAAAAGTAGATATAATTAAATATAATAGATACATTAATAAATTGATTGATATGGGTTTAGTGTTACTTTGTAGAAAATCTGACGGCTGTTCAGAAGAGGATGCTGAGAGATCTTTCAACTATTGGGCTCGTTAACCTTCGAGTAAAAGAGTTACCGACCATAGATTGATTGCATTTCTTACCTTCACCAAGCAAGAACCGCCCCTGGCTTACTGCCCCACGCGGCTTGCCACTAACATGCTAAAAGGTAAGTTGCTATTCCGTGACCGGAGGAGCGCACGTGATGTTCTGGTCTACAGGGCTCTCTAGGAAGGACGGCTCCGAGTATCGCAAGTACATCATCGTAGAGACAAACTTGCGCTTGTACGCGTACACGGGTACCTTCTTCCTATCTCCATCGCCTGTGGGTGCGTACGGCGGCCTTTTGGTGCGTTAGAACGCGCCCTCGAGATAAGTCTCCTCCACCACTTTGTGAAGTTGACTCACCGCTTCAGTAACCTCGTGGTCGGCGTGCTATCCCGCAGTAGCGTAAGAAAAGCGTTTCTCAAGGGAATCACGGCAGAGCAAGTTGCTTTAGTTCCCTCTCTCTTCTTAGTAGTGGAATACTATACGCACAGATCATCACTTACCTGACTAGCCACGCGCACCCGCAGTTGCACCAGAAAGTCATTATATAATCTACTGCATTGAGATCCCAGTAACGCACCCCTATTAGGGCCGACTGCCCGTGCCAGAGACGGTCTGCCATTCTATACGTCTGTGGGAGGAAGAAATTAAACGACTGAGCTTAAGAGACGGTTAGGTTTAGTCGTTATGCTATTTGTGTACGTGCGGCTAACTCATACTTACGAGTTTAGCCTACTTATACACCGATATGAGTCTCAAGAAATATAATAAGATTATTAAGATAGCAGAAGAAAACGGTTGACATTCTACTTCTTTACCGCACGAGTGGTTATGCTTTGCTGAAGTTCTTTATTGTAGATTGCTTGCTTTATAGTGCCGCAGAAGAAAACTGTTTGTTATTTCTTGTTGTTACGGCAGCGGGACACCAGCAGATCAAGTCTTGGTTTAAAGAAAAAAAAAGAAACAAATTAAAGATTAAAAGCTTTTAAGGGAATCCTCTTTTTTTTTTTTTACTGGTACTTATTAGGTTTACTTGTGGTTGGCTTAGGGATTACGATTAGATAATAAAGAGAAGGTTATATCTAGCTTTGGGAATTCAGCATACATATATATTTTTTTCTTGCCAAAAACCCCGATAAACTTTATAGAACGGAAAAATAATTGGAGAACATAAAGAGACTACACAAGCAGCAGTGACCTTCCAAAAGGCCTAGTTCAAGAAAAGCGGATAGGAAGGAGTTGCATGGTTGGAACTTCTGATAGCTACGGTAGACCAGGTTTAACTATAACAGCTTATTAATACGCGTGTAATTTCGGTTATGCTTTTGTTCTGTTGAAGACAAGTTACTACTGGACGATATTCAGTTGCCTACAAGTTATTTCCCTTTTAAGCGAGCATAACTAATTTAAAACTTTTGTAAGCATATTTAAAAAACTAACACTTGATTCATCTCGGTACAGCCTCCAAGTGTGAGTATATTTTTAAGTAGTTATCTGGAAAATAGTATTATAAAAATAATCTAAATGAATCACTCAACCTTTTTCGTTTTTAAAGAGTTTGTTATTCTAGCAGTGGCTTCAATGCCATAAAGAAGACGACAGTACTTAAAATTGCCTACGTAAGTAAATAAAGTCGCTAGACCAATTTTTTTATTAAAAAGGCGAGTGCAGCACCAATCCCTAAGTATGTTGGCTCTCTTCGATATGTCATACTAAAAGGGCTTCAAAACAAACAAGATTTTGTAAAGTTCCTTTTAGGCGTAAGAAGAAACTGAGTTAAGTACCTGTTCAGCAACTCATCTTTCAACTACAATTATACTTTTGTTCTAAAAAAAAAGGTTATATCAACGCTCATGAAAGAGAAAAGAATGTCTTGCCCTTTAGAATTTACTTTTGCCTTAGTAGCAGATCTTTTCTAGAGATAGAAGTTATTTACAAAAGAACTTAAGGGATTTTAAAAATTTCAACCTTGTTGTTCTATATATTTTCATGTATAAAATTAAAAAAAGCACAGCGGCTCTCCCAGACGTCATAGTGCCTGCAATAAAAGCTCTATAATTTTTTATTTACTCTAAATTTTTTTGAAGTTGATATATAAACTTTTCGGCCTCAACATCAGTCATCCCGACCATTTTTAAGGCAGTTTTTAACTTCTCCCAGAAATGGGTAGTAGTAAGAATGTTAAGTTTTCTGTCAAAGGTGTGCTCTACTTGGTGTCCAAACTCTTGAAACGGAGATCTTTCTCCTGGAAGATGTTCTTTTTCATGTGATTTCGTAGCTTTTATTATCAGGTTTATTTTAGAGTTATTAACCAAAGAGGCCTCACGCAATGTAGACTCATCTAATAAAACTAGATACTTTAATTTATTTTATTAGTTAACTTAAACTTCACCTTTCAAAGGTTTTCCCTTGAAAAGTAACCGTTGTTGCTCTACTGAATACCCACTTTGCTTGGAAATGTTTCGCTTTATCAAGTAAATAGTATCTAATTCTTTCAACTAAACGTAAAAAAAGAGCATAAACATACTACAAGGATAGAAAAATCTTAATATAAATTTACTAAAAATTTAAACTCATGGCCTTTTAGTTCTTTAACAATAATATTGATAATCCCCGAGTTGCAATAATCTTAAGTAATATTATTATGTATATAATAGCGCATAGTATGAAACGGAATATAACAACAACCACTGTTATCTTCTTCTTCTAACTTTTTAAATTCTTCGCAAGTTGTTGGATAAAACGATTCTAGTTGTTTGTGTGATATTGTTTGTTTTGCAATTTCTTCGAAGACAATAAAAAAGTATCTTAACGTTAGTTAAGTCCGGATAAATTAATCAAACAATGAAAAGTATAGATAAGAAAGTTTTACACTAACTTTGATAGTCTGACGTTCTTACTTTAGGAAACTGTTCTAATTTTTGAAGATAATCTTGAGTCCTATCGTTCATATTTAATAATTCTAACAAAGAAGGGCAAAAGTGTAGGACCTACTTGTACACAGTATCGAAATGCGTGCAGAGGTTTAGTAGGTGAAAAACCTAGGACGGGTTAGGAGCGATTTAGCTAAGAGAAACATTTCCTTGTAAAGTAGGAACAGTTGGCTATGTATATTCGAGGCCCTTATGTAAAGATTGTTCGAGATCGTTTTTATTTTAGCTAATTTACAAACTTATTGCAATATCTTAAAACGAAGTATACCAAACAGCCCAGCTTATAACCTTTCTTAAAGTGAAACTACCGACCATAAAACTTACGTACAATTTTCTTTGACCATCCCCCCCCCTTTATAGGCTTTGTTATAAAAACTATTACGTCTACAATTTGATTTGCATTATCACGGTCTTTAAATAAAGTATACAAGGATGAATTTGGTTATTTCTATAATCTATCTAAGAAAATTTTCTTCCATTCACTTGTTTTTAACTGCGAAACATATATACATTGCTTATAGTTAATAATTTACATGTGTTACTTTTACTATTGCATAGCTAATAACATAAGAACTATCAATGTTCCATTTAGATTCATATCCCTGTTAGAAGCCTTTAGTATATTATTTTATTAAGAAAAGTTTCTAATCTTAAGATAGTGTTACATTTAGTAAAGGCAACTAAGTATAAACTGTCCTTAATGTACTATTCTGTAAAAAAAAAAGTTCATCTACAACCAAGTTTTCAATATATAATAAGACTATAAGAGGAGAAAAACCAAGCACCGGGCTATTCGGTTAGTAAAATCTCAAAAGCAAATAAAATTTTATCTACATTTATTAACAGCTTAAAAGCAACACTTTATTATACATATATGATTCTACTCATTTTTACAACGTTTACTAGATGAAGTAAACATTAAATTTTGTTTCTGAAATTCTTTGGTTCCATCCAGATCCGAATTATTAATTTTTATTCCTGTAAGAATGCAGCCACTTGTTCCTGTCATGTTTATGTTTGGATGTGTCCGCTGCGGTAGTACCTTTGATGCAACTATCAATATTATTTCCTACTACTGCCCTAAATTTAATAGAGAACCTGATAGTCTCGCGTCCAGATCTCGATTAACTCCACACGAATGTAATCTGGATTGTTTCTAAGCTCGTTACATAAAGGAAGGAGAGGCGACATCGATGTGCAATAAACAACAAAAGGCCTGGAGGGTGCCAGCAATCTATAAAAATTATAATAGGAAAATTATAAAAAATAACTAAATTTATTACTTTAAAGTTTCGTATAGAATTGTAGATGGTGCAAACTTTGTGGCGATAATCAGTGAGTCTATATATTACAGAGGAACGTAAGCGCGCTGTTGGAATCCTTGCATACCAAAGGAAACGGCCACCAAACAAGTCTGCCTGAAGATCACGAGCAGCTTGAGAGATGGAAAGTCGCGTGCTAACTCGCTTGCGATGACGCTCTTCGTATTTCTCACTATAAAAAGTTAAATCAGATTAGTTATTAAGTTTTTTTTCTTTCTTGTAAGATTTTATAAAGGTCACAAACTAAAGTTGCCTTACCGCTGGTCCGATGTGACAGGAAGACGTTTTCTCATGTCCCCTTCAATGTCCTCTACAGTTATTGTTGCTTCCTCTTTAGACAATGTTAGCTGATAAAAATATTATTTTAACCTTTGATAATAGTAGCCTATAAGCCGTCGAAAAAACCTTGTGCAGTGGAAACTGTCTCAAAACTCGAAAGTGGTTTGCAGGTAAATTCAAGAGATGCGCAAGGTGCAGTTGCCCCTGGTCTCCCGTGTGCAGCTGAACAAGAAGGCCGTGCCCTTCAGTGTTCGCGGAGTATATAACCAAATCGGGGATGGAGAAGAAAATTAAAATGTAAAAAAAAACCGGCGAGCCGCTGTAAAACTGCTCCAGTTAACAATCCCAGCGTCGTCTCTACAACTATACAACGAGAACCAGCCCGAACATTAGACTATTAGTTTTTTAAAAAAGAATAAATTTTAAATTAATTTCAAATATTTATTAAGCACACGTGTGACAAAATTTGGCCAAGCATGTCAGCTCTGAGACTTCTATCACAGGAATATAACGATAATATATATTCTTTATATAAGCTTAGTAAATAAATACAATATTTTATTAGGAGCTTTCAGTGCGTAAACTTCACAAAGAGATCGTAAAGTTACTGGATGAATAGTGATTGCCCGTAAAAATCTGTATAAAAAACAACTAATTCTACTTAAATAATAAATACTATTCACAAACTTCTCTTGTTTTCTCTTAAAATATTTTGCTTGAGAGAAGCTGGTCTTTTGAGGAAAAGATGTGCTACTTTCTGCAAGTTTATTGATCAACTCCTAATAAAATTTAATTGTGAATACGTGTTGAATTTATATTAACTTGTAAATGGTATTATGAGTTTATAATATTGTAAGAGTACAGAGGTGGTGTGATCCTTCTTAAACTCTTCAATATCTTCCTGTGTTAAGGTTTGAATCTTAATTAAGAACAAATTTAAAAATGAAATTATCACTAACAGTATTAATAGTTAACCCTACTGTCATCTATGAGATGTCTATTATCGTTTCCCGAAAGAATCTCTAAAAGTATAAATAGTAATAAAAAACTATAATAAAAAAAAATAAAGTAACTTTCAACTCCAAGGAAATCTTCTATTTTATGAGTTAAGGGTATTAATACATTATTTTTATTTATAAACACACTTCCAAAGTTCGCTCCTACTAAACAGTCCAGCTTAACTTTTTTCTTGGAGTAACGCGTGTTACTAATTCAATAAATATTTATATACTTATAAACCTTCTCTGTAAAGTTAACTTAAGTATAGTTATTTTTCTGAAATTGGAAAAACTTACGCCCCGGGTAAGACATGAACTATTTTTTTACCGACCGCATTCGCTAAAATGACATAGTCGCCTTCCTTTACAGAGTTTTTTAATTCCACTTTAAAAAGGTGTAATAATTTAAATTTAACGAAACTTTTTAATAATAAAAATTTAAGTAATACTTCTGGCACAAACCCACTTGTTAATAGTGCTTAATAAAAAGTAAGAATTCCACCTTCGTACAATTGAAAAGTTAACAAAAATAGGACAAAAATTACTATTGCCCACCTGAATGCTCACGTTGAACAAAGTTGTGGAGGGTATATTAACTCATCGACTTCTCTACATTATGTTAGCAGTGTTTTAGGTTTTAACATTAATTATCTCTTAAGTACACCCTTTAAGGATAATTTATATAAATTTAAATAACTGCGCTAAAATACGTTTAGACTTCTATATGGAAAAATATGATACTTTTTTTAATTTAGTTAGCTAAGCTTCTATTCTATTTACGAAATAAATAAAAAAACCCCTACTTGAAGCTTTAACTTGGTGAAGAATTTGTTAAAAAATAAAAATTTGAAGATAAAGGGGAGGAAGTTTGTAGGTAGAAAAGACTTTTAAAGGGTAAAATAGGTGATTACGTTATATAATAAATATAGTTTGCCCCTTAAACTTTTGTTTATCGTTTCCTTGCAAAGATAAGATTTGTCTTATCTAATGAAAACAAAATTTATTGTTTGGCGACACTGGAAAAAGGTATTATTATTCTTTTTTCTCTTTCATAAAGTACGTATAAATACTATAGATTCCTGCCTTTGTTTTGGTTTTAAGCGGTGTTAGTTATTACACACAATACCTTCGCTCTCGTTCTTACCAAATATATTACCAGTCCCTGGCCTCGGTATAAATAGCTCTTGCTCTTTAGTTTTTTTTTTTTATACGAAAGCTCGAAGTTATTAAGAGTATAATTATTATATGTCCTTTGCGCTTTATATATACGTTGTCGACATTTATGTAGAGCATAGGCGGTCAACCTCTTCCTCCTAGTTATGCCCCGCGCTCACTTTCGGTCATTATTGATGTTGAGAGCGGCAACAGGTTGCAAGCTCCACGTATTATTATAACTTAGTCTCTAATCTTTTTGAATATATGAGTAAACCTTAACCCCTTTTCGTGGAGTCATTAATCTTTTTCTCTTGAATTCAAATAAATTAAGGCGCGCAAGAAAAGTTTACGCAAAGTACGTTTCTCCTATCCTTTTAGCGGCTGGATGCAAACTTCGAGTTTTGGAAGTTAAAAGTTCTGAACGGCTGGAAGAAACTGCTGCCACGTTAGACGTTAATGATGAAGACGGTTACATTATATACTTTTAAAATAATTCAATCTGGTTTTTAAAAACTATTAAGTAAATAGCAACTTTTTTTTACCTCGTAACTTTACGTCGTTAAAAATAGCTGTGGAGAGTCACTAAAACCTGGAAAACGTTACATTTAAATTTTTTATGACGTATAATAACGAAAAAGTTTACTTAAGTAATAAAATAAACAATTTTATATATAAAAGTTTGAACAATAATTGAAATAAATTTTAAACACCGTAAAGATTTCCTTCTCTCTAAAAACTAAAATTTACAAATAAGAAGCTTATCAGAACGTCTAATTTAGAGGCTTTAATTTTGCGTTTCATAGGGATTGTTGTGGTGGGAGACGATGATTCCCTCCGAGATTTTATAACAGGTAAAACAATATTTCTATTACCAACTATAGTTTTACACAAGTTATAGTACTGCTTACGTTCTCTAATTCTTCCAAGGCTGGATGACTCGTAGAGATTTTTCTTCTCTCCGGAGTCTGCCGGTGGGGGCCATCCCAACGGGAGGGCATGATGCAATTATAGAAAGCCTCAACATAAAAAGTGCTGCAAACAGGGCCGCTGCGTTGTGCCAGGCTGCATATATTATAGCAAAAGGGCATGACAACCACTGCTATTATTATTGTTGTTGTTATTGTTATTATTATTATTAGAAAAACGAGCTACATTGACACACTTTGCGTCACATATAACGATCGGTCCGTGTACACTACCGGTTGCGCGTGCTTTGGGGATGCAAGCCACGTGGCATGCTCTTCTAATATTTTGCTTCTTTATTGAGCCACTAAAGCCCAATTGATCAACAGCTAAAGGGAACTTTCAATAAATATTCAAGTTTTTCGCGGTTCAGGTGCAAAACTTTTCATTTGCCATTGGAGCCCTTCTGCTTACCTCATCCGCTGCTACCAAGAGGAAAACTCTGCGTTCTTTGGGATTGGCTAGTTAACGGGCGGCGCGCTCACGAGGCCTTTGTAGCTTATCGCAAGAACTTGTACCAAGACTGGACTATTCGCAGCCTCAGTAGTGCTTTCTTCTTTCATTATCCGTTGAGCATAAAGCTTTCCAATAGAATTCAGCTCGTTGTATATCACAATGCACAGCCGATGCCATGGGAAGTTCCTAACGGAGAGCAACCGCGAGGTATCCTGAAGCGTCATCAAGGGAGGGATAGCCGTCCCAACTTTGTTTTATCAAGGACTGCTCGACTAGAATAATCATAGCCCCCCAAACAAACACATGGTTTCTGGTAAGAGACTTGCTCTTAGCTGCCGTGCGCCCCGAAGAACTCGAGGTAGGAAAAGGCATCTCCTATTAATTGCATTGTGTCACAGCTCTCATATACAGGAAATCAGAGACGTGTGCGAGTTTTCAATAGCGGCCAATAAAAAAGGTCCTGAACAGAAAAACGTGTAGGATGCAACGCATACGTAACTATATTTTATCAGATCTGCTACTCGAACATTCGTGGGGAAGTTTCTGGTCTTTTTCAAAGAATAGAGCAGCGTCCACGTTGCAAGAGGGCAGTGTCGAGGGTTTCCCCCCCGAACTCGACTTTGCAGTAGACGGGAAGGCGTTTCAAGGTCGGGCGCTGCGAATAGACGTCCAATGTAAGAATTTACTATTTTTCCTGTGAATAAAGGCAGCTACAGCTTTAGTCGCGCCCCCCAGTTGTGAATCATCCACTGCTGGACAGCCTCGGAGACTTTGCGAGCTTCATTCGTCCACGCTGGGCTAATGCTGGCCAGGCTTGTCATGTGCCTTAAAATATCACGAACGTCCGATAGTTCTCTTTATCAGTACGCTAGGCTAGTAAATAATCCTCTAAAGGAAAAGCATTTTACCTGTTTTCAAGGAGCTGCAAAAGGTACACAATAAAAAGATCGACTTCCCGGAAGTCGGGCTCGTGAGCTGGTATCCACTCCCGCAGCATGGCAGTAACTTCTGCAACCAATAGAATGCTGAGAGGTACGCACACAAGCCGAAAAGATTGTAAGACAAACCAATGAGGGGGAAGGTAGTAAAGGAGACCAGACTTTGCTTTAACCGCCCGTCATTATGCCGAGAAGCCTATAAGAGCATGCAAAAGTGGCCATTTGGGCGAGGGGACTAACAACTAACTAGATAAAGTTTCTTCTTCTCGAATGCGGAGAGGAGTTCCTTCTGAACGGAGGAAGGCAAGCTGGCGAACACGTGAGGATCAACCTTCCTTCCATAAGTGTTCCATTCCATACGAGTAGAAAAGCGCGGAAACCTTTGACTGGGAAGGTAGACTACTGTAGAAGATCTTCTCATTTTCTCCGCTGTGATTAGCTGAGACGCCGGAAGCTTCATTGCTAGTGGCTGCAGCGCTGTTCTCGCTCGTCTCGACTTTTTTCAAATAGCGAGTGGCCAGTCCCCCTAGTAAGCACGGTGACAGCTAGGGCCCCTAATGGCCAGTACGCCTCTTGCAAAATGCATACCTTTCGGAAACAACTTAGAAATATGGATCCCTATCCCCCGGATTTTGGTAGGGTGGATGCACAACTTGTCAAATAAGCCAATAGAGCTGCATTATCATGACTGTCGTTATTTATAATGCTGATGGCGGGCGCCAGTTTCACCAATTTGAGATCACAGAAGAGTTATGGATGGCGGGAACTTTGGAGGTTTTACTAAACTCCACACAGACTCCGTGGCCGAGAAATTTGGCGGGGCGCTCGTGTCCCTCCTTCGCCGCTTTCACCTTCAACGACATAATATATAATTATAAAAAAAACTTAAAAGAGGAAACCTTTAAAGTGAGACTTTTCCCTGTAGAGCTTAACCGTTCAAGCCGCTCGTGAAGCTCACAAGAAAGTTCTTTAATAAAGTTATGCACCTTCATGCGAAGAGTTTCATAGCACTTCCCAAAGAAGCAAAATAAATAAACCTCTTCTACAACCCGAAAGCGAACGCCCCACGAAATCTCCACAGACACACTTTTTCGTGGCTGATAAAGAAAACTCGGGTGCAAACACAGCAACAACAACAAGAACAACGACCTGAACAGTTTTCAAGGGGCTCCTGTCGATGCCGCGGGAAAGCCGATATAGTAGCTCTCCCGTCCCTTTACCAAAGGTGGACCGCAAGAAGGCCTTTCAACCAATGATATGGCTAATATAGAGGGAGCGGAGCGTCAAGAAAAGGATCGAAACAATATCAAGCCGTCTCAATTCTGCGCAGGTCCGTACGTTTTTGTCCCACAACTGCTTACTGAGGGAATGCCCGATACCTGGCAATTCCCTCACCGGCAATCCCGAAGAAATAGCTTCAAACTAAGCAAGTTGGGCAGTAATGATAAAAAAAGTATAATAAGTGAGAAAAACACGTGCATTCTCGAGAGCAAGGTGATATATATTGCTAGGCTTGGCAAACTTGGTTGCACACCGAGCCAGAAACATGTTCGAGCCGACACCGATTGACGCTAGGCATAAAAAAGTAGAGCCACATATACTCAAGGAGACTCTTATAAAGAACACTGGAAGTACCAGTGCAGCCCGTTTCGCATAAAATCTTTTGTTTGATATTTTCAGCGAGATTTTTCGCTTCAGTAATGTCCGAAACAACTGCAGAGACATCCATAAACACTTCGTCGCAACTCACGCCCTTAAGGAAGAACATTAAAAAAAATAAAATAAAGAAAAGTAAGTAAAACCTGTACATCGACTGAATAAGACATAACCACTTCGTAAAACTTTCCCATCACTTTTTTGTAGAGTGCAAAGTCATAAGGAAGCTAAGTGTCATAAACAATAATAATAAGAGTAACCACTACTATATATATAGCTATACTGTGATAAGGTTTTGGCACAAACTTTTAGCGCGGCAAAGCATCATTCCACTTTTGATTCCTAAGTTACCATGAATTCTGTTGCTTCTAAGCAAAAGTATTTGCGCGAACCTTTTTGACGAGCTACATAATTACAACTGGAAATCTCACTGGTCGAGGCGAAACTAGACGAGTCCGCTTGAGAATGGCAAATTACCACAGGCAACTCGCGAAACTGTGGGAACTGCAAAAGACTTGCACTAACAAAAAAGGCGTCCTGCGCACGTATAATTTAGTATAAAGAAGAAATCAAGTAAGTTACAGCTACATACAATATCCACGTGGAAGATGTACCTCAAGCGCTTATTTGTTATGAAATTTAGTTGAGAAGACTAAAAAAAATTAAAATGTTACAGGTATATGTATTAACGTTTAAAACATTACTAACGCACACACTAAGTTCAAAATATATGAAAGTTATCTAATAATTTGTAAATTAAGTGGCTGCCAACCTTTTTGGCAGTATTTTTCTGAAGAGAACTAGTGAGCTCTTTCACTTCTGCTCTCCATTTAGACAAGTGACTAAGCCTAAAATAAAAAGTTAACTTGCGATTAAGAAGAGGCAAAAAAATTGTTTATAACCGAGAGCAGAAATAACCAAAAGTATACCTCGAGCTTCGATAATATGCCTTAATAAAAGACGTGTCTGTCGTGTAATGCTCTTCTAGCAGTGTTCTCAGACTTTCATTTTGAAGTTTATTACTGTTACTGCTTTTAATATTATTATTATCATTCTCATGAATGTTGTTCGTAGTTAAATTTGAGGTAACACTGCTGGTAGTAACTTCGCTATGGTTAATTCTCTCATCGACGACGTTGATATCCCGGTTATCCGCTGGAAAAAATATTGTTTTCTGATGCTCTGGAATTATGAGGTAGTCGTAAGGATCTAATAATTTATGTTCAGCAATGCAACTGGTAATCCATTTGGGCCGCACGACTTTTTGTTTTCTAATTATTAATAACACCAGTCCAGCAATAATAAAATTGGGTTGTCAGAATACCTGAAGTGGTTATGTTTTCTTGGAGGAACAGAGGTAGCTATAACGTGAGTAGTTTTTGACGAAGAAAAGAAATGGTGGTAAATACCTCCATGTTTAACTATTAAGTGCTTATTGTACTATGTGTTATGTAATATGAAGATAACTTGTATAAAAACTACCTTCAACTCCATTGCAGACGGGCTGGTATAGCCATCAACGTAAAAAGACATCCCTTTAAAAAGCGATGCGCTACACAATAATTATTTAAAAGATGGAATATAATAAAATTATATAGAGCCAAAAGAGCTAAGTACAGTAACGAACAACCCCAAATCTTGGATATCTTGTTGCTGCTTCTCAAGTTTAGCTTTCTTTACCTTGATATAGCTTCCATGATCGTGCCACATAGTATTATATAATAATGCAGGAAAAAATAGCAGTGAGAGATTTTAATAGACCCAGTCTTCACAATTTATGTACAAAAAAAGTATATTCAGATATGCGCCCGGGAAAGGCTCTCCTCGAACGCGTACGCATTTGAGTGGATGAGAACGAAGAGGATTAGTTTCGCTTTTAAAGGCCCCTCAGCGACCCCACAGCTCCGTGTTGCTCGAGGAACGAGGAATAAATGCGAGTTTTTTGTACTTCAACGGCCCTTTTAGTGTTATTTAAAGCATACAAACTATACATAACTTTGTAAAAAGTATAACAATCTTTCTTTTACTTTATCTAAGCAATTTGATATATATACTCATGAGAATTTGTGTAATACGAAACCTCCCGTAAACTTAAGGATGTAGCTTCGTTTCCTACCGAGTCACCTCTTTTTTTCGGTCTGTGATAGTTGCCTGTTCAACCTGAGAACTGCCCGTCACCACCCTTTAGTATAAAAGAAACTAATAGGGAGCCTTGCTTTTCTAAAAACCAAACCTCTTCTTAACAGTTCCTGTAAACTTGACTTATGTTAATACGTGTTTGACATACACAATGGAACGTTTTTAAAAAATTAATGTACAGTTCAAATTGTTCGTTTAAGTTATCATCTAAGTCATCTTTTGTTAGCATAAGGGTTGTAGTTTATGACGCTTTATTCTTTTTTTTTCGGCTGTAACATTTATACGAGCTTGTTATCTGCAGGTGAATTAAGCCACACCGCAGTATTTTTTTGTTATATAAAAAAATTTGTATTGAAGTTTAAAACTTTTAGAATTCAAAGCACTACTCCCTTACAAACTTTTTGAATATTTTGAAAAAACTGTATTTATTTTATTAATGATATTCCCAAATTCCAAACTATTCTTAATAAAAATATGTATGAGCTTTACTTAAAAATTTTAAAATTTAAGGAGGAATTAGAACCCAAAGTTTCGATACCTTTTAAACTATAATTTTATGATAACTAATCAAGTAGTGTTATCTTTCTGAACAATTTTTATTCGGTTTTAAAATCAGGCAGCACCCCGAAACAATCGCGAACTAATTATATCTAATTTTACGCTATGCTCCATATATTTACAAATTCAAATACCTTTCATGATTCCTGTGCATTGGAGTTTTTTTAAATCAAGTTAGCTACAAGGTTTTTATAGCTCATAGGTTTTACAACTTAATGATTCCCTTGAATAGAAAAAGATAAATCCCGGTCTCTCTGTTTATATTGTAAGGGAGAATGGTAGCTAACCCAGCACCAACCATTGCAACAGACGGCAAAGAGACCACCCTTAACTCATAAAATGATGGAATTCTACTTTGCTTTCAATCTTCTATAAAGTAAACAAGTGAAAAAACTAACATGACAAGTGATACACAGTAGAACTGTTGGTGTTAATATTAGATCATTGGTATGCTTAATTTTTATTTTGACCTCCATAAAGTTCTTCCAACGTTTGTTCTATACACAAATTCCTTTGCTTACAAATAATTGGTTTTTCAAGGGCCGGTCATGGTTTTGAGCATACTTTGAGCTCGCGCCTTAGAGTAAATAAGACGATATCCAGCGCTCGTCTAACATTTCTACCGTCAGGTTTTGACCAACGGTACGTAGGCATGTAAGCCATCATTTAAAGACTCACTCGAGCAACACTAGGAGTATAACACCTGCCAAAGAGCTAAACTAACCTTCAGATTTTACCAATTTTAACAGCGAGTCTTTCGACCCAAGGATTTAGTTTTACATCGCATGTACTAAAGCTGAAAGGTTGTTAGTCATGCGTGTAATTCGACTTAACAATTATGAAGCTAGTTTAACCAGTTACACAGTTTCACTACCCTTCCGCAGCAAGTGACTCCACGTACGGTTGATCACTCCCAGCCTTAACTCGTGTTAGCCAAGAGGCAAAGTCAGCCGGTGAAGGCTACCTTCAGTCGAACTACTGGATTTGACTAAAGCCCGTGATCTCTGTTTCTGTGGCTCATTCGAGAACGAGCTTTTACCTCAAATCCTAACTTTTCGACCGGTCAAAATTGATTGGCATCAAGACGGCTAGGAAGTAATCTCGTGGTCTCATCGATCCCTGCTTTGATTAACGCTATGTGGCCTTGAACGCCATCATTTATAGACCTATTCGAGTAACACTGCAGCGTATAGCTAACGTCGTCAAGCAATGCCCAGAAAACAGTGTAAAAGTCGAGAATGTAAATCAATACCTCAACAGCCACCCTCCTGATTACCTTAAATATTCTCCCACGAGAGATCGCCAGAAATTAAGTTGAGTTGGACGCCCAAATATATGGCTGACCACTAATGGCCTGGAATATGGTAATAGTGTTATAGTCATCACTCCTTCTTACAGCTTGTTTCTAGTTTCCTCAGGGCGTTGGTATTTTTTGACTAAATACTTGTCAAAAAAAGGCAGACTTAAAAAAAAAAACCTAACTTCAGCTAGTTGGATGCTGGCTTTACAATATTATCGACCAGTTCATGACTTGGAATAACTGTACAGCCAGATAGGGGTGGAGTTCTTGATCATGCAGATGTTGAATAGTGTATGTAATGTAACTTACAATCTAGCTTCCCAGATTCTAAGCCTTCTACGTCTCTAACAGGTCTTTTAGACTTCTGGTTTAGTAGTAGAACGGTCATATTATAGAACATAACACCCGAGTAGTTAAAATGAATTAGTGAAAAGAAGATAAGTTGTATACCTACGATGACCTTGAGTGAGGGCAGCGATGAAGGAAATCAAGAATTATAACTTAGTCAGACGATGAGTGATGGAAATAACACTACGTTTCTTCCTGGGCCATTAGTGTAGTCATATAACTAAGCTAGTTAGGAATTAACCTGAATTCTTTATTATCGGACTTGTTACGAGATAACACTCTTGTCTGAAAGGGACGTTGTTGTAAGGCTACATGTCTATTGAAAAGTGGCTTCTGCTGGGAAATTAATGGTGAATTTAACTAGAAAAAGCGAACTAAATGCTTTAATACCAAACTATATACTTAAAAGAAGAATTTTCTTAATAAAGGAAATTGTTCAAGGTCACTATTTCGTACCACAGAAGATCGAGACCTCCAACAATGAGGGTTTCAAGCAAAATTGGGCTTATTATTCGCCTCAGCGGTATAGCTGGGCTCCTTAGCACTATGGAGTAATAAAACTAAGTTTTGTACCCAACCAGAAGATGGCTAATCTCCAGGCAGGGGCGCACTTTACAACACTAGCACTATCCAGAATTCCCATCCCTATCAAAATGTACTGTTATCTCAAGTACTAGTCGATAGATGTAATCAACGTACAACTGACTGGTTTCCGGGCCGCACTAACGGCTTAGGAAAGGGGAGATAATGTTATTAACATATATACTGGGTAAGAACTTCATTTGAAAAAGTGACTTCAGTCAGAGAAAGCTAGTTCCCTAGTAGAAGTCATTTTTCCCCACAAGCATTAAGTTATATGCCGTCTCTATCATAGAGTATTGATAACTCAAGAATAATTTGATAGCTGGCTTCGATTTAAGGTTTGGTGAAATTTGGGACTATAGAAAACCAAAGAACAGTACCCTATGGTACCTTCTTGCAAGTCCGTACGCGCATTTCAATAACGAATCAGCAGATAAATTGTTAGAGTTTTTAGACTCTTTTGACACGACAACTGTGTTGGGTGTATGGCCAGCCATGGAGCACCCGCGGCCAGGATGGCATTCAACACTTAGCTGTTAACTTTAAAGTATAAAATATCACCTTTTTCTTTTGACTCCCCTTCAATTCTAAGGTTGGCAAAACATTTAGCAATCTAAGACCTTGAACTTAATACTATTATAATAAAACGAATTAAGAAAGGAGCCGAAATGCTTTTCGCATATACGGTTGATGGGCTTTAATTAAAACTTAAAGAGCCCATAACTTTTAATATTTCTTACTCGTAAAATAAATGAATGAAAGCAAATGTTTAATTAGTGTCGAGACTATTTTTATTATTGTTACTATGTTTATCAATCTTCCATATAGGAAGTCCAATGTAATCCCAACGGCCAAATTCCGAATTACGCCCAGCGCCATGGTTTTTCCAGACAAATCCGTATAAGAAAGGATGTTGAACAGGATAAAAAGCTATAAGAGCCGCAATGCATCCAATAGATAACTATTATTATCATTATTATCATTATTTATTATGATTATTATTGTTATTTAACCAGTATAAAACCAGCGGTGGCCGCGTTGATTGCCTTCTGGTTATGAGTTCGGGGGAAGTTCAAAACTGAATCGGCCACCTGAAGAGCGGTTACGTTACCCTCGACCGTAAAAAAAGCAAGAGCAGATACACAAGCATGTCTTATATAAGTTAAGGTCTACCAGTGCTGTAAGTTATAGAAATGCGGGTAATATTTACTCCGTCAGTGCCGTAAATTATTTTTAATAATAAAGAGAAAACAAAGCAGGATCCCAAATGCACGGACGCTAACAATTTCCAGATATTGTAATTAATATGTTCATAAAAACATCTACTAGCAAGAGTAGTCACCACGTACCATAATAAAAAAGGAGGAAACCACAGCAGTCAATGAGCTCAAAAGAGGAGCATAATAGCGAAGAAGGGAGACTCGCAGGAGTGCATAGAAAAGGGCAACTATCAATACAAAGAGCACGAGACTGAAGAATCCAAGACCAAAGCTTAACGAGCAACACACACTTTCGTTATTTGCCGCAATGAAACCTCGTTTTTATTAAATGGATCCTCAAAAACATTGTTAATTTTTTTTTAAATAAAAAAATTTCTTTGTTCCCTAGAAGTTTATCCTTCTAATCTATTATATAATCCTTAATCTCATGGGAACTTTTTATATAGAAACTTTAAAGTTTACATAAAGGTATAATTCTGTAATAATTAATTGGCAATAAAAAATAAAGACTTACATGTCTTAAAAGAAAGGAAAGCCCCTATTAAACCAATAAACACAGAACATACTGGAATCCTGAAGAGCTACTAAACCCGCAAACGCAGTGATCCAACTTAACCCTAGTTGATAGATCAAAATAAAAATTTCAATACCCTTATTTACAAACAAGTAATAATAAAAATGGGCTAAAATATATCTAAAAAGGGTAACCGAACCAAGCGACAAATAAATATAATATTAAATAAATAAAAAACCGAAGAACGTTAGCAAGAAATGCAAAACCCGTTTTCCATAGAGGGTAAATTCACACAAGTTATGTAAGGGTTCAGTTTGTGTGGAGGAGTAAACCTTCTCAACAAAAAAAAATTTTTTAAAAGAACAAGAAAAAGATAACGGGTAACCTTCGTCTTACAAACTTCGTGGAATTCATCACCAGAAACTGAGACTGGTGAATGGGACAAAAAAGGCTCTTTCCAACCTATTATGAATAGTTAATAGGTTGCATAGTGGTTAATTTTGTTTTAAAAGTTAGTTTACTAATAAAAAATATATAAAATCTACCAGAAACTAAAAGTTCATCAAAATCCATTAAAGTATATATTTATTAACTGATAAGAACGTTCTCAAGATAACTGTAATTATTCTAATTAATATGACACTCAAATCATTTAAAGCGGCAGAAGGAAGTTTTGGCAACCCTTTTTGCCTTGACCTGGGGCGTTGAGACTCCAGTTTCTATTAGAATTTCAAGGGTGAGGCTAAATACGCGACATCAAAGACCCGAAAAAGGAGAGTCGCGCCGGCGATGTCGAGCTCACGGCGTTAAATATCTTAACTGCTCAATCTCGGTATGGTGGCTTTACGTATGTAACCTGTTAAATTCCGCCTCATTTTCGTGCTAAAAAATATAGTTTTTTATCTCGGGCTTACTACAAAGTCAACGGAATTATTTCAACAATCCTATGCCACAGGACCCAAGAAGAAAAAACATTTTTTAAGTGAAAAATTAGGTGAATATGCCAGCTGTATTAATTAATATATTAGAAAATAATATTTCACTACTAATATAATATAAGTTAACACCAAACTTCCTGCATAAATTAATAAAGATTACTTAAACTTGTTGTATCACCTTTTTTATTACCTTTCTTTCCTCCCTATTCGTGCTGCCGCACTACTTTTACATGACTTGGCCGTACATTAAATTTACTATTAGCACTCAGCGCGAGTTAATCTTAATCCTAAATTTCTGGTTTATATAGGAATTCATGTCGCTAATAGTAGAATTAAAAGCGTTGTTTTAAACTGAAATAATCCATTTCTACTTAGTCGCTCCCTTTTTTAAGCATTTTAAAAAAAAAAGAGACAACTTATAATCTTTCATATTTCGTTGGCATTTTAAACTACCCTATTGCGCACTACTACTTGTGTGCTTAAATAATTTTGAATTTCGCCATGTATTAATTAATTAAAAAAATAAGACTACTACTTGGAGTTCAATACTGCCATTTAAAAAAAAATTACAAAAATAGTTTTATTTTACAGCAATCATACTTTAATTATTTAACTTTCCTATTGAATTTATCGTTCTTCAGAATACTTAAGTTCCGTCCCAGAAAATAAACTTCATGAAAATGTAAGGTACGGGCTTTATGCAGTACAACTAATAAATGTAATAAATAGCTCAAGAGGTCACTGAGGTCTAGTGAACGCATTTTACTTACTGTATTACAATTCATATGATTGGTTTTCCAACCAACCCTTAATTAGTAATTTTTATATGCTAAAGAACTTGGATACAACACCCAAATATTGTCTCTGAGACGAATAAGAGAGGTTAGTCTTTAGTCCACAAGGTTAAAAAGTGCATTTACATAAGTGCGCCAAAATATGTTGTCAAGATTTTCGACCAATACCTGTTTTTAATAAAATATAAGGAACGCTGGGCTCTTAGGACCTGGTGACTAAGTTAATATTTTCGACTTTTCACATCTCTCCTTTGACAGGCGATGTAATAAATAAATTAATTAAATTTGTAATACTTACACAAGGTTTTATACTGCCCAAATGATAGCTGTCTACGCTTTTTAAACTTTTAAGTTAGTAAACCGTTAAGTCGATTTTATGCAAACAAGGAAAGGCGTTCTTACAACCACAAAAACTATTAATTTTTTTATACCTTCAATGCCAATCCTGTGAATGAATTTTAGCTAAATAGTAAAAACTTCGGGAATAATACTGATTATTTCTATTTTTGTCATAGTAGCGTTTTTTAGGCTAAAGTTTTAAATTACTTATTTTAAGTTACCCGGCAAGCGCAGAATTGGACCTACATAGGTTTTTTTAACAAATAATTTTCCTTGTTTCTCCGGTGTACAAAGTTAAAGACAACTACATACTCTTGCTAATGAGTTCCCAAACTGGTAAACTGTTTCATCAAGTTTATAAGGAAATATTATGTGTAATTATTTACTAAAGATAAATCAATCTATTTGCTACTATGCTATCATAAGGGGTGGTTAAAAAATTGGAACTGTTACCGTTAAAATTTAAAATAAATGTGGTGTAGTAGTGTACGTACTGTACTCCAGAGGTAATAGAGTAAGAGAACTGCCCTATTATAATGTTTTTGGTATATATATTTGGTTTAATTTTTAGAGGAGCATTTATTCAATATTTTTTATATAAATACGGAATAATTAATATTAAAAAAAAAGGGTGCCGATAAGCAATTATAGAATTAATGGTTTAATAATATTTTATTGCTTTATTTTATTCAAAATTGTTAAGAAACTAAATATAATTAGGTCTTAATATGAACTTTGACTTATTGCAAGTAAATGGCGTCTCAACGCAGTACCCAGGAAACAGAAGCAGCGCTCAGTCACAAACTATACCGGACTTACCTGCTTTTGACGGACTTTTTCAATGTATAAAATAGTTGCTTAAGTTAAATTCTTTAACTACAGTGTTAGAAGTAAGCGGCCAACTCTCCCTCTGTCTAATCTCATCTCATCTACTACAACTTTTAGGAGTAAGAGATGTAAATTAATTTAAAAAGATAAGTTATATAATATGAGGAACAATGGTGGCGTTAACTTAAGGGATGTTAAAACACATGTGAGGGTATAATGTAACTTGTATCCTTTGTAAGGGTACAAACCTAGCTAATTTTTCAAGTTTTTATTTTTTAGTTTTATAGGTTAAACAAAAGGGGTCTAATTAAAAAGTATTAAAACTTTCCATTTTGCGGTAGAAGTTGGCACACAAATTATAGCTGCAGAAGTGGCTTATTATTTCATCACTTATTAAAAAGTTTATATTAATTTTAATTTGTTTTCTAAGCGACAGCTTCTTTGTCTTCTGCGTATCCTAGAGGAGACTCCGCCCTCAGGGGCCGACATTACGCAGCAAATTTGCCCAGTTATGCCACTAATATTGGCTGGACAGTTAACAATTCCGACTCAAGTACAAGATTTAAATATTTATATTAAATAAGGTTTCGGGTTCTTTTTTTAATATATAGGACTTAATCCGCTGCTAGGCAGCTTAAATTCACGCTCACAAGGTAACATAAATGACATTTTAGCGCGTCACAACGCAAACCTAGGTATTTAATTTCGTAAATATCATAATGGTTTATACAAGTAGTGTTATTAGTGAGGAGCTCTGGCATATTTACTATAAAGTTTGCATTGAAATTAACTATACGCGCATAAATTTTTTTTTAAAAGCTTTCAGGGATGCAATTAACTCCCCCCAGCCCAGCATTGATGAGTTAACAAGTACGGGTTTTAACTCTTTTATGATATTACTTTTAACTTGTAATATTGGTCCTTAGCACTCCAGGGTTTTCTATTGCCTCCACAGTTTCCAATTAGTGACTATAGACTTGAAACCTCTTTACTAGAACGTAACTTAAGATTGTATACTACTTTTCCCAATTAATATTATCTTTTGAATGTCAGCCAACCGGGTAACTTGTCAATTCAATGTTCCAAACACTCATGGAGTAGGGCCGCAGGTCATTGCTATCTATTGCCAATTTTTTTAAAATTGTAAAATGACTCATATAAGGCAGAAACATAAATTTTTTTTTTTGGGCAGAGATATGTATTACCTGGAAAAAATTTTAATACTATTGATAGAACACATGAATTAAATCAACCACCTATTCCAACCTATAAAAAATTAAGGGTTTGCGATGAATGCAAAGGTAATATATATTTTTTTTAATTTATCATTTTAATTTTTGTCCATTGTGACATCTTAGCTACTGGAACACCCCAATGGCGCCGGGGCCCTAATGGAGAGGTAAACCTTTGCAACGCTTGCGGACTGCGATTTGAAAAGCGGACGAAAAAAAAAGGAAAAACAACTAACTTTAAAAATAAGCCGGTAATAATATTAAAATGAAGGCTATAACGGCATTTTCAGTGAATATATGATCACAGAAGCGTCGAATAATAAAAAATAGACTTAAGTTATAAAAGTAAAGCAAACGAACAAAGCACGTCCTAAAGGAAAACTAAAAAAGTGCTTGTTTAACCGACTTTTCAATTTTAATACGTTAAATAAACTTTTTAAGAGAAGCATGACATATGTATTATTATTTAGTTACGATCAATTTTCAGGGCAATAAGAAATCGTGTTTCATACAGAGGTTTTTAATTATCTTCATTAACTATAAATTTTAACCCCTGCATGTGAAACTAAAAAAGTGCTTCGAAACTGTACTATCAGGTAGAGTATAGTATTAGTAAAATCCTTAAGAACACAGTATATAAATAAAGTTTGTAATTTTTTATTTCTTGTCTTTTGAATGTTACAACAAATGTGAAATTATCCCTTGTTATGTCGGTATATAAATATCCAGTTCTCGAAGCTGTAGATTATCCTTGGCGTTTTCAGCTTAGTCGCCATGGAGTCAAATGTAGGAGAGGAAAAAAATGAGCAACAGAAAGTTTTTCTAGCCAAGAAGTTGAGATTAGATAGAAAGGCAGCTCTGTGTCTAAAAAAAGATGTTAGTAATATACCCTCCCCCTTCTACTAAACGGTTAAACTAATAACCAGCGAGGGCATTAAAGAACGTAGTGCCGAAATATATTTTAAATTCAAATACTTTTATACATGATATACTTAGAACAGTGGTTTAAAACTTTAGTATTAACAGCAGGCGGTTAAGCTTACGACTCAAGGAACCAATCATAAAAGATCCGACGGCTCTAATTTTAAATGCGTTAGAATATTACGAGGGCGAAGGCAACCCTCAAAGACCGTTAAAAGAGGGTTGCCCCTTCCTCAATTCTTTTTACGCTGAGCTAAGACGAGAACTCCCAATCCCGGTGTGATGGCTCTACATATCTAACCTGTTACACTGACTTTATTTATTATATTAAAAAAGATATTTTAAATAGGTCAATGTTAACTATTACAATCAAAAAAATATATGAGATGTCTAACGGTCGATGATAGCTTGGTTAGGTCAAATCAAAATTCGCTGACACATACTATCTACACCATTATTATTTTCAGCATAATTTAAATGTAATAAATAAAAATATTAATTGCTTCCAGCCCACTAAGATCACATTCAAATAGAAATTTGTGGGCACTGTCGTAGCAGCCTATTGCGAAATTTTTTACCCCGGTTTATTCTGTCAGTGGGTAGTCCATTCGCTGGATGACACTATAATTCGTATATTTATTCATATGAAAGAAAGATTTCTCCGGGTAATTTGACTGAAGATTTAAAGACGTCAAAATTACGCAGAAGGAAACGCAGGAGGGTAGGAAACTACTGGTTGTTTATTCGCTTAACAAGGATTAAATAATCGGGTTGATCCACTAGATTGGACCCCTGAAGATAATACCTTTACCCATATAACTTACTCGAACAAGGCTAGTTTAATAATAATCCGAATGACTGGGTAGGTGTTTCCGAGAAGTTTAGAAACAAACATAAGTAAAATTTTTGTATATTCTGTGCCGCGGTGGTAGATATACTAATGATAAGAGCAAATGATATTTTTCCGTATTTTCCTTGCAATGGTCAGAGTAATTCTTCGACGTGAAATAGCTTAAGTGAAGAGGAAATATGGCGTCCCCAAGGGTAAACTTTTAGTGAGTTAATATAAGTTAACATTTTTAAAAATATTCTATTATTAAAGAGCCAGAGGCTTACACAGAAACGCGAATAACACTCTCTAATAGCACAATCCTTATTGACTTTCTTATAGTACTATTCTTCTTCTTAGGGAAGCAATACCGCTCCCTACCTACAGATGTGAAACTCATTGAAACCAAAAAACACTGCAAACATCAATAGTGGGAAATGTTAAACACACCCACACCTCTTGGTGTTTCCAAAAAGTTTCGCGCTACATATTTATTGTTATGAAAAACTTGTATCGAAGCGCTTTTGTTCATAAAAGAACGCCATACTCTGAGCATTATCATTAATATTATAGTGTGTTAAAGCTAACCTTTTAGCAAAGGAATTTTATATAACTAAGCCCAAAGGTCAAAGTTTAAGTCAAATGCAGTTTCCAGTTCACGCAATTCCTCGCGCCTGCTAAATTTGGTGGTAACGCCACCGCTATGAGGCACCATAAAAATGCAGTAATAACAAAGACGACTACTATTCCCATTACCCCCCGGGTTGTATACTGTAGAATATAACGAATGAAGGCCATAAAATGAAAACTGGGAGACTTCGCTTACCCTACCAGCAGGTTGCTCCTTGGTAACCTAAAAAGAAGGCCATGTTAAGTTAGAATAAACTCGCAATTATATACTAGAAATACCTTGGCATTAGACTTTTCTGTCATATTTTTTTTACTTGCTTTACTTGGTTTATGTGTTGTTTTCGATTCATTTAAGTTCTTACTCTAAACTACAGAATTAATAAACTTTATAATAGCTAAAAACATATTTCAAACTTGACTGACGGTGTTTTACAGTCCCTTTCATAGCATTCGTTGAATCGTTATCTGCTGCAACTTTGTTATCCTTTATATAAAATAATAAATAGTAAATGGTCTAAGTATAGTGCGATAGTTGATTAATTCCGTCTTTTATAAAATTTCCCGAAGCACAAGGGTTAATGGCGATTTAAGACTGACTTACTAGGGAGTATTTTGTAATTAACCTCATTTGATTCATTTAAAAGACTAAAAAACTTCTACAGTTTCAACGGGCGACTAACTCCTTCAGCAATGCAACCAAATGCTAATGTTTATATCGGGTTTGCTCCAAAGTTCACAATTTTAACATATGATAAGTTATCAGGGACAGTACTTATTGAGCACTAAAGGAGAGCATTGAGTATTTGTAAAAGTTAACAAATACTGGTCTTTGCCGCACATAAAAAGCGTATAATTCTTTTTTTTTAGGATTAGAGGAAGTTAAGAAATTAAGCGCTAATGAGCAATAAAGCGCTCTCATTCACAAGAAAAAATTTTAATAATGCTTATAAAAAAGTACCGCCGGCTCTCCCTGTAATGCCCTTTCCATTACAAAACTTTTCTCGCGCTTAACATCCGGTTGCTTTTCGTACTACTTCATAAATTATTATACTAATAAAAGAGTGCTAGCAGTTGTAGAATAAAACCTTTACTTCTTCTTCTGCTTCGGCACTAGAAATAGGCCGCTCTCGAACAGCTTTGAATCTTTCTGCTTGGAGCACGTAGGGCCAAAATTAAAGCATACTATTTTTAGTGGTAATGTTCGCCTTTACCCGAAATCTCTTCAATATATGTGCCTTTAATTTGTTATAGAATATATGGGCTACATAGAATTTAGTATTCTTACGTCTTCTGTTTGCTGACGGCAGTCATTCCAGTCAAAGTTCGAGTTAGACATATCACGTCCTCGATGCTTGCACTCGAACGGCATTCCAGATCGGATGTTTCATTTATTACGAAGATTTAAAAAACAGCAGCATTGGAAATGCGGATCCACATCTACGCGACTTAGTAGTTTGCTATATTAATAACTTTTGTAGTTTTACTTAGAATATTTCGCATTTACAAGCCCAAAAGTTTTGGAGCAAACGTCTCCTGGATTAAGCAAGTAATACGATTACCTCTTAACCGTCTTATTAGCGATGTAGTAAGAAATTATTACACTTCACTACTTGTATACTACATGAAACTTACTAAAAACGTAGATTACTCTTCCTTGCGAATGTGCTGGGAGCAATAGAGATTATATTATTCCCATTTAGAGCTCCATCTCACAAAATATATTGCTGAATTCCTTTGGGTATTAAAGAAAACTTACAAGTCAGTTGACTGAGGCAACCCGTTAAATGTACCTGGAGGTAAAAAGCTAATGGAACATCTAGACAAGTTCCTGCCAATAAATAAGGCCACAAACGAAGGTGTCGATGAATCATAAACTTACAAAAGTGTGACTCTAAACCATCAAAGGCTTGAAAAGCAACTGGACTCAACAAATTCATAGATAAATTCCTTATTGTTATTAAACAAAAGGTCGCTTTAAATAGCAGATTCATATACTATTACACTTATTAATATTTTTATCGGCAATAATAATATAAGCACCCCCTCAAGACCATTATAAAATTTACAACAAATTCAGTTGAGCTAAGTTGTTAAAAACTCCAGGGACTAGGTAACTTAACCCGTTTCAGATAGAACTCTAAACAAAAAATGTGAAATTCGAAGTAAGAACACTTCATAAGGAACCAACCAAAGACTTTAACAAAGAAATTTAAAATCCTGAACACGTATTACATAGCTGCGGTCGTCTGAGAAAACGTTTCTGGAGTAATCACGCTTAATTTGTTATAAGATAGCTCCCTTATAATAAAAAAAGTAGAGAGTTAAGGCAATGTAACCTTGAACAACCCAAGCAATAAGCAATAAGGTGACTCTACGACAAAAAGAAAGTGTGACGGGAGAGGTATGCTCTATTCCTTGCATATTTGAAAATACTCTTAACACCAAAAATTTGATTACTTTCTTTTGATAAGGTTCTACTATACTTCACCAGTCTAAGGAGGCATATTTGCCTACGAAGCCATACATTGAGCATCTAGTAAGAAAACTTACAATGCCAAAAGGGGTATACAACGGAAGCTTCCGGGGATAATGAAGCTTAATTCATCTCCAGAAAGCTTTCTTTAGAGACGTTGCGCACATAATTATAATATAAATGGAAAAACTTTAATAGTAAAAAATGTACAAGAACATTCGAATAAGTTCAGTACACAGTAGTGTGGACTTACTGATACACCTCACCATGGTCGCTATCGTTATAACCCCTCGCTATTAAAGCTTAAGTCTAATTATTCTCGGTCTTAACTATAGAAACGACCGGGCTAAGTTAGTGTTGCACTAGTATTACTAACTTTTTCACGGCGTCGCAAGTGTATTATAAAGTTATACCACCAAATATAAAAGTTAAGTCAGCCATCGATCTTTCATACATTGTGAAAACTTTTATCATCTGATAATAGTGAAACCTTTTTTATAAATTCAGATACGAAGGGAACTAAAACTGTTAATATTGTTAAACTTGCAAAACCTCCAATTTAGTAAGTTTGCTGAAAAGTTTAGGGCGGATTGAACTCAGTTTGTTAACAGAAATAAAAGACTTGAAGTAAATATTAAAATATATATACGACCAAGAAGGTCATCTGCTTTGTAAGGTTACACTTACAACCAGACAAGATCGTCATTATGCTGAATACATTAGGAACAATTCGACTTATGGAATTATTATCCAAATCTCTGGTAAAAAAAATTGTTTTTAGTATATTAATAATGGAAATTACTAAGTAACTTTACTAAGAAATAACCAAAAAGGTCTATATACTTATTAGTAGTGGAAAAATTATAAAATACAACCAATAAAAATTTGGCCTCCACGCCCGAACACCCGTAACGAGATCACTAATGTAAAGAATATCGCTTTACTAAACTCCCAAATTTAGAGCTGAGCGTCAGCTTGTACAAGTTTTTAACGAACAATAGATGGTTATCTAGCGTAGTACAAAAAATTTTGCGCTACTTCATAAATAAAGGGATAATATCAACTTTAAATATATCGCAAAACGACTACGCTTAAAGATGTTATAATAGTCAAGAGTTTATAGCAAAATTGCTTTCCTTTCAGTATCGTCATAAAACATTTTTTTTATCAAAAAATGTTAAGTTAATACGGATTAAAAGAGCGACTCAATCTAATTGCTTATTGCTTAAAAAAAGCACATATAACTTATAAATACTCTTAACCCTAAAACTGCTAAGTTTCATTAATAAAAATATCATATAATAAGAACATAGCTTACAAACTATATAAGTTGTCAAGTCCCTTAAAAGTTTTTTCATCTAAAGTGGTAGAGTTGTCCGCTCCAATTTTTCTAAATTAAAAAATAACATACACTGACCTTTTAAAAAAAGAAAAATATGTATTATTCTCCAATGGTACCGCCCCTTACAGAAACCCTATATAATTGCTTAACTTTTAAAAATCTTCCCTTTATGAGAGGCGTCACTAAACAGAAATGTTAAACGATAGTGCATACAAAATTTTTAGCGAGGAAAGAGCAATGAAAGAGCCGCCCCCTCAATTATTTTTACTTCACAGTTAACCATAGCCCTTTGCATCAGTTACATTATTAAAAAAAATTGAAATAATGCATTTAGTTGTATATTGACTTTTGTAGTAGAAAGTTATAAAATAGTGACACTACATATCTGCTGTCTACCTCTCCACTGAAATAAATTGCTCACAAAAAAGCTATTAACTAGTAAGTAGTTTAAAAAAAAAGTTGCCTTAACAAAAGAAAAATTATGTGCCACCAAACCAATACCACTGTTTAAGCAAAAAACGTCCAACTTACATTCCGCTAAAAGTTCGAAAACCTGCTAATATCTTAGCATCAAGAAAGTTTAAAATGCGTTTGATCGTTGTCCTTTATGCCAATATAAAACAGGAAAGCTTTAAAAATTTACTTCTTTCTATATACATAAACATTTAAAGGATATTCCCCCAAAAACTTAAAAAGTAATATTTTCTAAAATGCTATCTTGAAGACATTCTATTTACCTTAAAATATAAATCTAAATTAGCTATTAAGAGACAATAATTACAGGATAGACCTCACCCTTAATGATATACTACAGGGCGCCCCCGGTGAGCCTCGCAAGCACAAAAAGTTACAGAGCAGAAAGCCGACCGTTACAGCTTAAGTAAAGGTTGCGGTAAGCTGGTCAAGCAAAAGCTTTTATAGTTACAATTATTAGGTTTGTATATCCTTCTATTTATTTTCTGGCGTGTACCATACCTGTACCTGAGATCAATGGAGGAAGGTATAATAATGAGTCAAAAACGTTAATTGTGTTTTTTCTTTGGCAAGCAATTTGCTTATAAGAAGTTGTAGTTTAAGATATACACAGACTCGTTAAACCTACTATTTTTTTTTTGTACTAACAAAAATAAATTTATTATATATGGTTGGTATCGTTATGCACAGGAACTCATCTATTACATGATCTTCGATAATTTTGGTGCCTTCCTTTACAAATAAATTTGAAGGTTCATGTTCCTAAAAAAAACTTAAGAATTAATAGATTGAAAAACCAGTAATTAGGCTAATTTAAACTGAGCACCGACGGTTTTGAGCTCAATTAGATTTGATCTATTTAAACTAGAAAAACTACCAAATTTTTTTTTATTAAAATAAGAAATTCACCTTTTTTTTCCTTCTGGGTTTTTTTTCAGCGGTCGAGGTTTTAAAGGCTAGCACTGGTGCGCCCTAAGAGTGTGATTGTGGTCATGGAAAGAGAGTAGACACTAAAGTGTGTGGTATCCTTAGAGCACCAGCGCGACCGATGCGATACTTGCATCAGATTTTATACAATACGTTGTTAACAAAAGATTTATTTTTGTCTTTTGTTGCCACCATTTTACTTTTTACAGAGACTGATTGCTACTAACACGATAATTTATGCGGTGGTCTTTCATAGCAACTAAAACTAGGTTTATAGTTCGTATAACAGCTAAGTAATGTTTTATAAACTTACATGTAAAAAAAAAACTGCTTATTACAATCAAGAAAACCTACACCTTTTATAATATATATTTATTATTAGTTTACACTGCATAACAGATCTAAATTGTAATATTTTTGTAGGCGAAATTTCCCCCTCCCCCACCACGTAAGGCGGTAAAAAAACCTTTACCTAGGATTTACCAATTTTTTTAAGAAATACATATTATCACAGGCCGCCATGAAAGTTTGTTTTAATTTTTATTTGCATCAAATAATTTCTTTTATTAATAATCAATTGACATAAATTTAGCTTTATTATTAATAGTTACAATTAAAGAAAAAAGTGGTCAAAATAGTTGCATTATAGGTTAGTTTAATTTATTTTATTTAATCGAAACGAGTACTGGATTTTTTTAAATATACTTTAAGTACTCTAAGAGAAGTTTTGAATATTGCGTTACCTATTGGGTTCCCCAAAATTTTACAGTAGCCTACTATAGCCTCCTAGAGCCTTACGTTTCTTCGGGCCAGCCCTAAAATTTCGACAATCCATCGCATGCCCCTAAATCGGTTTCAGTTGGCAGAGAACTGCCGACTCGGTAACTTTACCTCGGAAAGCGGACTGCTCGGGAGATATTATCTAAGATCTGGAGGTTGTAGCTTCTATGAAAGCAGCGCAAATTGCCAGAAAGGAGTTAATCAGCAACATTATAGAGTTTGCGAGGCAGTCGACTTACGTCGCACGACAAGACATATGTTTTAGCATTACACTAGTGGTGCCACTAAGAACATAACAAAGTTTATTTACCTTTTTTTATATATTCTTGTTATAACGCCGGCATGCTGGAGCTCAGGCTTTATTTCCCTTGTCTAATGGTTTTAATTCTGTGGCTGTTGAAAAGCCCCAGCCTTAATGTATTTTTTTCTCGGTCGAGCTCGGAAATGACTGTGCGGCTTAAGACACTTTTTGTATCGAGTATATTTAATTATAGCCCGACAGCCGTGATAGCACTTATTTTTTCAGAAATATACTTTTTTTCTCGTTGGGTTTAAACAATTTTTGAGCTTTAAATATATCCTTCTGTTTTATAGGAAAAGCCCTTTACCTTATAATATTTGCTAACTAAGCTTATTAAAAAGTATCAACAGTTTTCCTTGTCAAATATAATAATTTTTTTTAAAAAATATTTTTTCTGACTCTGATCTTAAGTCGAAATTTTTAGTAACGGTAACGCAAAACTGTGCTAAGTATAAGTTGGAGCTATATAATAGATGAACAAATCTAATAACAAACTACGGCTTCTAAAATCAATTATTGGATTAGTTTCTAAATTTTCGAAGTGTCTTTAACTATCCGAGTGTTTACCAAAAGTACTAACACAAAACCTGAGGGCTACAGATTTCAATAAGGTCCAAATAATATATATTAAAACCAAAACAAAAATTCAATTAAAAAGTGACAGGTAATTCTGTGCTTGCCCTTTTTTTTTTTTCATATAACGAATTGCTCGTTTAACTACAACAACTGCTTTTTACTATAATCCCTTTTTAAAGTTTCCTAAAAAGAAATGTAAGTATGCGCATTAAACTAATCAGAAGCAAAGATTATTTTAATGTAAAAATCACTAAAGCAATCTTTAGCTTGTATGTGCGCGTACAGACTTCAACAGGTGAATACGACTGACGTTCTGAAGGGCCGACTCGAGCATTGCAGAGCAGAAAGGGTCCCCTGGATTCATGGACAACGCCTGTCGAAATCTTTAACCTTCAATTATATTGCTTCAAGTAGGAACTCTGGAGACCTTGTGGTAATTCTCGATAGCTGTCTGGAAAAAGCTCGTGTACTTTTCAAAGGCACTTAAAAGGGTCAAAGTCGCAATTAGTGGGTCATGTGCGAGATGACGGTGGGCACGAAATTAAAAGTGCCAATAAAAATTTATACTTCAGTTTGTTGAGAAAGTCATTACCGGGTCCATCCGCGAGGGAAACGCACTCTTGAAGGGCTTTTTTAAAGCCTTGTGTGCAAAGAAGTATAGTTTGGACACAAAAACATAACATAGAGAAAGCACACCAAAGAGTTGGCTTATGAGGCCCAACGCCGCGTAACTCGAGTAGTGAAACGGAGAACACTTCTTAGCCTCCTCATAATAATTCCTATTTTTTTTAAGTTAGTATTATTTGCGTAATTAAAGATATATAAGTAGATAATATTTAAAAGGGGTTACTAATATGTATATTAAGAAAAGCTTAGAGTTGAGGCTGGCAACAAGTTAAAAACTTTGCTTCCTCGAAAAGCTGCAGTTTTCTGTAAGAATGGCCGATGTTGAGCAAAGTGGTATGGAGAAACTCATAACAAGAAGCTAATGATAATTAATTAGTAAGGAAAAAGAACAGTGGTCAATTAAGAATGGCATAAATCGTAGAAGCGCCTATTTACAATGTAAAATGTCGAAAAGGCTGTTTTCACTGAAAGATTACAATAATAGCCCAATGAGCAGATATCAATTTGTCATTGAAAATTACAAAATCTGAAGCGTTCACAAAGTAGGGGAGTGTTTAGGAACCCAAACAGTTGTGGCCCTTATGGAAAGTAAATTGATCACGTGCCTTCACCAATATGATTCACATGGTTTTATTGTACACGAGGGGTCTGTAAATATGGGTCCGCCCTGCCATGTGCTCAAGCGGGTGTGAAGCATCTCTTAAAGAGATTCGATTCCTATACAACCTTGCCACACACAACTACCCAAAAGTAACTTTCCAGCTCAGAAAGGAGACAATAAACTATCAAATCTCCACTACAGTCCACACAACTTAAGCAACGCTGTTCTATTCTTTAAAAACTGAATACGTTAGGAAGCTTAGTGATTGTAAAAATGGCAGCATTAACAATAAGAAAAGTAATAATAATAACTTTCTTGAAAAGGAGGTTTCTCTATTAAACTTGAAGCTTCCCGAAAATAATGAATGGCTTTTTCAAATCTAGTTGAGTTAGCAATAATGAACGAGTTAATCCGATAAAAAAGTACTCGTAATCTTTATAATAAGCAACGCCAATTTCGTGAAAAACAAGTGGATCTTTGGAGTACAACTGCCTAACAAAGGCATTAAGAATGTTCAAAACGGTAACAACGAAAACAAAGCAACCTGGAGGCCTCAAAGCTTAACTGAGCAGACTCATATATAAAATAATGAACGTACTGCACCCCCGTATACAGGGAGGGCAGATGAGAACCAGAAACAACACGTGCTGCTGCGCGGTAAGCGGTCATAGCCGCATCGTGGTCTCCCTCAGAAGCAAATGAGTGACCGGCGGCGATCCAGCTTTCACCGCGGCACGCTCCCATACCCAGTGCTCTACTATAAAGTCAAGAATAATATATGGGCGCGAGTCAGAGAGACGTTAGGTGGACTTACGAGAAGTAACGACGGGCCTTCTCTTGGTGGCCCAGCAAATAATAGTAGCATCCCAAGGAGTACCACGTAATTGCTTTATCGGGCAAACGGTCAACTAAGTAGTGCACTTTGATGAACAACTCGTTTGTTTTCTTCAGCTCGATCTAAAAAATGAAGGATACTTCGAAGAAGTGGCCTTAGGACGAATAAAAAAACACTTACTAGGCAGCCAACGTGCAACAACAGGCCACGCTCGTGAAGGGGATCGAACTGTAGGGCTCTAACATAAATTGAGCGCCTAACTTACGAAGAACAAATACTACAGGAAATACACTAACTTGGAAGTAATTCTGTAAGCTTTTTTAAAGTTAAGCCTGTTGTAGTGCGTGTAGGCGCGGTTCACCCGTACATCCACGTGCTTGTTCAACCGCTTTATGTGGGCGGCATCAGGCACATCCGGCGCGAAACAATACTTGAGAAGGAGAGTGTGTGGCGAGTATGAATGAGTAATAGCGGTATAATACACGTGCGCACAGAGTGGAGTATTGCAGATGAAGCGCCTCCCGTTCCCACGCACTCACCGAGTCCCAAGGAAGATTCTGCAGGAAAGTTTGCTCTTTGTGAAACAGACGAGTCTTCATTAATACCTGCCCTAGCCTTAACAAAGCTTATTAAGAAGAGCAGACACACCTTCCTTCTGGGTCAACATGTGGCTACTAACAAGCCGATAAAAAGCCTCATAGTTATAAATATCGGAGCACAGCGCCTCCTGGTAGCATCGCTTTGCTTCCTTAATATTGGAGTGCGCCTCGTATATGGTCCCACGAAGAAAAAACAAAGAACTTTCAAGCTTTATACAATTATATTTAACACATAGAAAAATAGTAACAGCTAAATTAAAATACTTTTTCCATCCCGAAATCATCGGCGGCTTGCTTATCTAATTCTTCTTCGCCTTTGTGGTATACACATAGGAAATAACGAATGTAAATTTGAAGAGAAGTTCAACTAATAAAGTTGTTTGCCTAAAGTATCAAATGCTTTGTCCCACAACTTAAGGGCCACCTGTTAAGATGAAATATGAAAGTCTGAAACTAAAATAATGGAGCACTTGTTAACTGAATAAAGTACTCAAAAGTCTTTATAGAAACTTTTTAAATTTCTTATACTTTTCTTTGTTATACGTATTACAACTGGAAATTATATATTTGTTTGTAATAAAAGAGTAAAAGCAGATACATACGTAAGATTTAGCGGTCAAATAGCGAAATGATCTATTTAGAAGCGAAACTTTGCGAGCGTTAAGAAATTCAAGAGCCCTGTGATAGTTTCCAGCGTTATGGTGGGCGTTGGCAACCCGATAAACATCTGAAATATCTAAAAGGAACACTTAAAAGTCAGATTTGGTAAAAGAGCATTCTTCTGGACCAGCGGAGAGGCTTAAGCATTGTTCAGCGATCCTACTGGCGTTAATATAATCATTCTTTGCAGAAAATTTTTCATACAACTGACGGTATACATTTAGTAAACACAATGAAGAAGGCTCGTCAGCTCCTTTTAGAATCTCACCATTAGTACGTGGAAGTGACTTCGAATCAAAGAAAAGGACAACAAATAAATTTAAAACCTTCATGAAAACTTAACAGTTTATCAGAAGTGTTAAGTTCAATACTAGCGGTCATAATGGGGTATTAATCTCTCTATTATTTGGATATAAAGAAAAATAAGAGGAAAGAAAAAATACGCTATAGTAAAACTTCGTGAGGAAAGTAAAAACCAAAAATATAACATAAAAACTCTTATTATACTATAAGTGTAGCTAAGCAAAACTATTACAACTTAACAAGTCACTATTTTAAGTATTATTTTATATTCCATTAGTATAAAAATTATGATAAAACTTCTATAACAGAAAAAAGGCAGGCATAGCAATTACGTAAGAAGTGTGTTTTAATTTAAAAAACTAACTTTGAGGAGCTACTAAAGGAGAATAATAAAAACGAAATTATAAGCTCCAAGTCTGCAAAAAGCCGTGTTACGCGGGTAAAAAAACATAAAAATCACATAAGTAGGAAACCAATTTAAGTACCATACGACTCTGATCTCTTTACATAAAGGCCTTCCTATAAAATTATTAGATATACTTTTCATCATGAATTATATCACTACCTTGCTAAAACTACCTCCCCAGCTTAATGAATTATGTATAGCTACAAACTAACTACAAGTGAACCTCAAACTACAAGAGCGGAGCTTGAAGTACCACCACCCTTCAGCCTCCAATTCCTTGCAGTAATTACCTCACAGAGACACCGACGTAGTGCTAGAAACTGTAGTGCCATAAAACCTTGTTGGATCCGCTTACACTTTAGGTTGTAAACTTTATTAAATAAAAATTGCTCTATTTCCTTAATAAAAAGGGATTTCATTTGTTACTTAAATACAAATTATTAATAGCTTGAGAAGTACATTTTTATAACGAAATACATAAACATATAAACTTTATTACATCTTTTAGATATCGGATACTGAAGAATATGGCACCTTAAAAATTAAAGTCTATCATACCCTGCCCTAATTTTAAAAATTTGGTATTATTAAAAAGCTGTAATATAAATTTAATTTTAAAAGACCCCACTTTACTGGGAACTTACAAATTTCAACGTCATTGCTTTCGTAAACTAAAACTTTAATATAAAAGTAGCCGTCTTAATCCGCGGTGTTACCTTTAAATTTAGCAAAAAAGTAGTGATATAATAATTACTTTTTTTAAGGGTGTATTATTTACAAGGTAATTCTGTTATATAATTAATCGTTTATAAGGATAGTTCGTATATATAATAAGGTTTGTGGATTAAAACGTCTGAACGTGTCGTGGAATTAGTAAATTTTTTTGAAGCTATGCAACAACACTTCCGTCTTGGCGGCTACGGTGGAGTGCAAAACAATGTTTTCAAAGTTCCTTAAAGCAACCTCTAAAACGTCTTCAAGAAACTTCTCTAAGAAAGTACTCTTGGTGCCCACATATTTAAAGCAGAGAATACAAATTAAGTGACTTAAATCTTTAAGGCAATGTTATAAAACTAAAATAGTTAACAATGCAAAAAGGCTAAACTTGTCCGAATTAGAAGGCGACCTTTTTCTTAAGTGTAAAATATTAACATGCCATAAGACTTATGTAAGAAGATGCTGCAAAGCAGAATTTCGAATAAAATAATTAGAGGAACTTAAACCTTACCATCTCTCCCACATTGCGTTCCAGTAACACTTTACCTTCTGAGAACTTTAAAGAAACTGAATATCACATAAAAACGAGTCTGTCTTATCTCGGATCCAGTTACTTCATACTGCGCCGAACAAGCTTATTGTAGAAAATTCTCAGTTATAACAAGAATACGGGTACCTTTGTTGAAAGTTGGATTTGTTTTTGCAGTAAAGAGAAAAAAGGAGGAGAACCACCCGTAAGCGGTCCTTTGGTCTTTCTTTAGTTTAAGGTAATTAAGCTAGTCGACACAAACTAAAAATAAATAACTGAAAAATTATTGAGATTATACTTTATAAATTTGCTTCTGAAGATTCTTTAAAAAATAATTGAATTAAAAATTTAAAAATTGTAATTAATATTTCTTGAAAGCCACAAGTTCCAACGACAGAAGCATGCGTAGAACAAAAAGGATAAGGAGTGGTATTAATAAGTTCAGTCTCCTTATATTTTTCTAACTTCTCCTACTGCGGCTACCAGCATGTATTTCGGCGTATTCCATATTTTAAGTTGGACAAGATTTGCTCGAGAGCGAAGGGAAGTCGTCTTGATAAAAAAAATATTCACAGTTAATATATTGTCATACTCTTTGCGTTGACCAGTCTTTTCTGGTAAACTCCTTATTCACTTTTCTTCTCCTGTAAACAAGATGGCACTTGAGATTATAATCTTTTAATAAAACCCAAACTTTAGGATTTTAGCGGGTTTTGATACATCCCTTTTATAACCGTTTACTTGTGCTTAAGTTAAAGTTGGTATACTTTAAAAACCACTACAAGCAAACTATTCTAGTGTCTTTTTGTTCTTACTATATGAATTTCCCTTTTTATATATGAAGTCGTTTGCTTTCCCATCACTAATAAAAGTTTGTCCGTAAACAATGCATGACTCAAACTCACTGGAGGATTGGGCCTGCCCAAGCCGGACGCGTTGTAGTATGTTATTCAGGCGTCGATAAAATTTTTGATCCTTTACTAATTCTTGCTGCCAGTTTCTTTAAAACGAGCTCAAATGGTAAAATAAGCTCTCAAGCAGGCTGAAGCGTGGAAGTTTTAGGTAGTCAGGGGCCCGCAATCTTGTAGGTTTGGTTGTCTTTTTACTTTCTTCAGAAGTGCATACGACCAACCCTCTTAAAGCGGTTCATACTTTTTTTTAAAAAAACTGGTGAGTTAGAATATTAAAGTTAACCCTACAGTAGTCGCAGAGGTCTCACAGATCTGGAAATAATTTTATTGCCTAAATTTTCTAAGTAGATAGAAGTTCAAATTTAGTGTGTGTGACCTGTACCCTACCATCTCAATAAACAACGTGTTCAACAATTTAAGGTATTTTTTATTTAATATGAAAGTAAAAATTTTTAAACTCAAGGGGTTAGCGAGACCTACTGCGACACTAATGGTTAAATAGGAGGTGCGACTACTGTAGGGTTAGTAAAATATATGTCTTATAATGTAAAATCTAAGCAAACCTTTAAGAAAATAATTATAATGTTTCCTACTCAATTTTATTAAAATTTATTACAAATTTATTTACTCTAAATTACTTTGACTTTTGCTGAATATTTAAATGACTTTGTTTGCTGCCTCAACTCCTTCTTTCATACAGTGAGGAACCGAAACACCAAAGTAGGAATTGCCTGTGAGTATAAAGTTTTCTCCGAATTCCCGAGTTACCAAATCAAAAATTAACTATATTAATTAATAAATTAAAGCAAAAGCAAGCACAACAAATAATAGTTATAATAAGTATGCATGAACCTTTTAGCAAACGTATTATTAATAAAAAAAAGTTATAAACCTTTATTTTTTCCAAGTGGCCGACTTCATATTGGGGGATACAATTTTTGAGGATCCGTCCTTTTACAAAAGAGGGCGCCTCACTACAACACTGGCATCAATGTATATATAATAACGACAGTAAATAAAAAATACGTTATTGGTAGATAACTCTTCAGCTGGGCGAGGGCGCGCTGTTCTAAGTCACGTGTATAGACATGCTCGTTAGAAGCAACGTTCATCATCAGCTTCTCGAAGTGAATACGTGAGTAATAATATGGTTTTTTCTTCCTTTCTATATAACCGTTAGACGCTCGTGCTGCGAAGAGCACTGTGCAGGGAAAAGCTGCGAGTGGAAAATAACACCAAGCAACGAAGACTCGTCACCAACGGAGGGCACAAGAAAACCAAACGCCTGCTTACGATAATAACAGTGATTATTATAACAATAATAATAACATAGAAGAACCTTATGAAGCACAACTCTAGAACTAAAAGCCACATTAATTACTGCTAGATTGCAAAACTTAATAGAGGCCAGTAACGTAATTAACCGGTGGAGCGTAGAGCTCGTGGGCCTCAAATAAAGTAAAGGTAAGCGCTCTGTTATAAAGAAGTAAAAAACTATTTATAAACAGTAAAAGTTTTGTAAGCGAATGCGCGGGAATAGAGCAAACCAATTTCTGAACATCAAAAGTTTTTACTTGGCACTGCTTATTTCTGAAGGATAGCTTTATATAAACAAAAAACACCTTTCACTAATAATAAGAAGAAGAAAAAATGGAGGTACTCTGTAGAAACTTTCCGACGGAAGATATTCAATATTCGTGCACTCGTGTTCTTTCAGTACAGAAATGTTCTTTTGGGCCAAAAGATAGTTTTCTAGTAAGTTTTATTCATTAAAAAAGAGTCTCACTGTGGGGCTAGAAGCACGTGCGGAAGGGGGAAGCAAGCCCCTCATATATGCAAAAAGCAAGCACGCGTCCTACCCAACGCCTCCACCAATGCAAACATTCCCCCTTTGAAGGAAAAAGGGCGGGAGCGTTCCATGTGTCCTTCAAGTCGCCGCGTTGCTTCCACGTCACTCTGGTGATCATTTATTCTTGTTTTTCCACCCAAAACTAGAAAAATAAGTGATACGCATTACTTTTCATTGCAGCAAAATATAGTAAATAAAAGCAATAAAGGATAAAAGGCGCTTTATTAATCGTTAATAACAAAAATAGCGCAACAAAAAATAGTAAAACAATAAATACACGACAATAATGCTCCGATGGTGACGCTGCTGTACTTTTCTTCCCAACTAACTAAAAAAGGAAAACAAGCGCGCACAGAGAGTAACTTGGCATCACCGGCGTAGATTCCACGGACCTGATATATAAAAAGAGAAAGGTAAGGGGGGGGGGGGGAATTATTATAATAGATGAGAAGGAAACCAAAGCTGACATAAAAAGATTGGCGAACTGCCGCCCAAATTGGCGAGAGGCAAACTGGTGTACGGATTCATCGGGCAACGAACGTCGAGAAAAAGGGAACCTCCAAAATCTTTTCAAGTCGTGGAGAACTGCTATCAGAAGTTTTCGTCCTTCAGAAAGGAAAGCGCATAGTTAGTATCGAGGCTGTCACCATCATAACTTTTCTACTAAACTTTGCTCCAGTGGGGAAGCAATGTGGTTGTGCAAGTAAACATATGCTCGTGTGTTCTACTGGAAGATTATTTTTCTATCTTCAAATATTATGTTAAGTGCCCTAGAAGTATCTCGGAAGACTTTTTGTATAGAAGACTCGTGGAAAGATATGACTATCTATTTGTAATCTTATGTTTATTAAATATGGTAACATCGCCCTCTCTTCTATGAGAACATTTTTATAAGTAAATAAACTTGAAGAATATAAGGAATGCCCTTAAATATAAATATAGTAAATCCGGCGTTCAGAAGTGAAAAGTAAATTAACGAAACATAAAAAAAATTAAGTTATTTAAATAATAGAGTAGAAGCGTCCACTTTAATGGTATATTTAATAAAAATTACCAATAGAAGTAAAAAGGAAACCGCTAATGCTATGGGGGAGCGGTACTATTTGATTTTTATGGGCAACGTACCTATGAAGTTGTACTGATATATTAATCGAAAATTGAAAACGAAAAAAGCTCTAAGTGTGGTAAAGAAAAGCCTAAGCAGAATTAAAGTTACGAGAAGTATAACGATAACTTAAACAATAACAGAAATAAAATAAAGGCCTTATGCTAGAATTAGAAGTTGCTTTTAAAATCTGCTCCTGCATATTTAAGGAAGCGAGCTAGGTAGTAGTCAGTAAGGAAAAATGTTTTATGAATGTAACAAAGTCAACTTACTAATTCATAGAGAGGATACTGTAAATTACCAGAAGTACGTATAGTATGGGGCCCTTGTTCGAGGATTAAGACCTCACTAGCTTTACTCTCTAAGCCTTCATTCTACGAGATATACACAATACAGTTACAACACAGTTTATTTAATAATAATAATACTATGTAAACCAAGTTAGCCCTTACGGTACGAATGCAGCCTCCAAGCTCGGCTCTTTTCTCAATAACCTAAAAGTTTTTATTTAAATGATTTATAGTTTATATATATCGTTTCTATGCACATATGATTCTATGTTCTTTTTTAATAAATGAAAGCAGGCAATGAAAATACTAATATCTCGGTAGCGGAGGAAACAATTTTGGACAGTTGCCAAGCAGTAGAAAGCCCTGTTATACCTCCTCCAAGAATGCATATTCTGTTTGTCATTACACCTACAGAATAGCATGTGTACAGAGTGCTACACGTATGAGAAGAAGAAGACTTTTATAAACGCCTAAAACTACTAAAGATCTAGAGTATTTGTCAAGCACTGTAAAGTAAAAAAGTGTTTGACACTTCAATAATTAATAAAACCAGGAGAAACCTCATCCTATAAAAGCTAATAAAAATTCGTCGTTTTTGCTGCCAAACACAATACCAATAGAAGCCAATAGAAGCCTTTTCGTGTTTGTTGTGGTGGCAATCATAAGCTTAACCCCAATGTCACAATTATTTGTTAACATATAACTAGTTCCAGCTGACGTCTACAACAATATATTAAAAAGTTTCTTACATTTAGAATTTATATAAAGTCAATGTACTTGAAGTAACATTTATTCTGTAACTTACTTATTAAAAGGTAAAGGTTTGATATAAGGGTCATTATTCCTACTACTTTTCATTGTCATGGGAGTCAAGAAATATTTGTACTTTTTCCGGCTTGCTTTCCCTTCCTTTGACCTTATAATACTGAACAATTTTAATTTTGCTGACAAATTTTAGATAAAACTTTACATAGTGTTAGTGCACTTAACACAAGTGCGACAATTTCTTGAAGGGAACGCCAAGTTCACGAGTTAGGTATATTGCCTATCGTTCTATCGTTGATTACCAATTTTTATTTGGGTTTGCCTTGCCACACTTCTGCAAAACTCATACTACAAAGTTGGAAGGGTTTGAACAATAGATAGATAACTGACTTTCATTAGAACACCAGCTTGTATTGGTAGCTTTTAACATATTTAGTGTAAACAGTAATCTTCACGCATACAAGTACTTCACTTAACGTAAGCTCTGGTCACATTTAGAAAAAACTAAACTTTTATTACTTTATATCTTCTCTTTTCGTTTACCTTTAAAAATTTTAGCTACTTAAAAAAAAGGAAATGTACATTGGACTCTACAAATCCACGTTAGTAGGTTTGTTTTACTTGGACGAAAATATTAAGAATTTATTGGCTTATCTTTATAGGTTTTTGGTTAGTCGTTTACCTGGAACCACCCCCCCCCTCCACTGCTCCAATTTTTTACTTCTTTGCTTCCCATTTATAAACAATAAATAAGTGAATACATGATTATTTTAAGCAAAAATTATATCTCTCTCATGAAAATTAGAGTTTTCTTTTTTGAATAATTGTTAGTCACTATAATTTCATAGGTTATTGAGGTGCTCAAAATATTTACTTCGTAAATGAAATATAAGAAAACTCGTCAACAACAAAAGTAATTGGTTTTTTTGTTGTTAACACTATACTTAATAAGAAATTCCGATTCTTGATCCGCAGGTTAAAGAAGCAGCCTTTTTTAAATCAAAATGGTAATTTCATTAAAATAAATTCTTTTTTTAATATTCAAAATAAAGAGAAGCGTTTTTTCGATCCTTGTTTTACCACCTCCTCGGACAAAAAAAGAAAGCTTCTAAAAACTCAATTTTTTGAGGAATTTAGTTTGCTTTCTAGAAATTGGTGGCAAACTTCTAACAAGGCAAGAGTTACGGAGCTCGTAAAGGATTTTGCCGTTTATCTGTTGCCTTCTATTAAAATCCATCTGTCTAACGCAAAACCAGAGAATAAAAAGTACAAGACGGAGGACAATAAAAATGCTAAAGGAAACAAGATTGAGGGCTTGTTAATCTCACCTACTGAAAAACTTATATTTATATACTGCAGTTGTGGATGCAAAAACGCTTATGATCTAAAAAACTGGCTATCTCACGTTAAAGTTGCTAAAAAATATGGCTCCAATAATATTGCTCGTAACGCTTCAACAAAAGTTAAAAAGCAGAGGAAAAATAAGGCTAATCATTTTTCTTACTTGCTGAGCAAAGTTTTTATAAATAAAACGAAAGCCACACTCACACAAAAAATGGGCGCTGATCTCCAAGGGTCTTATGCTTATGTTAAGAAGCACGGAAGCGTCAAGTTATTTAAAATATTACTGTCTTGCAACAAAAGATCTTTTTACTCATTATACAGGGGCCGGCAGCTTTACATAAAATACAAGTCAAGAAAGGTAAACTTGAAACGTTGTTTTTGTAAAAAATTTAGTTTATTTCCTCTGACTGCGCAATTCACTGTTTACCTACATATTTTTTGGTTTCTTGCTTATTTACCTCTAAGTTTTAATTATTTATTGTTCTCAAGTTTTTATAAATATCTTATAAATTATTTATTATTTTCCTAAAGGTATTATTATATTATTGTAGTCGTTATGACCTACCAATTAACGCCTCTTTTAAATACTGTTTACTTTTAAATATACTTATAGAGGTTAAAAGTTAATGAAAGCAAGCAAAACTATCGTTCCTTTCCCACCGAAAGAGATGTGATCCCTGACTGCTTTCATCTGAGCTCTTATTCGTATACATCATTAGTGAAATTATTTCCAACCATCCGAGTATACAAAGACTGCGTTTTGGGTGCTCATTTTTACATTATTTTTTTATATATATAAAATGCTCTTCTTTACTGCTTTGCGCCTTTCTCTATATATCAAAGCGAGTCTATTACTATAAAACTAGCATTTGTATAGATTGGTACTCTTTATGACACTGTTATGTGCAAAACCGCCCTTATGTTTTTGTATACTACTATATAACCCAAAGAAATCGTTATCTACGATTCTTCTTCCTTTGCGTGCTGTTCATACCTGCCATAGATTGTCTTGACAGAAAGGTTACCTTGGGCTTGGCCGGGCAAAAAGGCTATGCGCTTCTCGGCACTCGCCACTCTCAGCTAAGAGTCGACAACTCGCAGATGCAAGATCGGCTCGTCGTTCGTCAGGTTGCCAGCTGCTTAGCTTTCTCGGCCTTCTTTTATCGATTGACATAGTTTGTTGGTATCTTTAGCTCTTTTTCAACTTTAAATATTAAAATCTCACTGTAAAAGTTTTTTTAACAGTTCTTACTTTTGTAAGTCCACTCTTAATAACCTTTCCTGTACATAAATTCCTTATTTTTTCTACTTATGTTTTTTATAATTTAGAGTAAGCTTGGGAATTACGTCATTTCTGTTCTTGCTGACGGACATGGGTCTCTACTTTTTTTTAAAGTTTAATACTGCATGACTTTATATGCTTGTACATCTTAAATAATATCACCACTTTACTACTTTGCGGGCTCTGTACGCCTTCTAGAAAGACCTTTTGTTTATTTTAAGGCTTCACTTGGTCTGCTGACTTTTTAAGACGTACAGCGCTCTTTATATGTAACTATCGTAGCTGGAGTTTAGTGGAATAGTGGAGTTTTCTATTTTATAATAATCACAAAAGTGATGTACTATATACATATAAACTATTATACCTTTGGTCAGAGGAACAACCGCTCCCCGGTTTTTTTCAAGAACTCTTGCCGACGGTCTGGAGAGACTACTGAAGGATCGTTGCTGGAATTTTTCGGATTGCAGACAGGCGGTGAATTTGCTTATGCTTTTCTTAATTTTATAAATAATCTTCTTAGTCTGGTTTATATGTAATTATAGTAGCTCTTAACTTTTTGGGCCGCGTGATTTTTTAAAGATCTCTCTATAGTTTTTAAACGTTTAACTGCGGTCTTTATGTAAAGCAAGTTGACTCTTGTTAAAGTTTATACTAATTTTACTTATTAGAGTGAATTTACTACAGCTATTAATCTTAATTTTGTTCAGTATTCTTAAAAACTATAAATGTATATATTACACACAGCTAAAACATATTTATAATATGAAGTAATACCATATTATATTTATTAAAAACTAAAATGAACTCCGTATTTTATATAATTAGCCGAGCTATTAAGTTTATTACTGCCGTTTGAGTTTTATACTAGTTTATTTTCGCCTTTATGCAGCAACCTTAAAAGATTTATATATTTTTTAAAGTTTGTGTAATTAATTTAACTATTACTAACAGAAATTGTTTCAAGCCAGAGTCCTTCAATTATACCAGCATTTGGATGAAGTGTACTTAGAAAAAAAAAAGCTCGAGTTTGAAACTTTTACCGCCATGAAAGAATATATCGATAATAATAACCACTGCTTCAAGAAAACCTTAAAGCCCACACGTAAGCATAATAAGCTTGCCGAAAGTACATTCCCTCCAGGCCTCGGAGAGAAGCTTCCTTTTAATAACTCTGTCGTTGTGGATACAAATTCGTTAGACTCCGAGTATAATGAGCTCTACGATAACTATAAGAACGAGCTTGAAGAGCCCAACAAGGCAAGCAAAATAACAAGGAGGCTAAAGGTTCTAGCGAAAGCGGAGAATCAGCTTAGCAATAGCGCGCCCCCCGACGATGGCTGCACTCTACTCGCCACTGTTATATATAAGGGTTGGATCGTGTGCTGCAATGTTGGGGATTCGCGCGCTTTAATTTTTTCGCGCTCTCCTTCCTCTTTTTCATGGTCTTTGATTTTTTCGACCGAGGACCACTCGTTGGGCAATCCAAAAGTTGTATGTTCTATTTAAGCTCTTCTGAATATCCAACTTGCTAGTTACTTCCGTTAAAGTATAATTTATATACTCCTGATTTTTATCAAAACATAAAAAGGCAATGAACCTAAAAAGTTTCCACGTATTAACGTAAAGTGTTATAATGGCACACTTGTCATAAAGATTCTTATCCTTATTTTAAGTGACAATTGTTGGTCTTCATATCTTTGAAGGCTCACCGTTACTGCATTCATATGTGATTGTCTCCTTAGGTCAACCACGTGATTACGCACGGCGGGCAATTCCTAGATGAGGTTACGGGTAGGCCTAAGCAGTTCCGGGTTATTCTTATCGTATCATAACTGCTAAGCATTAGTAGTTTATAGTTCTTATATATAACGCAATAGTATCCACAGCCCTACTATCAGTCTCTCGTGTTTAACACTCGGATATGCCCTCAACAGGAACTTTCAAAAAATAATATAAAGTTTTAATACATTTATGAAATTGATTTTATGGATGTATTAATTACTGTCGCTACAAGTATACCCGTGGAAAGGAGCATTAATTTAGGAGGCTCCATGGGAGATCTGCTTTTTAAGTTAAAAAAGGACTCGCCAGTTTTATTAAATACGCCGGACGTCACTTTTCATGAAGTGCCTCGTGATCTAAAAGTAATCCTGTTAATGTCGAGCGACGGCCTTTGGTAACCGAAAAAAGCACTCTATAATAAAGTTTATTAGTTATGTGTAACAAAATATGTCATGGAAACAACCATTAGAAGTTTAATATTCCAGCCGTATATAGAAGAGTTAGTGTAATTTTATCATAGTATTCACTAAAGTGACCGATAAGTTTAAAAATAACATTACATGAAATAAGAGTGAGGTAAGCAAAGTTTTCTGTCTGTCCTTTGGCTTTGGCATTTTTTTGTTATTTAAATTTTATGAAACTCTACCCTAGTTCTTAGAAGTTGTTTTAAATAGCTTGCTTGCTTTGTTATTTATATAATATTCCAAACTATTTTGTTACTAGAAATAAGCGTTATCAACCTTGAAATTTTAAAATTACGCATACGCTACAGTTTTAAGTTTTTTAAGAGCGTTTTTGTTTTAATCTTCCTTATGATAAATTTATTATTATAATTTAACTGTGAATCTAATCTTTCTTTACTCCTACAATTTTTTGTTGACTCTTTTATAATTTAAATATCCTATTTGTGTTTATATTAAATTACTTACCTATATTTCTTAACTATTTTATGTAGCCTTTGGAAGAAATAATTTATTTTTTTGGAGAGAAATTTTTTCTATAATAATTATTATTTATAAACTAGGAATTATTTGCCTGAAGATAAACTGAATAGAGTTTCTGCGCAAAACAAGTTTGTTTTCAATAAAGTTGGCTATGAGTACGACGTGGGCACACCACTAAGCGCCATTGCCACTCGCTTATGCTTCAGAGACTTTCGCGAAGTTTCTCAATTCGACGACTGCATTTGTCTTCTGTTTTGCTTTGAGACGCTTGACCTCGAGAGGAAGTTTTGCTAATAGTACAGAATTTTCAATGATCTTTTAAAGGTGGAAAAAAAAGAAAGTTACATTTAAAAGTTATCTTTTTTTTAAAATTTTGAGTTTGTTAAAAACCACGGGAAAAATATGAAAATTTTAAAAATTGTAAAGATATATATTTATTAGTTTTTATCAAAAAAAATTGCTAGTTTACTCAATAATATCTGTATTATTTTTTAGACAAATAAAATTTTATCAGCTAAATATTTATAATATATGTATATGAAAGTTCAGGCTATTTGATATAGGTTTTGGTAACTTTACCTTATGAAAAAATTAATATTTTTGGGCTGATCTTTATTAGAGTATTATCTTTGGCTTATTTTTTAAAATGTAGTATAAGTACATAAAGTAAGTAAAATGTAAGAGAAATCATGGGATCCTTCGAAGTAAACCGAAGTATATTAAACAGTATAGTGTTCTCAGTTTACAATAAAAGTTGTTCTTGTTTAGAATAAAGACTGCAAAGCCCTTATTCGTACTATAATATAAATACACCTACAATACACAGATTCCTTTCTAATGTTAAAGAGAAATTTTACAGTTTTTAGTTACTGCTCTCCCGAGAGCCCTTAATATCCGCTATAAGGTGTTTCTTCTAAATAATTTTAGGGCTAGAACTAAGATAATTGAACACTTCTCGTAGCCTCCTCTGTAGTCGTTTAATCTATTTTTAATTTTAGTTGTTAATTATTTTAATATTAACTTTTATGAACGCTGTACAAGTAACAGAAATAAAAGGTTCTTAGCTTTCCACAAGTATTTTAGTGGTCTCAACCTTCTTACTGAGGTCATTAAAAATGCAAAAAATGAAAAATAATAGCCACGGCCCTCACTTCATAACTAAACTTCTTTGTTTAACCGAAGTGAAAGCATGCCCTGCCCTTGTTTACTATAGCCTGCAAGTATTAGACCCTACGGGGGTGTCCAACTTTTTAAGATGCTTGGTTATTTACCAATCATATGTGTGTGCGGCCTTGAGCTAACTATAATCTGATTGAATTGGCTAGATAGTGGAATACGCTATGCTTCGTGCAAATGAGGCCTATATCGATCGGTTTGTTAACGAGTAAAATTTAAGTACTATATGTACGCCTTAGACATAAAATGTCAGTCGAGCGTGAAATATACGGTTTTGTTGGATATATACTATCTTGGATTCTTTATGGTGAAGCCTTTGTAACCGATCACTACTATATATATAATTAATACTTTATTTTTATTATCAAAAATCAGTTTTTATCCCATTTATATTTTCTTCTAAAGGCTTGTACTTATTTTGGGCTTTCGTTCCTGATTCAATACTAGTAAGTTACGGCATCACTTATCTTCCACAAAAGTAATGTCTACCACATTTGATAACACTATGTACGTTAAACTTTTTTTACGCTGTAGGTGGTGGGCCATAGGTGTTCCCGTCTACATATGTACATTGTATTTATTCATTCTTGCCTTTGCTTTCTCCAGCATCTTAATCAATACTCCAGATTTAAATTCTTTTAACACTATTTCAGGTTATAAAATTTATTAAACATTCTATATATTAATACGAAAGTATTTATTTCACAAGATTCTTTTGCGAGAGGCGCTCCGGACTGTGACTTTGACCAAAAGTTTGCTTTTGGGGATCCATCACTCTACGACGGAGGGCCCATTGAACCCATTTACGATTTACCTCTTTCCTTAATAAGCGAAATTGTCTTCAAAAACTAGTTTTTCCATTTCTTTATATATTCATAATTATAAATTCTACTTTTTTAATAAATATTTTTTTTTATCATTTCTAGACACTTAAAGCTAATAATGTATTAGTAGAACTACATAAAACTAAAACTTTACAAGCTATAAAACTATATAAAACTAACAAAAAGTTTTCATATATAAGAGTAGAAAATAAAATTCTAAAAAGAAAAACTTAAAAATAAACTATTAATAATAGAAAGTGAAACTTCGAAGTTATAGTTGAGTTTGGTTTTGTCTTTTGTATTATAGGAAACTTAATTGTGGAGAGTAATTTTATGAACGGATTGCGAACTACGCAGAGCACAACAATTTATTAGTTATTGTGAATATTACAATACAACTATATAACGGATAGTGATGTGCTAGGAACTCCCTTCAATTAGTTTCTTTTATATAGGAAAGAAGTGTAATTTAGTCATATAAAGTAGCCGAGAGGACTACTGCTCAATCTAACTTTGAGCAAACTCCGTTAAATTGATTCGAAAGTTTCCTTACTTTTATATAACGAACTGTTAAATTGGGTGATAAAAAGCTTTTTTTTTTGGCGGGCCTTCTCTTTGCTTTAAGAAATCTTGTATAACTCTTCTAACCAATTATACTGGCACACCGCTTTTTGCTATGTCGCTTTAATAAAGTTTAGGCAAATTATAGCGTCTTACAATTGATAGAAATTAATAAGGAGCTGTAACTAATAAAGAGCGCATACTTGTGCAGGTACTTTTAACTTCTGCTCATATTATAAATTCATTTTGTTATATATATATGATTATACAACTAACCTCCAAAAGCCCGGCTTATGGCGAGAGTGGGTGCGTCTATGAAAATCTGTATACAATTGTTTTCTTAATAGGAATAGTATTGCGCAAAGGTTTTTATAACCTCCGAGAGGGTACGAAGGCACATGAAAGTTTTAACTACCTATATAACTTTTGTATACAGTTTCAAAGCAATTACAAAATATATCAGGCTTGACAGCAATTTAATATAGTAGAAATATCAATCGACTTTGAACCGTTGTGAAAGAGGAATCCTTCTTAAAGGAATGAGACCCAAGTTGCTACTAACACCCCATAAACAAGCTTGCCTGCCCCAAAAAGCCCATAACACTTAGTTTTTGGAAGGAAGTTACAAAGTGTGTTTCTTAAATCTAAGCAGTTTGTAAAGTCTCGAGGGTTGTATAAGTTCTGTATACAACTTAGACCCCAATAAGCTGATAATAAGAAATTTTAATTTAAACCGCGTGCAAATACCTTAAGGTTGGTATTGAAGCTTATTCTTTAAAGGAGAAGATTACTTTACCAGTATGCCATGATTAAACACCGATCCTAATGGCGTGAAGAGTATTTAAAAATCACTTATTACTACTATTTAGAGCTTAAATTATTGATTATAGGAGTTTCAAATTCCAGGGAATTAATATTTTTCCACATAATATGAATGGTTTAATACTCCATAATTTATTTTTTTAAAAACCGCTAGGGAGCACGGTACCCCCACGTGCATAATTACAATTTGGAATTCCTAAAAATATAATTTATTTATAAATAACGGTTCCTGGTGCTTGATCGAGTCAAAAATCTTCGAACACGAGCTCAGTCAGAAGTGATCGCAGGCTCCTTACAAGTAGTTTTCAGTTGAAAAGGTGTCATTATTTGCTTGACATCAACAAACAAAAACTAGCACTCACGCGTGACATGTGGACAGCGATAGGGTTTCGTAGCTCTTCTTCAGTAGAGGGATTCAATTTTTAAAACTGATAAAACTTGGATAAATAAAGATAAATAAAGAGAAAGGAGGTTATAACGAAAAAATATTAATATTAATAAATATTATATTATAAGAAGCTTCAACAATGCTGTCTACTGCAAGTGAAAAGTAGTCGAGGAGCACAGGTCAAGTCCAAAAATAGCAATATGTCTGTGCGAGACCAAGTGGTGTCTTTATTAGTAAAAAGCATTATGTCAAGCTTAATCCTCTTGTTTATAGCAAAGTAAACTTTTTTACCCTAACCTATTCAAATAATTTTTAAACAATACCTTTAGCGAAAAAGTGTTTTACAACTAGCTTTATTTAAATCAACTTTTAATTTTTTTATTTTTTCTTTGGGTGGCAACGAGTAGGACTTATCTACACAACAAGGTAGACTCTAATCCCTAGGGGTTCATAACTTATGTCAGTCAGAGCATTTACTTGCGTAGTTTTCAGAAAGGCTATAGCGTCTTTTATAAGTAAATCGAGAGTAAAATAAGCAGCAAGTTTACAAAACTACTTTACAACCACACTAAGAAAAATAGCTAGGAGCGCAGCTCACAAAAATATTATTACCTGCCGAAAGATAACAAAAAAATTCGTGATGTGATCAAAACAGTTTTTAAATCCTATACGTTTACTAAGAATTTATCATCCAAATATGAACTTATACATAGAAGAATGTAACCACCCGCATTTTCATCCTTAAAATTTTAAACTTTAGTGTTAAAGTATATATCTAGAATTATGCTTTTTCTTTGGATTTTTTAATGAACCTAAGGTATGCGAAAGTTATTCAAAACAAATAAAGCCTAACCCACAATGAACATAACTTATTTTTCGTATTTTCTCTTAAATGACTTAAAATACTTTAGACGATTTAAAGCCTATTAAGCATAACTTGTCGGTAAATAAGAGATTAAGATGTATTTGGGTTAATTGGTACTTATAGAAAAAGTCATTATAATTAGAGCTAAATAATCTGTTTGTCGAGACACAGCGCAGCTCCTGTTAGTGCTCCTTCGTCTATGCGCCCTCACTCGTTTGTATGATCCGCAGGCATGCCCCTAGTCGCCGACGAGTCTTCAGAGGTAATATTTTTCCTACAAGAGCTGTAGTCAATTTATCCTCTCTATTTCGTAGCGTTATATATTGAATTACTTGACAAAGATGACCTACTACGGCTCTACCGTTCTAATAGCGAACTTCGGGAGCGCTTCCTTACCTATATACTAAATAAGACGGATAAGCGGGATTCCTTTACGTTTTAAGGAAGTGCTCTTCTTTTAGAGAGACTCATTACTTTCTACTAACGAAAAAGTACTCCCTTGAATATATTGCGAAAGCGGTGAAAGAGGTGGGATATTTCTACATACGTTTAATCTGGAAGTTGTTTAATTTTAACTGAAAGTAGGCAGAAAAGTTAAGAAGGTATTATATTATAAAAAAACCGCCAGGGAAGCTACACCCCTGTATATCTCTCATGTTAGCGGTATGTACTTGGCCGCCCTCGAAAAAATTGTTACAGAGGCTTACCTTGCAACTTCGGTGATGCGCGCAGCAAGTATGCATTACCTTTATTCCCTATTATTTTCAAAACTTATCAAGGAAGTTGATGCTTTCTTAATGTTTAATAATGAGTTGTAAGCATTATTACTATTAAAAGTGTTACAAAGAGGGATAGTAATGGACCAGAAGTAATATACAGTTTCTTATATTATAAAGTCATCAGTGTGTACACAAAACAGGAACTTAATAACAGAAGCAATGTTTAAAACTATTATATATTTTAAAATAAAGGCGAAATTGCATTGAGTTATAACGTTAGTAACAATACCAGCATATAGATATCCAGCTATAAATTTGTTGTAACCAAATGTAAGTCAGCTTAGGTAGTTTAAAAGTTAAAAATCCATTTTATAGAGTTCAGTTGTTTGAAACTTATACCTGTTTACTCTAGGCTTTGAAGTTGTAGTAGGTAATGGATTGGGTCTTAGGCGAGAGGCCACTCAGCCCTTCATGGGATGGCTTAATACTATCATCCCATTGGTTGGTATCACCATCAAAGAAGGCTCATTTCACCTATTTATTTAAGAGGAACTCGGGAGAAAGAACAAGTTACCTAAGTTTTAAAAATGTGTAAGAAAAGAAAAATCTTTAAATTTTTTAGTGTATATTAAATAAAGAAGATTCTTAGCATTTTATTAACATAAAAAGTCCTTAAGCACGGTACCTATATAATAGCAGTAAAGAGAGTGTCAAGTGGTGTATTAAACAAGTTTTATCTTTTCATAGCTATCCTAGTGCGCGTGACGTTTTATGTAGCGCTCAAGATATTTTTCTTACTATCGATGTCTCGTGTTGCAATATATCGTATAATGAGGTAGAGAAAGGTGGTAAGGAAAAACTTTTGTGCCTTCGCTTGCTCTTCTCTATAAGCTTCCAAGTGATTGTAAGCCGATAGTTCAGGATAAGTAATAATTATTAAACAATTAGTGGTTTGCTACAGTATCCTGAGTCAATAGACTCGCAAATCCAAGATAAAAAAATATTATTTACAGAGGCAGCCCGTTAATTCTGAAGGCACACTCTATTAATAAGTGCTTCACTGAATGCTGGGTTGATTGTATTTGTGGTTTTTGTAACAGTATCAGGTAGCGTTGGAAAGTAGTATTATGTACATACAATTTTTTTTTTACAAAGAGGCTTAAGTTTAATATTATAGTTAAATTTCTTAGGTAAAGATTTTCGTTAAGCCCTTTTGGTATTGGATCTTTCTAGAGCTTATACCTGCGGGTTTAGTAAAAAAACCAGCAAGAGCTCATAACTACGTTGTTCATGTGTGTATTTTTCTTGGTCACTCTGTTTATACTTACATTATAAAGACGGCAAAATATGTATGCTCCGGGAATTATGTAGCCAGTGAGACTGGTTAACCTCTCCTCTAAAAGACAAAAGCCTGTATCATTTTACTATTATGTTTTTAAAACAGAAGCTATAAAAGTCATATATACGCGCATTGCTCTTCAAGTTGCCCTTAACAGAACTTTTTTTAAAAAAAAATTGCTCTACAAAGCCTTTAAAAAAATAAAAGACCATGATTCCATGCAAGATAACAATAACGTGCAAAACGTATGTGAGAGAAGCGAATTCAAATGTAGAGAACTTAAATGAACCATGTCTTGTACGCTGTGGAGTGGCTTGTTGCCACGACTAGCTAAGATTAAGCCTGCGAAACACCAATTTTACCTTTTATTTACAGGAGAAAGAGACCCAAAAAAAAAATTCTCGGTATTGGAGAGCAAGGCAAGCTTTTACTGGTTTATCTGAACCGCATTAAAGCTTTTTCAATGTTTTCTTAGAATATGCGTGAATTTTTAAGTATAAGCACTAAAAAAATTCGGCCAGACCTAATAAACTACAGATCGGGTAGGATAAAAAGCAATAAAAACCTTCTAAACTGAAAAGTAAAATTACTTAGACGTATTTATAGATTCCATTAAAAAAGGCTTGAATTTAATAAATAAGGTTTATACAACCTTTCGAAATCTCCACATTATTAATTTAAAAAAAAAAAAAGCAAAACTGAAACTTCAAAGCTTCCATCTTTTTTTAGCTGTCCGAATTCAATACTAATTCATATTTTTTTTTTATTTAGTACGTAGATGGTACATCACTCTTAAAGAATATATAAGTCGATTTACGAAAAAATATGGACAAAGTCTAGGTCATATTTTATAACGTAAATAAATTAAGCAAGGTATACACATATAAGGTTAATATCGTTCTGTTAAAAGCAGTAAACATATTACATGTCTTCAAAAAAAAATTTAAAAGTTGCACTAGAGCTGTAGGTTTAGGTGAAAATTTTTTTAGAAACACAGAGTTACGAAGAAGACAGACTTAATTCCTGATCTTTAAGGGTTTATTAGTTTTAAACCGAATTCTTTCCTGGATGTATAGGCTAATTAAATCCTATTATAAAAAACATTATATTTTTTAATGCATTATTAATAAGCTATATAAGTGGGCGGAGTCCACAAAGATTTCCTAAAAACCCTTTTTAACTAGCCTCCGCGCAGTTAGGTGAGCTCAGCTACTTATCTGCTTTCTATGGCAGGTGGCAGTAGTAAAAGATAAACTGTAATAAAGCACGTGACGTTTTAAACCAATCAAAGCTTATATAAAACATGATAAAGATTTTAAATTGTAGTGTTGTTTTTATTTAGAGATTTAAGTCCAGCTTTTACTGTCCTATGTTAAAGAAAAGTGCAGTTTCAACCAAATATGCAGCATTGGGAGGCACTATTAAAAGTTTCTCATTATATGCGGATCTCTTTACCCAGGCAGCTAAGCGATCCTTATTTTTTACCTACTTTTTCGGAATTTTTAGAGTTTTGTCAGTTTGGTGACGTCAAGAAAAGTATAAAATCTCAAGAGGTATTTTTATAATTACCACTATTTCGACGTATGTACTTTAAATTATTATAGGTAGTATAAGCTTTGCTAGTAGACTAGTTAAGTGTTGGACATATTGTATAGTTTTTTTACCTCTCCAACTATTCATTTACTCCTCTATTGGTTTAAATATAAACATCATTGTTGTTAAAGATATAACGTCTAAAATAGCCTAATCATTAAGAGTTATTATTATTATAACACCAGTATTGCCTTAAAAAATTTCAATTCTTTCTGACTAATATTACTTACAGAAAGCGAAGCGCAATTTAGTTGAAAACAGAAACGGTAATTTTCGTATGGAAGGGAGGCCTAGTAATAACCTTATAGACAACGCTTTACAATTTGGAGAACCTTCTGATAGTGATAAAGTGCTCCTTAGTAAAGATACGAAGTTGTCAACTTATAATGATTTTATAATAAATAAGCCCGCTGCATCAGCCATTAGCACTAATTCTATTGCTAATGGCCGGAATGAATATTTAAATAATGTAACTTTATCTGAATTTAGACTACTTCGCCAGGGACAAATAGCTATTTCCTCTCTACAATCCCTTGGTTCGCACACAAAACACAAAAGGAAGAGGCAAACTGGTAAAAGTGTTGTTTGTTCTAATTGTAATACTACTGAGACAACTTTATGGAGAAGAAATGAATTTGGAGTAGTTTGCAATGCGTGCGGTTTATATTGGAAACTTCACAAACAGCACCGGCCAGTTCAACTAAACACCAAAGTAATTCGTAAAAGGAGAAGGAAATTAAAAACGATAGATTCTCCCTTTAATTTACCTCCTGTAAATTTTCGGAATATGATAGCTTAACACATGTTTTTTATGGATCCTTATTGAATGAATGTTTTGTCTTCTATACTTAATAGATATTGATAAACGCATGTACACTTGATTCAATAGAGTTTAATATGTTATAAATATTTTATATTTTAATAAAAAAAATCTTTTTTAGTATATTAAGAGTATTATTTATGAAAGGTATACTACTTAAATACTAGTTTGTGAGTTATAGTAATGGAAAGGCTGTCACCGTCATAACTATAACTTATGCGGCTAAGCAAGATACTGTTTGCTTAACAATATAATATCCCTCTTTAAATAAGCAGCTCTCAATGCGCTGAAACTGAACGGGGGCTTAACAACTCACGCTGGAAAAAAAAAGATGAATACATTATTAGTGTGGCGCCCTCTTCCCTTTATTCTCCGCTTTTCACAACATTTTTATAAAAATACATATTATAACGTTTTATAACTTTTTATTCATAAGTCAACTATTTTTTATAATCTTTTATATTTATATAACTATTTTAATATTTTATTAAAAAAACTATAATTATGTTCAATTTTTTTTTCTTAAACAATATTAGAAAATATATATTTTCTTTTGTAGACAAAATTTTTTTAATAATTTTTATAAATTTTTTTGAGTATATAATACTTTTGAAAAAACGTTATTTTTAATTAAGTTTCCATTAATTTTCTTTTTTTGAAGTTACTTTTATTTTTATCTATACCTTCTATATATATGTTAACTAGGGAATGTAATCCCTCGTGGGGTTTTGCCAGATCCCGGGATCAACAAAATTCACTCGTTTCGCTAGTTTTTATAACAACCTGTAACTGACAGGAATAAGAAGTTAACTCTTATTTTGATAATCAAGGTTCCCTTCCTATTATGCGTACCTACAAAAAAAAAAAATTTGAAGAGAAGAAATTTTAGCTGAAAAAATCCCATCCAACTTAGACGCCTAATATTCCTTACAAGGCAGTAACATTTTAGAAACCTTCACCAAGAAAAGTTTTGAAAATTATTACTGAAAAGATAAAATGAAAAAAAAATCTAAAGGTTAATTAAGTTTTTTTTAGTGCTTAAATTAATGTTTTCGGGATTAGGATTTCAAAAAAACTAATGTCTAAGGTGCCGCCATTCATACGACACCTTAATTTCGTACAAAAATTTCCTGCCGTTGAAAACTCTCGTTCTACCTCGATGCTTGACAGTGAAATTGTAAGGAGGTATTGGTGCACCTCTAAATTTTCCCCTCGCTGGTGACCTTGCGCAGAATATTTTTTCCTTTTAGATGCATCCCAATTTTACGTTTCGCTTTTAATTTCTGGCTTAGAAAGATCTTTGGCAATTGCTATATCAAGCTGTTTCTTGATTGATAAATTCTCCATTTATGGAATTTCGTTTTTTATTTTTCCTAACTTCATCCTCAGTATTCGGTTGACGTTGGTTCTCACAGGTTCAACGTCTAACACATTTTTCTAGTTTCCAGATAATATACCGCGGTAGACCAGAAAAACCGTGGGGTCAACAGATTTTCTTTCGGGCGCTTTCGGATTATGAAGAAAACAAAGACGGGTGCAAGTACAGCTCTTCGTTCAGTTATCTTTTTTATTCGCTGTAGACAATTCACCGCTCAAAGTACCCTTTAGTGGATCCAAATTCCTTACTAAAACTTCCGGGTTGGTTTTGACTGCTGCGCCTGCCGAGAACCTCGACGGCTGCTTTGATAGGCTTAAGCGAGCCATGGATATTTTGGAGTAAATGTAAATGCCGTTCCGATTCACAAAAAATTATTTCCTTACGCAACTCTAACCGTGCTACTGTAACACAGGTCTTTAGCTTTCAAAATTTTTCTACCATATCGTGTAGACTACTCCATCTAGTCTTACAATCCAATTTCAGGCTTAATTCTCTTCCAGACTGATCTTTTTCATCATTTTGCAAATAAATTTCCTTTTTAATGAAGATTTTTTGATCAACTTTACAACTTTATGGACTTTGTTAATTATTTCTTTATTATCTTTTAGCGGCCGGGTTAATATATATAGTACTAGAACTATACTCACTGTATAGTTCTAGTACTATATATATTAACCCGATCGCTCTTTATTTTCAACTCTGTAATTCTTCGTCGTCCAATTTCATCCGGCGAAGAATTCTACTTTTCGCATTCAGTCTCGGTTCAATTATCTGACTGACCTTTCCTATTATGGGAATAAGGAGAAAAACCCTTCATCATTTTCTAACGGTGCTAAAGCTCCCCTTATACTAAACCAAAAGAGTGACTCTTACCCCTGACTTTGTGTAAATACAGCGTAGGAGGGTTTTAGTTAACTTCATTAACTGTTGGAGGGAAGGCTCTCAAACTAGTTCAAGTCAAGTCAACATAGTAATACTCTGAAAATGATTTTTTGGTTCGAAGATGTCCCACGAATTTAGACTGCTACCTAGCTTTACATTAAAATTAAAATTTTACCATTGTACTAGTTTGTCATATTACTTAAATCGAGACAATAGTGACCTTGGAACCTTGAGTACACTGACCAACAATGAAAAATAGAAGTCCTTGTACAGTTAGAACAAAATCGGATCCTCTATCTCAGATGTTTAACTCTTTCTGCTGCATTTGAACCATAACAGAGGGATACTTTGTGTTATATTAATGCTACGCTATGTCAGCCAGTTGTAGCACTGTGAAAGGTGCTTTTGTGTACTAAAACGTTTTGTTCTATCGAAAAGGTTGATGCTAAATAATGCTTACTTCTCATTAGAGTGCGAATGGTGTAGAACTCTATAGAAGTTATGTTTAAAAATAGTACTATTGACTAGTGAGTTTAACTCTTTTATGCTATGTTCTAGTTGAAGACTGGTCCAATCCTGTTAGGGGTAGTACTAAGGTTAGTGTGAAATGGTAAAGACTACAACCCTCAGAGCTGTTTCAGTCCTGACTTGGGGTCGGCAATGGTTTTTAAGTTAATCTTTCTTCATTCAATTACTTAAGTAATAACATGATAGTGTTGAAAATGATACTTTTAGAAAGCTACCGCACTTTCAGGGTTTAATGTTGTTCACTAATAAGTTTTGATTCTTTTCTTAGGAATTACAGTTTCATGAAAATGTTTATAACAAACAGGCTAGAGTTAAGTTAGAGAGTATAGCTTTGAAGGCTCTAGCTAAGTTTGGACTGGGTCTTTAGTAAGTAATTTCTTACTAAGATAATGACTGCTGCCTAGAGTCTTCGGTCCTTGTCACCAAAAATTAATATAGCCAATCTACCTAGTGTAAAAGAACTATTAGCTTTTAAGTTACATATACTAGTTTACGCATCCTTCGATCAAATAAGGGCAACCTTTGACTTGGAATTTGCACACTCAGTATTAATGATTCATGTTAAACTCAAGGAAGGTTATGCCTTGCTATTTTTGAACGAGTAATATAAAAGTTGATAGCGAGTCATAAGGTCATTTATAAAATATGCAGCATTTGATAGATAATACCCATTTAGTGTAAACTCTTCGTCTCGTAACTCAAAGTTTAGGTGATATGCAGATCATGGCTGACAATTTAGGTGTGTACTATTCAAATGGCTAGCTTGGCTTGACTGGTTATGTCTTAATAGGCTACTAAAATAATACTTACTTCACTATCTATGGTACATATGGCGGAGGGTTATAGAGAAGTATCTTTATGGCAGCCTCTACGGGGCCTACTTTAGACTAATTGCAAACTGATTTGTTCTATTAAGGTTTTACTAGAGAAATGTGCAAAGGTCAAATTGAGGTCTGATTTAAGTGCTTTCGAGCTAATTTAACTTGGCTAAAAAAGTGCTACTTTTACATTAAGTAAACAACCTAAGCACTGTGCTGGGAAGACTAATAATTAAAAGCTGAAGATTATAAATAAAATTGAGAAATAACCTATGTTACTCTGTCTTTTTATGTTACGTCCGAGCTAAGAGGGCTATCTTTTATGTATTCTCTCTCACACGCACAACTAAGAGTTTTTCATACACAATCAACCCTAAGCAATTCTTTTGGCATTAATTCGAGATGCTGCTAAACGACTTTAAAATTATTGGTTTTCTCTTCTTATTTGAGTAGTATTGTGCTAAAGTCATATTCTATAAAAGTAAAAAAAAAAAATGCTCGTAGACTAAGTAAAATTGATTGAAGTGAAAAGTACTATCTGGCTTAGTGAAAATAAGCTAAAGTGAAAAGAAGTACTTTCAATTTTTTCTAAGTTGTTTATATGTTCTATAAAGCTACCTTAACTTGAGGGCTTTCTGTTTTATTAAAAAGTCAGCTTTAATGATATCTTGCTAAACTAGTTTGATGTAGCTACCTCAATGGAAGGGTTTTACCGAGCTTGATAGGTTGTCAATGTAGTGGGTAATTTAAGTGTTTACCTGGGTGAAGCAACATTTATTATTGTTATTATCCTAGAGAAACTAGTCATAACCTGGTATTATTGTATCAAACGCCTTGATGCTTGTCTCAGTCTCCGCACCTTAGGAAGGTATTCATTTTAGTGCTATGTACCAATAAAAATGCCAAAACTTTATTAACCCAGTAACAATAATTCAGAAAGGTACCATAATCTTGTGATTTATAGGCGTAATATTCCTCCGTTAATGCCTAAATAGTGCATTTAACAAAGAAAAACAGCACACATTTTACTGGGTAGGAATACTATTTTACCCTATAAAGAGGTTATTTCAATAATTAAGCTGCGCGAAAACATGAGAGATAAGAGATTAGTTATCCTGCCTCGTTGCTCTCGCGTCCCTACAGGCTACCTGCCTTTTTCATCTTTTAACTTTAAATTCGTGCGGGAACATGTGTAAGCAACCATTTGTGGGCTGTGATCGCAAAAGGTTAGTACCGTTTGTGAGACTAAACCGGCGACTGCGTAGGTTGGTCTCTTAGTGGGAACATTCGACTGTTAGCCATAAACTCTTAGCTTTCCTCCACCGATGTACACTCTTTCTGTACGTAAGAATTCATGTTTAGTCCCCAGCTGCATGTGGTACAAGCGGTTGAAAAAGGTCAGCCCTCTATATATGCGCTTCGTGTTGAGTTACTCCTCGCGCTCACAGGTAGGCAGAAATATCGAATGAAGGCAAGAGGTAGCCATCCGTAGGCGAAATACATGTTCAATGTCGGCTCACTTTCCTTTGGTCGTCTCATCTAGGTTTATGAGAGCACTTGGGCTAATGTTGCTCAATAAGTTCTAAAGTAACAACCGAAAAACCGTGATTATGGTACCCTCCTCTGGCAAACAAAGGGCTCAGGGTGGGCGGAAAGCTACAAGTGGTGTACGAAATATGAATTAAACCACGTTTCGAAAGATATTCTTTTAAAGTTGGCAAAAACTTTGTATGAACGAAAGCCTATAAACAGGTGCTACATTTCCTGTGTTCAAAAGGATAAATCAATAGATTGTATCGGGCTAAAGTTATCTTGGCTTAGAGCTAGCGACGATAATAGCACTCTTGCTCCGTTCCTAAGCCGTTCGTGCGTTAAAAATAATGCAAGTTTGCTTGGCTAAATAACAAACTAACTAAACTAAAGTATGAACGTACGAGTGTATATTATCGAATATGATATGTAGTAATGAGTACTGTACTGAAGAGTGCTATCAACTATTGTATATATAGATACTAATAAACAATACTTTTATTAACAATATAAATACCATACGAATACGCTAATACTATACTATACACTGGAAGCAAGCACTACATACTTTAGTTAACTTCCGTCAACTTTAGTCAACTTTTGTCAACTTTTGCTAACCAAATAATGCTTACTCCCAGCACATAGTACAATACTAGCATACCAGCACTGTAGCAGTACTGTTAACTACTATATACTTTATACGGAAGTATGCTCTATTTCAGATATGGTAGTGCTTAACCTTTTAATTTTCTACAGTAGGCATCCAGATACGATGCTAAGAGTATTGTTTCCTTCACTCCCTAAGTCAACCTTTTCCGCCGAGAGCTTTCGGACACACTTAGCAGCTAGAAGCGGGAGTACTGACCTAACTTAGCTAGTTTGTCAAGAATTCAATGAAGACCCCACTAGCTCTGTTTAATTGCCTAGAAGAGTAAACAATTTACAGAGGAAAATTTATTTTACCTCACGCAAGCTTCTTTCTGATAACAGTTAACTAGCCAATCACTTTAACAGGTTTGAAACTTTATAAACCGTTCAATAAGGACAACCTCGCCCCCTCCAAGCTAACTTTCGCTCGAGACTGCCTGGCGATTTATCCTTTTGAAGAAAGGTGATCTTTTGAGCCAAGCACAAAGTACCTTACTACTTTCCGTAGTATATGCCCACCGTGAGCCATTGCCAGAAGAAGGTATCATAATCACGGTCTAAAGGGTCTTAATTAATTCCGAACTTATTGAGCAACATTAGCCCGAGATATTCGTAAACCTAGTCAACAGTAGAGGGTAACATGACCAAAGGGAAATGAGTCGACACTAAAGATGCAGTCCACCCACGACCGGCGACTTCTTGCCCTCATTCGATATTTCTACCTACCTGAGAGCGCGATGGCTACCTCAGCACGAAGCGCATACATATAGGACCTATCTTTTTAAGCCGCTTTAGAATAACGCCCTGGCGGCCAAAAAGAACCGTTACTTCGTTAAAGAATGTACTAGACTATGGCGAGGCCCCAAAGTTATGAACCATCAGCATCTGCACAGTTGACATTAAAATGTTTCATTAAAGGATCGCCGTAGTCGCAGCGATAATCTAGTTTACCTTGGCGTGTGCTCCATTCAAAAAGTGAAAAAATAAAGGCCCACGCGAAGACATCGAAAATGAAGTTCCATTCTCTTCTACTGCAATTTACGAGCCCTTAATTTTGCAAAAAGGCAGCCCAAAG